CAACAAAACATTTTAAGTATATTTATTTTCTTTTACTCTAACTGATCACTGATATAATTTAAGAAAGGAAAACACTAACAGTTTTTTCGCAACATTTTAATCCCTCCGGGGCCTCCAAAATTTTTATGTGACGTCGGAGTCACTCTCAGGTACGCTTGGAGTAAGCGTAAACTCAGGGTTGCTCTGATTTGGCTATCGTGTAACACATAAGCCGGGACGAGCAATATTGTTGCGCGAAGAAAACTGTATGCTAGCGCGATATGTAATAACCAAATGTTAATATATAATATACAAAAGTTGCATAGTCACTAGAAATCCATTAAGCGACTGTCTGGTGAATTTCCGTTTGAGTCCCCGGAATAGGAATACATTAAGCGAGAATCTAGTGTGTTTGTAATAGCATTTAGATATTATTTTTTCTTCGTCCTTATAGTTTTTTTATGCAACAATATTGCTCTTCTTGATTTAAGCCTGAGATGTACCTAAAAGTGACCCGGATGACACAAAAATTTTGATGGTCCTGGAAAAATTTTGACGTCTGCGTACGGTATTTTTTAAATAATGTGTGGAATGAACGACTGTAAGCACACGTTTTTCGATGAACATGCGGCAAAGTCGAACTATCCGCACGACATGTTGAAATAGTACATTTCCTAACACATGCGTAAAGATTTTTGTGACGAAACAAGAAGTTTACGGCATCAACCGGAAGCAAATGCTGTCACCAGTTTCATCAAAAAGCATTTCCGCATCAGTTAAGGACAGTATTTTTCCGCATAAGAGTCCAAAACATGCGTCGAAGGTGCGATTTAGCGATCAGAATGCCGGAAAATGTTTTTCAAGAAGTAAGATAGTTAAGAATTAAATTATAAATAGTGTTCTATTTTTTTGTAGTGTGATATGAGTTAAAATATAAAAATCTACCTGGAACGGTAGATTTGTAATACCGTTTTTTTAAGAAACTTATTAATAATATGTCTTAAGGTAAGAGTAATGTTGCAGCTATTTGAGAAACTATGGTGCCTGACTATCTTATACTAAATCGCCAAGGAAGTTTGTGAAAAGATAGGTAACATAAGACGAGAAGGCATAATAATTAGTCGCTGGGAACTTATTTTCTTTATTATTAAACTATTATTAATGTCCTATTTCGGTTTAGGACAACTTTTGAGGTGTTGAGACAATAATGCCTCGGCTAATAAAGACATTGGATTTTTTATTGTGAGAATTATTGATCTTAAAATACTGTCGACTTTATGAATTTCCGTTAAATCGTAAAATTTTGTTGATACTACGCCAATTTGTGATCACTTAATCTCCTTAAAAACTATATATTATAGTTATGATGATTAATATTATTATTGCCTTTTAATATAATACAGTAATATACTATTTTGCAAAGGTAAACAAGTTACCTATAACAAGGATAACATAACAAATCAAAAATACAAGTTACAAAATTCTATATACATTAATAGCTAAAAATGCATATAACAATATATAGGTAAATAAATTAAATATTTTCATGTAACTTCCTCCATATTTCAGTTTTTTTAATTTCTATATCAATGAGCGTATCTGTATTATTTTGAAACCATCTTTTCAACAATTTTATGCTGCTAGACTGCTTAATATTTATATTTTTCATTCTCGTATCAACTGGCAAAATACTGATGATTTGCTGGGCTAATGTTTTATTAATACCAGGCATGATTATTTTGTGTATAATTTCGGCTTCCGATCTGGTATATTTTATTAATAGGTTATTATAGTTTTCTTTTAGCGTTTGTAATGAGAAGTGCTCTTTTATTATGAAAGGGATTTTGAAATTATGTATTTTTTTATATAGCATTTTTATTAACATATTTTATATTTTCTGAATACTGCTCAAAGTGGTCTTATAAGTTCGTTCACAGGCAATAATGTCACAAGGTATTTTATAAAGAACACTTTCTATTGGATTCAGGTCGATGTGGACGTTTAGTTCTTTTAGTACGATATCATGATACGCGCCAAATGTTATATATATTTTTGGATGTTAAACCATAAACTGTTCAACCTTAGCCAAATACTGACTTTAGTGAGGTATTAGTTTTAGTTTGAGTCTTTTGTCATCTATCTCAATACTTATTATTACCGTGTCATCAGCATAGAGCGTCATCGAATTATCTGGGTAAAGCCTAAATAAATCATTGATGTACCATGACAAGTAATGGTTCAAGAATAGTATCTTACGATACTCTAAGCATAACCTCAGTTGCATCATTATTTAAGTTGTAGAACTTAAAAATTGCCTTCCATTGATTAAGTAGCTCTCAAACAAATCATTTGTGAGTCCTCTAATCCTATACCTATCTATCTTTTTCAATAGAATTTCATAATTAACTGTGTCAAAGGTCTTGATCAAATCTAGGAATATAGCCGATACTTTGTCATTTATATTACATCAATATCTTTGACTATTTGACTTATAACATTGGTCCCCAGATTTTTCATAAGTCTACATTGTTTTTTGATAGTATGTGATATTTTCTTAGGTATTTATGAACTCATATTCAAGCACTATTTTTACTTAAACGCAACATACTGTCTTTATTCCCTTATGATTTGTTTAATTGATGAATTTTGTAATGATGGAACGAAGGGAAATAGTGATAGATTGAAAATCACTTAATTTTAATTATATTCAGCAACGTTTCGTCAGCACATTTGCTGACCTCTTCAGGCTTTATTAATAAAAAAACACAACAAATTATTAACAATAGAGTTTTCACAAGTAATTTTAAAAGCATATAATTATAAGTATATGTGTATACCTGATTTCTCTCGTAGTCAAATTATTATAGGCTAAAACGAATACATCGTAGCACAGTCAAAATTAAAGTGAAAAATCAAGTATTTCAACTCATATATATACCCTTCATCTATTGTCCCTTCCTCATGATAGATGAAGATTTTTATGATAGTTGCTCTATCATAAAAATGTTTCGACATTATTCTCGGCTTTTTCGATTCTAATATTTCATTTCTTCGTACTTTACATTTGGATTGCAAGACGACCGATCACAGGTCAATGAATTTAGATTTCGCTGTGCGAATGTTTGATGATATTTGCCTCATCGAATTCATTCAGTTGAAATAATCGCATGCATTCGATCGCCTTGCTACATTGGGACCTGTGATAAATTGGATTTGCTGACGTCGAGTATATTGATCGTTCCGTTAGTGATATTGACGATGGTTATTGTTATGAAAAATATTAGATTTACGGTAATTTATTATTGCTTTATTTTGTATTATTATTTTGGTGCAAAACAAAGGTTGTTTTCACAAAATAACGCGAAGAAAATTATTTTGTTTAATCGTTGACGAAATTATCTATCATTGTTGTAGCTTTATGATTTATTAATCAAACTCGCTTTTCTTATCAGTTACTTCATTAAATTTTATTTTTATTAAACATAAAGTAAAAAAAAAACTTGTCTCAGTTCTAACATAATTTTGACACGCACGACAACCGCGTGGCTGATTTAATATAGCATATTAAATCAGATTTAATATCTGCAGTTGTTTCCCATGTTCCTATAAGAGTTCTAACGCTCCAATTTTTTAATATTCTCACTTGTTACTTGAGTGATAATTCAATGGTATATTATATTGACAGTGAACGACTTGTCAAACAATATTTGAATCCCACATGATAATTTAATAATGCGTAGTAGTAATCCAATGATAAAGGCATTGTTAAATTATTTATAATCTAGTTAAATAATGGTACAATTTTTTGTCAAATAATGAATACTATACATGTCACTGAACATAAACATACACAAATGAGTGATACATCTGATCACACATTATTTTTTCACCAAAAAAAGTTAATTGCGCATATAAAAAGAGAATGTTGATCTTGCAAACGAATGATTATTTTGGACGGCCGCTTACCATAGTACGCAGTTTGGTAACGCCGAGAACATGCGATTGCTTGTTAATAGTATTGTTGTAATGTATTATGAGTAATTTATGTTATACTTAGAAATATATGTGAAATTGTTAAACAAAGTTTTGTCAACATTCTTGATAAAGCATCCCAACTCCCATTGCATTTACAATTCCAATCATGTCAATTAACTTAATATACAATGCCGTGCAGCAAGAATATCAATACGATCTTCATCTTTATAGCATGCGTGGCGTTTAATGGCACTTCAGATGAAAAATAACCATAATAGATGATGTGCGGATGTTTGACGTGAGGTTGAAAATACCAATTTTTGAATCCGCGTAAGACTAATGCCGAATAAGGTTAAATGAAGATTTTAAATGTTCGCGCATCACAAAAATGTATATTTTAGGATTAAATGGAAATCAGCACGTTTGGTATACCAATAGTTAAGGAAAAAGTTGACATTTTGATTGCAGCGTTGACTACTTGTTTATTTTATTTTTTTTTAATTTTTTTTCAAAGCGAAAAATCAGTCAAACGGGCTTTCGAGCTTTAAATGTCGTGCTTGACGGAAAATAAGAGTAACTTTTAACTCGAACGCATCTCATTTCTAAATAACCTACTCTGCGAAGTATAACTCTTCAACGCAAATCAAGCCAGAATTGAAATACTTGTGACTACATAGCACAATAATTATAATATATTAATAATAGTATGTCGACTAATGAAAAATCTTTGTACGTAGACTTGTAAGACTCCGTGTGAATACATTAACATAAAAACATTTTATTTTCGCGGCGCTGTTCTGAAAAACTTGTTTCCAAGTCATCGATAAGTCAGCCACGTACGCGTGTAAATTTATCCCGTGATCCAATGACCCAGTAACCCTCGGAACGAAGCTCAACGATATCATCGGCCGATCGCACGTGTGCAAGGATTGTGGACGTGCCACGCTGCCGGCGTTTAATCCAGCGCGGGACAACGCCACCGTCATCACGATCATCGAGAAAGCGGCGCACTTGTAACCGCGAACCTTGCTTTTGTCTGTCGGCAGGTATGCGCCAGCGACGTCGATGCCGACCGGCCGCTTATTGCCCCTAGCGCCGCCGGCTGCTAAGCGGTTCGACGATGTGGCGCCTCCAGGCACCGAGGGATACTACGACCTTGCCCCGCCCGGTGTCGACTTGCTTCCGCCCAAGGAACGCGCCCCTTCCAAAGACCGGGATGCCGACAGGTACAGTAGTCATATTGCCATCGATGCCTCTTCTCTTTCGCCGCCAGTTGCGTTTTGCTTTGTTGTGCTCACGAGTTGTCCAAAGCGATTGGTTATTGCAGTGGCGTTACGCAAAAGAAACGCTAGTCAAGGGGCCAGCGTAGCGTCCCGTGGCCTTTTCAATGCGAGTCGACCGGCTGACGGTTTTCCTTATGTATTCTGACCGCACTTGTGTTTTTGAAGCTCTATCGAACTCAAAGTATCTGCTTAAGCAAGTTGAAAAAATGTAATATGCATTAAGACAATGTACTAGGACTATTTAGGTTGTTGAAATATATTTAGAACAATTTCCTGGAATGGGGTTGAAAACCCAAAGTCAAACTTTTCAAAACTTGGATAATTTTTTTATTAGAAACTATGAGCTGGAGAGAAAAACTACTCACAGAATCTTTCTTGTTCAAAATCCGTTAAAAAGACTAAAGATTTTTTTATTATATTGTTGATCGTTGAAAAATTGTTAATAATTATTGAACCGACAGTCTAATTAATGAACAACAGATCCATAGAATGTATATTACGAGATTTAAAATGATTAAAATTGAAAAGGCCACAAAACCATACCTGGCTTACGGGTCAACAGTTCAAGTCGATTGTAAACAAGCTACCTTATATGTTCCATGGTATTTTCATTCACGTGCACGTAATATTATTTCATTCGAATAATTTTTTTCAAACAAATGCCCAGTGGCAAAAACGCAAACTTTTTACAAAGTAACGTCGATATACAGTCCACCACTGCTTACAAGCAAACGCGAGGCAAGTAAGTATTATAATCGAGACCAAGGCCGAAATACTTTTGAGCATCGGGCGGATAACGTTTTTTGAACGTGGTTTAATTTATTTCATGAATAAAAAGAGCTCTACGTACTTATACAAAAGTAAGCGTGGGTTACATACCGTTACTGAAATAGATTATCGCTGTAATTATGATCCATGATACGTATGAATTCTGCTAGTTTTATTATTGATCAAAGAATAAAGTAGTGAAGAGCCCCCCATCCCCCCTTGAAAACCGGTTTTCCATAATCAACTAAGTATGTTACGCTGAATTTTATATTAAAAATATCAGGCTAATCGATTCAATATTGTGACATTGATGTAATACTTCTTTCCGTGTGCACAGTGAAAATGTTGTCTGGCAACTTCATTTTATACTCTAATATGGGAAAATTTTTGGAGCCCCAATTTCAAGCTTTTGACCGAGTCTAGGGGACTCATAAAGCGTGAACTTCCTTTCCTCTAATATCGTATCGGTGTAAAAAGGAATTTTATATAGTAGGACTCGTGTAAATTTTGCTAAAACTCTTGCCAATTTCCATTTTCTGAAAAAAAATGAGCTCTTTTTCTAAGCATGAAATTTTCATTATCACAAATTGCGAAATAGTTGAGAAACTTGCATGCGAACGAGTAAATTCAAGTACTCGCGTTGCGAGCTTATAATTCATTCCGTAAGAATTCGGGAGCAAGTGAGTAGTCCGTGCTAGAGTGTGTGCGTGCGAGAGAGAGGCATGAACATGATGCAGGATTGCAAAGCAACACTAAGGTATGAATTTACTGACTATAGCGTTACACTGTCGAGCAGATCGTTGCACGAGCGTGATCGGAGGCACGATGACGACAGGTCCAGAGACGATCGGCCAAGACGGGATCGAAGAGATAACCACGACAAAGATCGGTGCGTCTCAATCATCAATTTTTTTTTTTGCTTGCTTTTCTCGCTTGACTAAATTTCTTATTTTTATGCGGCACTCACCGCGCTCACTTCGAGTAGACGTGACTGCATTTTTGTTTGGTTGTTAACATCTTGCATTTTGTTTATTTTGGAAAATAGCTGGAGGTGTAGTTACATATCAACATATATATATATTCGAACGATTCAGCACACTTATGGTCAATTTCAGTATTTGCTGTGTGTACGGATATGTAGTTCTTTTACCCTTTATCTGACACTGGATCATATATGTACATGTTTGAATAACTTGATAGTCATGAATAGTCAAAATCACGCTTGACGAATTCCGAAGGTCCGTAATTATTTTCTCGAAAAGAGTTCTTTTAGGGAAAAAGATAACACGAGATTTTATATAGATAACAAATACATTGTTTCTATTTTAAAAATACTACCACATTAGATTCGGTATATTAGGAATCAACGATAACACTGTAAAATTTTGAAAAATAAGGATTTTTAAAGCTACATTAATTGTTATTGGGAAAAAAGTGATAGTTTCTATATATTGCGTGTTATATTGAATTAGACTTATAAAAATAGAGATCACGCATATCTTATTGTCACATTTAACGTCAAGTTACATTTTTATGGTAGTTAGAATGAAATCCTGATATTGCAACACGTAATAACTTTAAATTGTCTTTAATTAAATATACGATCCAATTTTTCACTGAAGCGTTGCTAATCACCGCTGATACCGCTCCTCGGTAAACGGACGGTACAAAAGTGTAAGTACAGTGGATTATGTAAAAAACGTCAATCATAATCCAAAAATGACTTTAGAAAACAAGATGCTCGCTGTGCAAACAGACACATGCGTTATCGTCTGCTCGTATTGCATCTACATTTCGCGCAATGCGCCGTCCACTCGTCACTATTATCCTTATCCTAACGTACTTGGATACTTTCGGCTGTACAGATACAAGGACGACAAAAGCCGCCGTTTAGATCGCTACGACTCGTACGATCGACGTCGCGGCAAGCAGCATCGCGGCATCAGTAGCAGCTCGCCGAAGAGAGACTACACGCCAGAAAGGAACCGCGGCGCCAAGCAGGCCCGCGAGAGCGAGGACTCGCAACGCAAGAAGGACAAGAAAATCAACAAGGAGAAGAAAAAGAAGAAAGATAGCGAGGAGAAGGAGAAGAAGCGCAAGAAGAAGCGCGAGAAGAAGATGCTGAAGGAGGCCGCCGCCGCGGTGGTCAGCTCATCCACGATGATTGTCAAGATCAAGGAGGAGCCCAAAGACGACGTGGAGGAGACGACCAAGGTCACGCTGGAGGAGAGTCAGCCCGCCGTCGAGGAGAGCAAAGCCGCCGAGGTGGAGGAGAGCAAAGTCGTGGTGATGGCTGCTGCGGCCACTGCAGTCCTCGAGGAAGCGAAGGTCGCGGACGAGGTGAAACCGAAGCGCGAGGAAAACGAGGCAGCCGCGAGCGCGGCGACAACCACCACGGCCGAGGAGGAACAGGAGAAGCCGAGCGAGGCGAGCCTGTACGCAGGCGTGGTCGACGAAACCGAAATCACCACCACCCATTCCGAGAGCAAAGCCGAGGAGCAGCAGCCACAGCCGGCAAGTCCACAGCCCGTCGTCGCGGTGGCGAACTCTGAGTCGCCGAAGAAGGAAGAGTTCATGGCGCCATTGCCTGAGCTTTCCAAGTGGGAGCGCGATGAGAAGCCGAGCGAAGAGGAGGAAGAGGAAAAGTCGGCAACTCCCGAGAGGCCCAGCGGCGATGCCGTCAACAATGGTGGAGGCGAAAGCGAAGATGGCAAGAAGCTCGTCACCACGGAGGTCCTTAAGAGGGCTGAGAATGCCATTTTCCAGAAAGCCATCAACGCCATCAGACCGATTGAGATCAAGAAGATTAGCGAGAGCAGAAAAGCCCTCTATCAGAATCCCGAGCCTAAGGTCAGTTGTTGTTGTTGATTTTTATTTAGTCTTTGTTTTAGAGAATTTCGATGATCGACAATTTACTCTCTGTGTTTGTTACAGGTGCTCGAGCCAGAACCCGAGCGTGAGTCTCGCAAGAGTATGAACGTCATAATAAACGTCGACAAGAATCAGCGAAATGTAGAACTTTCCAGTGAGCCTCTTAAGAAGACGGCCAAGTCCAAATTCAAGAATCTGCAGTTGTCGCCGACGCGCCTGTCGGTGAAAGAACGCCTAGGCGAGAAGATCGAAGATGCAGCGAAAGCCAAGCTCGAAGCTAAGAGTAAAGCTGAGGCTAGAAGAGTATCGCTTACTCTCGACAACGAGCCCATTATACCGAATCCTGAGAGGAAAGTCTTTGTCGAGTCATCGGACAGAAAACGTGAAAGATCACGGCACGAGGTACGTTCTCATTGGTGATTGATGGCCAGTTGCTGTTTTACCTGGATAGTCTAGTTTTGTTTTTGGCACTTGCCCAGTGCAATAAATTTTCGCTGTTACTGAGCTGATTGTCCAGAGAAAAACAAAGTACATGATATAGTATGTAGTATACGTAGATGTTTTGGCGATTAATTCAGAGTATGTGGTTCTTTTTGTTTGTTTTATTTAGCGTGATTGGGCGATGCGTATGACTGTCAGGGTAAGTGGACAATGGCCGTCAGGTAAGATGACTTTTAGTAGATAAATCTGTGCCCCGTTTTTGGCCGACTCGAATGTAATTTCGTTTTACGTTCCATTGCTTTCGAGTTCAAATTGCCAGTTTTCATTTACTTTTGGGCGCGATTATCTATTATTAGTGTTTTGCTTGCGACGCCTTCACTTAAAGTGGATTGATTGATCTATGTATATTATTAGTTCATGATTGGTGGTATATGTATGTGTAGATAAAACTAACTAGTTTAGATAATGTATATTAATCGTATTCACGTAGATAGATAATAATAGAACAATTTGTTTTATTCAAAATTTATATCACATCTGCATGAAAAAATTATTTTGAAACTAATTAAGTGAATTGACAAAAATAATTGTGAGTCGTGATATTCTTTTAATAATACAGTAAAATAATGTATGCCTTTGAATGGATATTTCCGATGATCTCAATTAAGGATCAGTGAAGAAAGTTCTAGTAATTCATTTTACAGAAGTCTGCAATAAACATCGTAAATAAAATTTTATTTTTTTTTTATTTTAATATGTAATTTTTTATCCAATAAGAGTAGTTTTGTGTAGTTAATTAGACTCTAACCAATCTCCAAATATGATCTCTTAGGATCCACCTCCACGAGTGCACGAATCCCGAAAACCCGAGCGTCAAGCGCGTACACCACCATTGAAGCAGCGCAAACTGGCCGAAGCGGTTGAGGAGGTGAAAACACCATTATTGCCAGTTAAAAAGCCAGTGCGTGAAGAGCCGTTGACGAAGAAACGTAAGAAGGAGCGCAGCAAGTCCCACGAGCGTAAGAAACGCAAAGATAAGAAACACAAGAAGGAGCGAGCTTCGAAAAAGAGAAGCAAGGAGAAGGAAAGTGCTAGTAACACGCCGAAAGATGATCCTAAAGAGTCAACCCCGAGTAACGAACCAACGACCAAGCCGCAAAGGAAAAATCCTAAATTGGTGTCCGATAGGAAAAGGAGCGTTATTGACGAGGCGAATTTCGAGCCCGATTATTCGGCCTCGGATAGCGAGAGCGAAGAGGACGATAGATCGACTCTGCTTGCTACCAAGAGAGCAAAGATCGATAGTGATGAAATTATAAATGTTGATGCTGAACCTGTTAAGCCTAAGAAAAAATCTAAGGTAAGAAATGTTTTTTTTAATCCATTTGATAATAATTACATGCTATCATGCAAATGTGTTCGAAAAATGAAATTTATAGGAAAACTGTTTTTCCTATTTGTTTCTACGATAACGTAAGTCATTGCTGCTATTTTTGAGCTTGATTGTAAACAAAAATTCATTCAAATAACTCACTCAACTATTTTATCATCCTGAAAAACAAAATACTACTAATGAACTAATAATTGTTTTAATTACAGCAAACGAGTTCTGAAGATGACTCGTCCAGCTCTGACAGTTCGTCATCGGACTCGGACAGCTCGGTGGAGTCGCACCGAAAGAAGAAAAAGAAACACAAGAGGCGAAAAAAGCGTAAAGCCAAAAAGGACAGCAGTTCGGACTCGGACGCTTATAGTGACTCGTCAGATTCAAGTTCCGAAGAGGAAAAGCATCGTCGCAAAAAAAAGTCTAAGAGTAAGAGTAAAGCTTCTAAGAAGAAGAAGAAGTCTAAGCATAAATGACGACATTAATAAGTGTAAGTGATTCGCGCGCGCGAGATTTGTACAATAATCCGTGTGTCTGTGTGTCTGTGTTAGACAATGTCGACATTCAACAATGTGAATAAATCGTCGTCAAGTGCAAATGTGTCAAACCAGCTCAATGAAAGATAGATAAACACAAAAAACAAAAAAAAAAAGAGCAGTCATTAAAGTCATCAGTGTGCGATTTATTTATATAAAAACTAAGCCACTTGTAACAATAAACACTTGTGATTTTTGAAGGATTGTTTTTTTCTTGCTCATGCTTCTTTTAGTTCTTTAAATGTCTCTACCAGGCTGAACAGTACTGGTAGATCTTTAGTTTTCTCGGTATCTATCGTACCAAGGCTCTTAGTTATGAATATTCGATTCAGAGGTTGTTTCGATAATTCACATTCTGTATTGTAAAAAAACAAAACAGTAAATATTTAATAAATTAACCAACTTAATTTGATATAATTTATGATTTATTTCAATCACCTGTGACTAGTACACTTGATGTGTACTTGTATCCCATCCAATCTAGATACTCTCGTATAAGTTCATTGATGAGCAACACTTCATGTGGAGACTTGGGATGCTTTGGTTTGCTGGATCTATTGGAACCTTCAAGTAATTTCATGACCTTTGTTCTCATTTCAGCTTTAATTTGGCTCAGCTCACCATCGGCTTCCAAAGAACTTCTTACAGCTAAAAAATGTCATTTTTATGTTTATTGTCATTACTTAAGAAAACTAATTCCATTTTTTAACTGAACGCTTAAAGATTATTATGACTATAAAGAAAACCTAGATATAAGAGTTTACTTAAAACCTATAATGAACTATTATAAATTAACATTATTATAATGAAAAGAAACTATAGATATGTCATTATTTTTATAACTTTTAGCTTTAAAATCAAGCAATAAAAAATCAATTGATCTTAATTACAAAGCTCATGCAGTAAAAAAAGTATAATATTTCAAGCAATTCATTGATCAGTCAAGTATTATTATTGATCAATCAAAATGATTTACCATCTATCAACTCTTTTCCCGATGCCATTCTCAATAATATCATCAATTTAATTATCTTGTAAACTCTCGAATCTTTAAAACTATCAAAATAATGTTTTGGAGCGTTAACTAGCAACAGTAATTGACACGGCTGCGCAAGTCGTAAACAAACAGCCTAACCTAACGTGATAATACGCGGGAGCCGGGACGTTATTCTATTATAGTTACCTGATACTCGCCGACTGTTACGGAGCGGAGAGTTATTATGTGTATAAACATCGCTTTCGTTGTTTCTTTTATTTTGCTACTAACAAGAAATCTGTAAGAAATATCACAGTTCGCGATTGTAAAATTTTATTATTAGAATATTGAGTGAAGAATACTTTAGCTTTGTTCGAATTCTTGTTGGAATATCTGCATTACGTGACTTTCGTCAGTTGGAATACGTATTATAATTTCAGGTATGTATATTTCCATTTATATTTAAAAATACTATGTTCTTAATTAGTTTCGAATTTTGGAAAAACTGAATTCCCGTCTTTACAATATTTTATTTTCTAGTATTTCTTCAATTGGCAATAAAATTTATATTTCGAGAAATACTCGCCAATAACATTTAACATAATTAAAACGGAAATTGAAAGATACTATTTTAAGGTTTTTTTTCTGGCTCAGGCGGCAGATATATTATCTTGGTAATCAAACAATGACTTAAAAATTTATAAACGAATTTTTCCAGAACCGAATTAAATTAACAAAATCATATTTTTGTGTTTATTTTTATAAGTTTATTTTTGTTCGTTTATTAACCAACTTTGAGATTAAAAAATAACAATATAAAATAACTATATTTATGCTAATTTTAGTAGCTTTGCAATATTTAATGTATTCATTTTCAGTGACGATTTGTTTTTTCTTCTTATTGACTATAAATTCTTGATTATAAATAATATCATGTTAAATTGCTGATAAATTTTGTTAGAAATATATATCGGGCTTCTACTAGTTAACGTTTAATTTATTTCGGGCATAATTATTTCGTATCATTATTTTTATATTAGCACTATATTTAACAGCTAATTTGTTTAAAATTTCCATTACAGTTTCCAATAAAAAATGCTCCTTGATGAGTAGTAGAAAAGGGAGATTGTTCGACTTGTTACATAAAATTTTAATTAGTTTATTTTGTACGTTTCGTACGCCACATAATTTATTGCCGTAGGTACCGTTCCAAAATCCATGTGTTGCTAACTTCTACATTATAAAAACAAGTAACAGATGTAAATTCCTAGAGCGAGGTAATAGATCTATTCTTTAGGTATAAAAATATCAAATCTTTTAAACGTATGCATTATTTTATAAATTAAATGGAAGCAAAATAAAACATGTGGCCGCTTTAATAATGCCAGTAACGGAAATGGTTCAAGGGAGCGTAGAAAGGGCAATTGAATAATAACAGATGTTAGTGTTAAGGAAAAAATTGTTTGAATAATTATCAGTTTGCAAGACTTTTTCACATCACATTCGCCTAAACTACATATAGAGTAATCTTTATGGCGTGGAACGAGACCGATAGATATCATGGAGTTAATTAATTTCAAATAGTGATATAACGTCGCGCAGAATACGTGTAAACAATACCCTAAGTTACAGAATCCATAGCGTATAAAAAAACATCTTGTCGGATGATGGCACATTTAGGTCCGTAAGTCTTTTAGCATCTCTTGAATCACTAGGCAAGTCTGTCAAGCATTTCTCTTGGGGTATTTGATAACGAATTTGCCATCCTCAAGCACCATATCGTTGTCCTTGAAATGCGGCCAATCGGCTTGCTGATTAATGCGCCAAACGGCCAAACCTTCTCTGTAGAAGTCGGGTAACGTCTCGAATCCTCCGGCATCAGCCAGTCGCTTGTAGTACGCCCATTGTCCTTCCTTCAAGCGATGATCTCTTGGCTCGCCTTCCGGTATTTCGGCGTCTTTCAGTCTTTCCGCTAAGCTCGGCAATTGTACTTTGCCTCGCAGGAAGGCCGCGTAATACTTGGCCTGAAATCATCGCCACGCGCGCTCGATCGATCGATTCGGATAGAAGGAACGCTTTAAAAACTCCATACCTGTATGTGGTAAACGGAGAAAGTGATGACATATCCAGTCGGCAGTCCTAGGAACATCATCGTGGGGTGATAAGCGTTGATCATGTGCTCGTACAGTGGCTCAACGTATTTGTCGGTAAATGTGATGTCCGTGCTCTCGTCCAAGAATGGAAAGTCCAGCATGTAGCCGGTGCAGTAGATAAACGAATCACCAAAGATCGTCGAGCCGTTTTGCAGCTCCAATTGATTTCCCTTCGCTTTTACAACTCCGCTCACCTGGATTACATTCTTTGGCCACTTGCCCTCTATCCTGCGATTTTTCCACACTATGGTATTACACAGCATTCCACGATTGCTTCCATGACTATCTACACTTACTTGTCGTGTCGATGGCTGAGATAAATTTTTTTAGCATACGGACTGAGATCGATGGCAATATCAATGCCAGAGGTGCCAGCGCCTAGCAGAACGACCGTTTTGTTTGCATAATCTTCGGGTCTACGATAACCGTGACTGTGAATTATTTGCCCGCGAAATCCTTCGATACCTGGGATTACTGGGATTTTGGGTTTGAAGTTACCACTAAAAAGCAGTGGATATCGATTAATTCTCGACGATATCACATTTATAATAGATTTCTTACCCATTTCCAATGATTACGACGTCGCACGTTGTAACATAACTGCGGTCAGTATTCAAATCTTTGGCGTGAATGTTCCATCTTGTAGTCTCCCAGTCGTCTTCCTCTACCCGTGTAATCTTTTCTACGAAGGTGTCAAACTGAAACGGAAAGAGCACTTGTTATTTTAACATGCTCGGTATGGCTGCCTTGATTGTATTTGTAACTGACTCGGATGTGCGACCGAAAATTGAAGTGTTCAGTGTAGTTATGCAGATAGTTCAAGACCGTTTCGTGCTTGACGCAACTGCGATTCTCACCACCAAAAGTTTGGTAATCGGGAAAAGCCATAAGTACTCTTGGCGCGTTCGTTCTGCCAATAAGACAATTTTTCATAATTTTTTTTTCTCGAATGAATAACTGTTGAATTTCGCTGATGCGTACCTCAGATTTTTGTAAACGGCACTGCGCGTTGGTAATCCATGCTCATTCAAGTCGCCATTATCTGTATAAATCCACAGACCGCCTATATCCGCATTGAGTTCAAAGCCAATCGGCTCGAAATCATTGGGATACGATGCTAATTCCTTGATCATGGCAAGTCCAGCGCCTCCTGCTCCAATGACACAAACTTTTTGTTTTCGTAGTGTTTTTCCAGACACCACCATTGCGAGTAAAGCATGCAACCAAATAACCGACCACCTGAAATCCAATTTTTGCTTAGCTGTGACAATAATTATGATGTCATTGTTATTGTGTGTTTAGAAATAACTACTTTAGTGAAATGAAAATTGCGAATCATTATATAGTCTAGAAAATTCGACATTTTTGAAAAGTGATTCTTTTATCCATGTATCAAAATAAAGAAAATTATCCAGTTTGAAAGGTTCATCGAAATGGAAATATTAATCTTATTCTTGAAACTAAATTTTTTTCATGTGTTCGGCCTGTGCACAGCTCATAGCAGCCAATTCTGAACCAAATGTCTTTGACAAGCCCCATTTTTTCGTTATTTGATCTACTTTAAACTAATGGTATTGGTATTGTATGTAAGTAACATCAAATAAATTCTAATAATCAACTGTGATTACAAATGATAATTTGTACGTTTTCACAAACTTTTGGTTAAATTGGCCAAATACAATGTTCAAAGAATAAGACAGTTCATTCGTATAGCGCCATTGTTTTAAACAAATACTAACAAAAATATGGAGCTTCGCGAGAAATTGTTTGGTTCATTTTTACAGTTAGAAATCTGTGCGCAAGCAGAAAACAGTTTTTTTAACGACAAATATGAAATAGAGCTAAATAAAAGGTAGTTTGGAATACTACTAAAATATACGATTACTGAAGCCTCAAAAATTAATTTTCAAATGATTTAACCGAGAAATAAAAAATATGTCTGAGGTCTCACCCTTTAATAGATATAAAAGTTCGAATTTTGAAGGAAGTACTGTAGAATTCAAGTCAGAAAAAGATTCAATGTAAATTAGTTTTTTCGTTACAAATACATAATCAATGTAATTCGGTAGTCGAGTAAGTGAATTAGATATACATTTAATCGAATGTTTCTCGTACGATAAGTAAGTGCCAACGAACGCGAAACTTCTTTGTCAAAATATTATCATCAATAATAATAATGGACTTCTATAATTAGGGGAATTGGCGCGATACATCATCGTCGTTTAATTAAGTACGCAAACACTTCTGTATGTTTGGATTCGCGAACCTTACATTCATTTTCTTGTTACGTATAAATATTTTCGTATCGTCGACTTTCTGTTCAATTTAAATTTCCATTATTATATTAAACGCTCAACTGTCATTACTATCGCTATAGTCGATTGGTCATTACTGATGTGTTTGAATGAATATCCATACAATTTAAACTTATCGATCGTTCAAAAAAATCTTTGATTCAATTAACATCTTTATCATTTATAATCACGCCCTATTGTTTTCGTCGATTTACTCGCGTGCCCTCGATAATCCACGTTTAACCTTTTAATTCTTCTATATAATATGTATTTCCTTAATAATGCAATATTTCACAAGCGAGTCATTTACGCGATATGAAATCAATAAAAAATCAGCTGTCCATTTTCCTTGTCGAATAGCTACATTGTTTTTTTCTCTATTTGTTTACATGTCGTTTTCTTTGTTATAGAATTAGGGTTGGGTTTATCATTAGCTTTCGTGAGTTTGTCACGATTTCAGATCAGGACTGGGCGAATCTAGACGAGATTCTCAACAAGCTTGCTGCAGTCGACTTCGGACCTCACAATTTTCGCTCCCGGGAGCGAAATTTGCCCAGCCCTGTTTCAGATGGCGGCGTGAACACAATTTGCGCATTTATTTACGAATCACATAGAATATTTTTGTAGCTCATTTGTTTTTTAAACTTTTGCAATGCATTTATATATCCAGTAACTTATGCAATTTAAAATATGGAATTATTAGATTCGTAAACATGTCGTTATTTATATAAGAAAAGAGAGAGAACGATATACATCACATTTTAATTATAATCATTATTATAGTTCGAAATAAATTAATTTGTAAACATACGATTTGCTAATGAATTTTTTTAATTATTTTTTGAGGAAAATGTAAACAAATATTGGTATTGCTTTTTTTGAACGACCAATAAGTAATATAATATTGTAGATAAAAGTTCATCAATATTTGTTTATAATTTTATTTATTGTGATCGAAAGTTTTCGAGCCAACACGTATTTAACATTAGATATCGCAATGAGTATCCTGGCTCCCCCGCTACTTTCTCAGATTTCTTTTTGCAATAATTGTATGTCTCACGATGAATGAACAATAATGCTGGTAAACCGTGTAGTCATTCTTCACTAAGGAAATATTTTTTTTTTCATTGGGAATCACCGGCGGGATTACGTATCCTCGGTGAAATACTTCATTGTAAAATGCTGACGTGCGATTAATGCAATAATAAAGCGTTTTGCGATTTGATCAACTGATCAAATCGTCAACTGTTGTCATTCAAATTTTTTAAGAAAATTTCTTAAATCAGCTTTCTCTTTGAATATTTAGAGTACTGATTATTAGTTTTTTTTGTATAAAATAATAAGATATTTGGTAGACTTCCATTGTATTGGACTGAATTTTTGCTTCTTATATACTTGAAAATTAAGGCATTACATGTTGAATATACAATAAAATATCTATTGCATACTTAATCGTTAATGTCTCAAATTAAAAAATAAACAAACAAAACTTTCTTATCTTAATTGGAAATATTTCTTTGAAACTAGCAAATAATCTTCTTTTAAAAATGAATTTCTTAATTAAATATAGTCCTGAAAACTAAGAAGCTATTGTTCTTATTTTGCCAAAATTGGAATGACAATGAATGAATCTTTTTAAAATAAAAAGAACATTTTTCACTAAAAATAAAGAAATATATTTCTTACTTGAGAACATTTATGAGTTTCTCGATTTTAGTAATGGATAGTTATATGTTAAATTGCATTTGATATTAATAAAAATATTTTGTTAGTTGTCATTATAAATTTTATTATCGCAGATTATTCAGGAAATCTAATTTTGAATTTTTTTAGTACATCTATTACTTTGATAATTTCTTATTTTAATATTTAATAGTAAAAAAATTTTTCTTCGTTTTCATGAAAATTTTGAATTTCGGGCTCGAGTAAATCGGACGTACTCAGAAAGGGGATAAGAATAAAATGAAAACACGTAAATATTGGAATTACATTTTTTTATAAAATGATATAACTTACATTCTTTTAGTGGTCGACATTTTTAGCAGTCCGAATACTTGTCCAATAGGAATAATTGATGATTAGTATGAGACTAGGATGCGTTAAATACTTCCTCGTTTAAGCTAGAATGTCTCGAATAATAATGTTACAAGTACTCGTGAAATCCTCTTTAATCTACTTTGATAACGTACACGATAAAATCTTTATAATCTCTGATTTATAATTGACGTATTGCCCATTACACTTATCAAGATTCGAATCACTTGTTTTATTGATTTATTATGTATAAATGAAATCTAACGAGGAAAAAAATGCTATACTTATCTTCTTTGCGCAAACTGGATTATTATGCACGAATGTAAGTTAATTAGTACATTATGTACCGAGGGAGCACAGTGAGCAATGAACCTCGCTTCGTTCGGTTGGAATTATGGGTGGTTTATCTACTGTACTCCCGTGGGGTATACTCTCGTGCAGTGTGAAGAAAAAAAGGCAAATAAATGAAATAGTTAGATTTACGTACTGTTGGCGCTCAATTCTGTGCAGAATTTTAATGATTTTAGCCAGCTGTTCGTTAAAAAGAGAATTCTATCGCTTTCAAGATCTATATAAAATTTATTAGTAAAAAACTAAAAAAAATCTTTAACAGTTACTTTGTCTCATTTATAATTTGACTTTCAAACATATAATCTTTTTGCTACCTTGGAGAATTAAGCTTACGTATTATTGACGAATAATGTTGAAATTGATGCTTCACTGCTCTAAGAAAAGAAAAGAGAAAAAATTACCGATTGCTTAGAAATAGCGAGACAATTCAATTAAAAAAAAATAATTAGATGGAAGTTTATAATCTTATCAGTAAAGTATATTACATGTTATTTGTCGTATTTTTAAATGAAAACCATACTTTAGTTAATCCATGAAATATCTGATATTTAAAAGAACACTCGAAACTACAATTTTTCTGTATTTAATAGCGAAGCAAACACTTTCATCCAAAAATTTTTTTCATCAAATTATTTTTGCTTTGTGTACTGACACTTTTTTCGTCATTTTTTAGGTATTTTCTTGAGCGGTAGTAGTACATATTTCAGTAGTTTCATTAATCTATTGATTATCTTAATCATTCGCAAATTTCATTGCAAGTTCATGATTTATTCTCGCGATTTCTACTTTCATGAAATTTCATAAATTTGTCGGTATTTGAACAGCTGCGCAGAGATATAATTGCCTTGCAAGTAAACTCGATCGTTTGAATCCACTCAAAAGGTATTCTCATGATTATAACTTATAAGTTTTTGAAACTAGAATAATACGTGTGAGATATCTACTTTTAATGAATTAATTATGAAACGACTCCAATTATATTGGTAGTTTTAAATCAACATCAATGCTGTTAAAATATTGCCCCTATTTTATAAACTTTTCTTAAAATTGTATTGTAAACGTAGATTAATTGATTACTCTCAAAAGTTAACGAATCAAACGTTACAGTTTCACTGACCTAGCGACTTTACCAAATTCAATAAATGAACAACTGGTTTATTGATATCGTTTTATTTAATGCACTGTCATTTCATTGGTTGTAAGATATAGATATATTTATATTTCTTGGAACAATTGAAATCAGGCATTTAATCGAATAATAACTGTAATAATAATTTGATATTACCGTGATTTTGAATTAATGTTTGGGCAGTGGTGGATAGTAACGATTAACGGCGTTACAAGTAATACCGCTAGTTGCCCCTTCCCAACTTTATCGAATTATTTGTATCAATTTTACGGTGGAATAATGTAATAAAGTTATATTTTCAATAACGTTACTTTATAAACAATTAGCTTCTCTATTTTTCATACATTTAGTTAGTTTTTTCTCGGAAAAAGACGAATTATAACAATAAACAGTACCTTTTGTATATACCGAGATCGTCAAAGGGTTTTTGGGTGACCGAGGGGTACAAGTACAGCACGGGTTGAGTCAAGCTAGCACGAGCTAACGACGAGTGCGTTCTGTGAAATGAGGACGAGTACTGCAATTGTGATCCTGATAAAAAGCCGGAAAGCTGGCGCTTAAAGTCCGATAACGCGGATAAAATCTCGAAAATTCTACATGGGTTTGATGGATGCATTCTTTTACTACTTAACCTCGTTGGAATAACACAGTACTGGTGCATTATCGTTGTAACAATATTTTTTATAAGTAATTCTAGTAATGGCGTTTCTTTCGGAAACAAGCGTAACGGCTTGACTTATAACGGCGACATACAGTGATGACGTAACTCCAGAGTTACTACAACTGATTTCAAAAACTAATTATAATATCACTCTTTCAGATTTAGAAGAAGCCAATTTCTGAATATTTGTACAATTGCGTTATTATAGACGTTCACATTCACTCTACAACTGAACTTTAATTTTCGGACTCCCTATCAAACTGTGTAGTTAACTGTGAGTACATCAAACCAACATACATGTGTCTGTATATATAAATATAATGTATGTATTTTTCACTTTTATATATTAATGTTACACATCATTGCATCTTCATCAGAATAGATAATTATTCGAACAAAAAAAATGTTTGAACTGGAAAAAAGAATAATAGATGACAAAAACTACATTGGTATAGCTCAGTTATATACTCTCATGAAACGAAGCACGGGTCACGATCGACTAAATAAAAAGAAACTTTTACATAGTTTATACATGATGATCGATGATATGTTAGACCAACGCGTAGACCTTAATTATCGAATTCGAGCAAGCTATTTTTTAAAAACCAAAATGCCTCATATGATTGGTTCTACTATACTTCACTTGGTTCCGAAGGAATGCCACGTCAAGACGTTCAATTATTTGATTAAACGAGGCGCAGATTTCACGGTGCCAAACAGCAGACAATTTACTGCCCTTCATGAGATGATGTATAAAAGCAACTACAAAAAGTGCTTTGATAACGGAACTTTGGATAACGGCTTGAAACCAGATCCATTCGTTACGTCCGCATTGTTGGCTCATATTGAATACAACAATTCATCGAATCCGTGTGACAATAATGGTGTGTCTCACTTTAGTATAGCTTGCATGACAAATAACGTCAAAGCTGTCGAATTTTTTTTGGACCACGGGATATCAGTTAATGAAGTTCACAAAGCAGATTGGAGTAATACAACTGGTTACACGCCTCTACATTTTGCCGTGAAATACTGTGCGGACGAAGTTGCTGAAATACTGTTGAATCGTGGCGCTGACTTGACGGTAAAGGACTCGAACGGAATGACAGCTTTACAACTACTCGTCGAAGAAAAAATGAAAGTTTGGTACAAGCGAACGAGAATGTTGTCGATGCGTCTTTCCAACATCAAGCGCATAACTTACAAGACTGCGAGGTCGCTTATTGAGAAGTATGAAAGAATGATGAAACTGATGCTGGACAATTATAAGGATGACAACGAGGCTGACGTTGATTTTACGAGGTTCTGCGCTGCTTGCACGATGCAAGACACGTCGACGCTCAAGCGTTATTTGAACAATAAAGCCGTGAGCTTCAAGCAAACGACTAGCTGCAATTCTCTTGTATGTCCTGGTTACACGGCGCTACACTTTGCCGCCCATTGTAACGTCAAGGCAGTCAAGCTTCTAATAAAAAATGGAGCAAGCATGGAAGTGAAAGACGCAAAAGGTGTGACACCTCTAGATATCTGTTTGCGCACATTCAAAGTAGAAGACATCCACAATATTATGCTACTTCGAGAAGATTGGTCAAATATCACATTCCTGAATGAAACGGTCAAATTATCAGATTTCATCTATGCCATGCGAGCACCAAAGTTATTTGAGGATTTTCTCAGGAATAAGCTGACGAGCATGAACACTTTTGTTAGTTTGGATTCGCCTATTTACTCCGGCTACACTCCTCTGCATTTGGCAATTGCTTGCACTGAGACTTGTCCGAGTAACTGGCCAAATCGCGTAAATCGCTTACCCAGATACTTAAAGAGAATCAAAGTGTGTTTGATACTTGATTCGGACGTCACCACTGTGAATGCCGATGGATTGACATCGGTTCATCAAGCATTCAGGTTATGTGAGTACGACGTGGTTTCTCATCTGCTGCATTATCAAAAATCGATGGTTAATCCAGTCGATAGTAACGGGTTTTCACACTTTCATGCTGCCTGCGTGGTCAACTGCAAGACTCTAATAAAAAAACTAATCAAAGTTGGCGTTAACACCAATACACCTATCACATCAGGATTCAAATGGTACAAACAAACTAGCGTTTGCGAGTCTTTCGTTGCTAGTCGTTCGACGCCGTCACACCTCCTTGCAGATACTGGCGATGTTGAAATGATGTTTTCAATGGCAAACCGTAATAAGGATATGTTTGTCAAAGACGCCGACGGCTTGACTGTAGTCGAGCGAGCAGTTAAGGCACCTTTCAAGTTTAAAACCTGCGTATATTGCACGAAAAATACATCGTTACGTGAATCTGATTCTCATAACGATTTTTTCAAATTAACAGACAGTAATAATTTTCTTGAGAGCTTCGGTGATTATAATCTTACGTTTCTAATAAGGGACATCATCTACGAAGTTACAAACAGTAATATCCCGCGTAATTTTGATGCACTTTACGAATTACTACATCATATTCCGAATGTATATTTCAATTTGGATATGATCGTAAAAATCAACACATCAAATAATAGCAGAATAATCGTTGATGAACAAATACTGGAACGCGTCTTCAAGAAGATGGGTATAACGATGTTACATTTAGTGTGTTACAAGCAAAGTTACAAGCAAATCAAGGAGCAATTGGATAATGGCACGAGCGCGAATGCTCGTATCAACGACAACTCGCCATTCTATCCCGGCTTTACGCCACTTCATTTTGTAATTTTAGATTGGCAAAAGGAAACTTTTAATTATCAGCTTATCCGGAAAAATATTAATTTATTGCTGCAGTACGGGGCTGACGTTACAATCGCTAATCATGATGGGAACACTCCGCTTCATGAGCTTGTTGAAAAGATCCCGCATAATAAAGGTATACAATCAATGTTCACAATATTTGCAGATTTTCAATCTATTTATCTATTTCGACAATAGTGAATTGAGATTATTTCCGAGAAAAAAAATTTAGTTTCGTGAAAAATCAAAACAAGATTAGATTCATCTGTTATTAATTTTATACATTAATTGTCATTGTTTCACTAAATAATTAACAAGATTAAACAGTATAACAGTCATATAAATATTTTAATAATCATTCATTTTTTATTTTGATTCTGCGATCGTTTCAATTTTCAAATCATCTTTCAGTTTTCAACGTAAACTGTTATGAGCCGTTGATCGTGCTACTGAAAGGTCAGAAAGATTTCAGCATCAACCCAGAAAATTCAAATGGGATCTCACACTTTCACATAGCTTGCATCGTAAATGAAAGGAACATGGTGAAAAGGTTTATCAACAACTGGATCAAAGTGAATCAAAGCACTGATCATTTTTCAAAAAAATTCGGAGGTTACACGTCCCTTCATTTTGCTATGATTTTTCCGTCCGAAGATATTTACAGTCTACTTCTGAGGCATGGAGCTAATGTAAATGTCAAAGACAGTTCGCGTAATACTCCACTTCATGTGGCTGCCAAATCTAAGAAATGCGGAAGAGGTGAAGTTTTCAACTGTATTTTAGGGTAAGGAAAAATTATGAGTCATGGAATTTTTCAATACTAGTGTGGAAGCTAAGTCCGATGACGTATGCAATTAGTTTGCTAAAGCTAAAAACATCTTATTCTTATGTATTTTGACCCACTGAATCCGAATCCGCAACTATAGATTTTTCGAAAAAAAGGTGAAAAATTGTTTAAAATGCAATTTTTTATAATGATTAGTTTAGCTCGGCCTTTTGTTTTAGAAAATATCGCCCATTTTAAGACGAAAAGGCTCTTAGTAGTTTACTCGTAAAATGTGTATTTTAAAAGTTAAGAATTTTTATAAGTCATAAATTTGACGTTTTTTACTGACTGGCTATTAATAACTTTTACTGTACAAATTTATATAAATTCAGATTTATCTAGACCTCCGAAAAATGTACTTTTTTGCAATCATATATGAGGCTTTTTCGATTCTTCATATGCAGTGTATATACTTGGAAGGGACCTTCCTTCTTAAAGTTTTTATACTATGATTTCATTTTTCAAGTGTGTACAATGGTTCAAAATAATAATTATTATTGTGCTAGTTTAACAATTATTACATTCATTAAAATATAATTATTGTATTCATTAATTGAGTTAGTTTTTTATTATAATTATAAAAATATAACTTAAACGTGTTTCTACGTCAAAAATAAAGTTAAATCCTGTTTTTCCTGTAAATGTGCCAATGAAAAAAAATGTAGAAATAAATTAAATGAATTTATCTGAAAATATCATTTGTGCAAACAAATATTGTTCTCGTATTATTTATATAAGTTAGTAACCAAATCGATAGATTAATTTAGTAACTAAAGATAATGTAAAAAGACTAGATAGAAGGAAGGCTCTCCCAGGTGTATATACTGCATATGAAGAATTGAAAAAGCTTCATATATGATTGCAAAAAAGTACATTTTCCAGAGGTTTAGACAAAAATATGAAATTATATAAATTTGTAGAGTAACTTTCAAAGAATAAGAATTTTTTTTTAATTTAAAAAAATATTGATTTGGTCAAAAATTATTAGCAGCTAAAGTCAGTAGAAAACGTAAAATGTACGACTTTTAAAAATTTATAACTTTTTGAATATGCATTTTACGAAAAAACTACTACAGACCTTTTCGTCTTAAAATGGGCCATATTTAAAAATATTTTTAATACTTTATTTAAACAATACCTTTTACAACAATTTTCTACCACTTTTTCGAAAAATCTAGTTGCTGATTGAGATTCAGCGGATCAAGATACATAAGAATAAAATGTTTCCAGCTTTGACAAGCTAATTTCATGAGATCAGACCTAGCTCCCGAACTATATGTTTTCCTGTTTTTATCCGAATCATACAAATTCATTTTTCATTATTTTCGTTAAACTTTTTTTAGCACTAATTAACTGGATCTATTTAATTGCAGATTTGGAGCTGATGTCAATGCCAAGAACAATATGCAAGAGACACCACTGGAGATACTAGTTATTAACACGAAGGCTACTCCACAAGCCGTTATATATTTCAAACAACATCGTGCTCGTGTAAACATAGTCAATCCAATCAGCCACGAGGCCCTTTTATCTCATGCCATAGAGTGCTTAAGTCGAAATGAATCTATTTTCGACGAACTTACCGCATTTCCAGATATAATGAATGTGGATGAAAATGGCTCTACTGCTATGCACAATATCGTTAGGGATACGTATTATGAGGTATTTTTTTCTTACTATTTTTGTTACTGTCTAATTATACTTTTAATGTGACACTTTTGTCAAGCAGTGCTGTCAATTAATATAAGTACACTGCTATAAAAAATGCATTATTATTTTTAAGGATCCAAATTTTGGAAGCTTATTTTGGAATATCGAAGAGAAATATATTTCCCTGCACGCCCGAGCGATCGAGATTCTAACAAGTTTAAATTTCGATGTCGATAGTCAGGATAATAAAGGTACTCATATGTTGATTAGATTTATTAGTTAAAGGTGTTTAACGAGTTAAATATCATTATTTTGCTTCCATAATCAAAATAAATTTTCAGGCATGGCACCTCTCCATGTCGCAGTCGAAAACTACAATTTCGACGGGATGATTGGTCTTTTACTGAACGGAGCCGATGTCAATGTATGCGATACGAATGGAAATACTCCGCTCACATACATCTGTCAAGCTTACAATCGAATTCCTAATGCTACAGATCACATATTATTGTTAAATAATATTTTTACTTTCCTCATAATACACGTACACATATTGTTATTCATGAAAATTGATGTGAACAAAGCCAATCGGGACACGTACGCTAAGGCTATGCAGAAATTCAAATTGAATGAACTGGACATTACTAACCAACCGAAAAAAATAAAAAATTTTCTCACTTACTCGTCATCAATTAACCTTAATTACTTTCTGTCGGAAACCGGTGTCATTGCTTCTTATCCTTACGTTACGAAACATCAACGTCAAATAATTGATGAATTCTTTAAGGACAGTGTGGAGATCTTGTCCAAAGAATGTCCTTATATGACATGTTTACTTAAACTTCAGTATCGTAAAGCTCTTCATAGAGCAGAGTTGGTGTCGAAAGCCACAAATGCATTGAATACTTTATTGGGATTTCAGTTACCGGTACTTTGCTCCGATCCACTTATGCGGTTTTTAACAAATCAAGACTTGAAAAACATCGACGCCACGGTACATGTGACATAAGTGTTGTGATTAGATAATTTTATTATATTTTGTTCAACTAGGATCATTCAGTAATTGTATTTTTTATACGAACTGTTTATTTATATTTTTTTATATCAAATATATTATAAAATTATTTTACATATTGCGACACAGCTTCCACTGCTAACAATATACATTTAATATGATTGCGAGTGTCACTCGGTTTAATAATATGTTAGTATTAAAATTATTTTTACAATCATATTATACACTTGTTTTAATATTGAAATAAGTTCGATTGTATTGTATCAAAGAGCTTGTTAAAATATTATGAGAATGTTTATATTACACGTACATAAACAATTACATTGATCATCATGAAAATAACTTGATTATTAATAATTTATTTTTTAATTACATCAGTTTAAATAATAGTTTCTTCATTTGAAATTCGAAAAACGAAATCTTTCTACTTAATGCTTTATTTCATTCCTTATAAATACTGTATTCGGTCAGATTTCTAGACACATCTTTATCTAAAGTCATATAGATATTGCAATCAATAATTATTCAGTTATTTAATATGCGATATTAAACAGATTAAATAGATATATTATTAGTTAGATATACGACAATGATTTCTTTTAGTTCAATTGAAAATATGATTTAACTGGTATTATCTAACTTCTTTGATTTCAAGTAAAATAATTTCAAATATGGAATGAAAGTAAATAAGGCAAATTTAAATAGTAAACGCAGAATTAATAATGATCTTTCAAATTCAGTTTTGATATTTTTTTGACAATGTTCAAATAATAATAAAAATTTCATTTTTTTGAGTATACAGAAATCAATAGGAAGTGATTTGATTATTAGATATAACTAACAGTAACAAAAGCGTACGTTAAAATAAAATTCTTTTCATAGTGAAGAAAATTCGGCTTTTGATCAGTTGACATGTAGTTTATTTTTAAACATGAAATAAAAAATCATATTTACAAATATGATGTAGAAAAATAACATATTTTAAAACAATACAGAGCAACTTCGTTATTTCTAAACGAGATTTTCGGTATTGGCTTATTTTTATTTAAGAGCTTATTTAAACTTTTCCAGTCATCCATTACATTAATGAAACGTACTAAAACTATATTATGATTTACTTAAAAAATATTAGTATATTTCTTTGTATCATTTTATACAATCTATGTGTCTCCATATGTGTGCGTGTGTGTGTATGTGTGTATATAAATACATGTTAAATTAAAAAAATGTCAAAATACAGTTAACGCCAGTGATTGCGATTGATGTAAATAACACGAAATTATAACACTTTTTGAATGGAATAGTTTGAGGGTATGGAAGGTGTATCGTTTTTGCATTACATCTTATTTTAGCACTTTTATTATTTCATTGTAGGCATAGTTGTGGAACTGGAAATGTCAGTAGTATCATCAGAACGCCATAACTGAGTGATGGTTTTTGTTTGGGTGTGAAAGTTTATGCCCTGGAATATGAAAGAATCAAATGAGAACAGGAGAGATGTGTCATTTCTGTCGTTGCGGATTTAAATGTGGACTTACGTATTTGCCATAAAAATGATTATCGCCGAAGAAAGATTTCTTGTTGCCCGTGAAACTGAACATGGGCAGGGGAACTGGAATTGGCACGTTCACACCGATCTGCCCGGCTTCGACTTGCTCGGTGAAACGTCTGGCGCTGGCACCGTTGGTCGTGAAAATAGCCGTGCCGTTTCCGTATGGATTATTGTTGATCAGCTGTATGGCCTCGTCGAGGGAACCAGCTTCCATGCAGACTAGTACCGGGCCGAATATCTCTTCCTTGTAGCAAGTCATGTGAGGCTGAACGGAAAAAATGAGTCGATCGTTCCACAAAAGAAAAGAAAAAAAAAAGAAAAGAAAAATTACCTTGACCGAGGTGATGACGGTAGGGCCGACAAAGTTGCCGTCCTCGAAGTTGGGCACCTTGATGCCGCGACCATCGAGAAGAACGTTAGCGCCCTCCTTGGAAGCTGACTCGACGAGCTCGCAGATGCGCGTCTTGGATTGCGGCGAGATGACGGGGCCAAGATCGGCGCCGGGCACGTGGCCGGCGTTGACGTGAAGCCGCTTGGCAGCCTCGACGATCTCGGGTATCCACTCGACGGACCTGCCGACGAAGACCGCGACCGACAGCGCCATGCAGCGCTGCCCGGCCGCGCCGAAGGCCGCGCCCACGATCTGCGAGATGCTCTTGTTCTTGTTGGCGTCCGGCAGCACGACGCAGTGGTTCTTGGCCCCGTTGTTGCACTGGACGCGCTTGCCGCGCTGGCTGCTCCTCTCGTAGATGTACTTGCCCGCCCGATCCGAGCCGACGAACGACACGGCCTTGATGTCCGGGTGGTCGCAGATGAAGTTGACCGCCTCGCGCTGGCCGTGGACGACGTTGAGGAGGCCGGGCGGGGCGCCGGCCCTGGAGAACAGCTCGGCGAGCATCATCGACGCGCCCGGCACGCGCTCCGACGGCTTGAGTATCGCGGCGTTGCCGCAGGCCACGCTTATCGGGAACGTCCACAGCGGCACCATCGCCGGGAAGTTGAACGGGCAGATCGAGCCCGTGACGCCGAGCGGCACTCGGTGCGAGACCGTGTCCATGTCCGTGGCGATGTTGTTCATCGACTCGCCCAGCAGGAGGCTCGGTATGCCCGCGCACATGTCCACGACCTCTGCGATTCGCCCACATGTACACGCCGTCGCCACCCGAGGGCCCGTCGCTCGCTCCTGTCCCATACTTACGAAGCCCGCGCAGCACGTCGCCCTCGGCGTCCGCCATGGTCTTGCCGTTCTCCCTCACGAGGCTCGTCGCCAGCTCCCTCTGCAACCGAGCGTCTCGTTACTTGGTGCGCCGGTCCCCGGCAATAACCCGGCCGGACGCTATACCCACCGCGTGCTCGCGAACGAGGGCCTGATACTTGAGCATGAGCGTCTGCCTGGTGAGGACGCTCGAGGTGCGCCACGCGCCGAAGGCCTTCCTCGCGCTCGCCACCGCGGCCTGCATCTCGGGCTCGGTGCTCTTGGGCGTGCGGCACAGCAGCTCGTTCGTCGCCGGGTCGTGCACCTCCGTGAACTCCGTCGCCCTCGACTCTGCCGATTACCATTCGATTTTTCGCTTTCGCATTCTCGCGCGACTCGCCTTGCCTTCGCCGAGGGCAGCTGTCACGAGTACGCTCGACGCGTAGGTCGTTCGACCATTCGAAATCTCATCGTGGATCGAGTATCGCGCACGAGGCGGTGCTACATCACGGCGCGCGACGAGACAAACGTACAATCTGATTTTGATTGATTCGCCTCGCGCGCCAAGCACGCGAGCTCGCAAGCTATCGCAGATACACGCGAAGCAGGAATTTTCGAACGCCGCTGCTGGCTTGACGTAGGCTCAGTTACGTAAACGCGCTTGCGCGCTTCTTCTTTTTCTTTTCTTGTTGTCGTTCGCGCATGCTTATGCAGATGACATATACGTATGATTCAATCTACAGGCAGCTTTTAACCGATGTAATCGAATCGATCGAGCGCGCGTCACGCGCCGCTTTGCCGCTGCGCCAACCAAACATTCAATGCACATTACCAACGAATTGGCCGTCGATGAACATTTTCACGGTTGGCACGCTGGTACTGTAAGCTCTCGTTGATGTGGCTCTCTGTAATCAACAGTTGACAAGCGTTGGCTTTTAATCCAAAGCAATTGAACGTTCGATAAGGAAAATCTATTTTTAAAAAATGGCGGGGAGGGAATTCTGTTAGTGAATCAAGGAAAGGCCTGGCGAGCGGAGAAATTTGGAGACGTATCGAGCTTTTGTTTAAACCTTATCTTCATGGTCAGCAGTTAAAATCTGCGTACCATCTGTGCATGATCTTACGATCAGCGGGGGTGGGGCAATGTGTGCGCGTAATATCAGCTTATTTGTTCCGACGGGCGCGATATTACGATTCAATGATTTCTCACCTGGCCTCTTTTGATCGGCGATAAAAAACAAGAGATTTCGTTTGCCCAGAGCGGCGAGGCGACAGCGCACGCGATACAACTCGCTTTCCATCATTTCGGAAATTCCACGCGAATGAAAAAATGCAAAGCTCGCGCGTGGACTCGAGGGCGTTTCTCTGCATCGCGGCGATTGTCAGTCGTACGAGATAGTCCAGAATCCGTATAAGGCGAATACGAGCGAGATCTTCCGACGCGCAGGCAGATTCAGAGCAATCGTATTTTGCAGTTGGGAGGTCGTAAATTAAAGAAAAAACAATTGAACAGTGAAGGTCGCATTATTATTTCTACTAGCGTCAAATTTTGTAAATACATTTTTTCGACTTTTCAATCACTGTCATTAATCGGCAGCGAAAGAATTGACGGTAAACTATTTTTTTCAGATGAAAGAATTTTAACTCTCTTCGTGTGTTTTTCATGAAAATATTCCGAAAAAAGTTCATTCGCCACTGCATATTTTTTCCCTGACAACAGTTCATGTCACTGATAGTTCTTATCAAACCGCTTTTTAATTTATCAAGATATTAGATAATTTTAACATTGACTTCTATTCAATGAGATTAAACGATTAAAGATAAAATGAACAAAAAACGTGTTATTAGCTATTTCTCAAGAGTTTGTGAAGTTCAGTGTATCAAAAAATTGAAAATATTAATCTTATTACTATTAGTGTAATCAGGCGTGTGTAATTTGGAAAAAAAACGAAGTTAAAAAATGAGCGATAGAATGCAGATGATAAGTGTTTGTCACAATTTGTACCTTCTGAATGTTCAATTAGTCCAAGGGACATATATATACTAATTGAACAACCAAAGCTAAATCTAGACGTATCCAATCCAGACTCCTTTGTACATTAAAAACTTATAGACATATTTTAACAAAAATGCTTGTTAAAACAAACGTGGTTGTAAAAAATTAAATTGTGTAAGCTACTCTATTCTAACTAAGTTGCAGAAGTGATTAAGTAACGAAATGATTCCGAATTTTATAAGAAATCCATGTATGTAACTTTCATGAAAAAAGTTGTAGTGGTTCAAAATTTACGTAGCCGGTCAGTTGAACTGATCTCGGATTCTAATTAATAATAATTTTAATTTGAAAACTGCTACTTTTTTATATGAAACGGCCAATCATTTTGGTTATCTAGATAACATGTAACATTCACTACAAAAAAGTTATAACCATTAAAATTGCTAATGAACAATTGAAAACATTTTCATCTATCTAAACATCCTCGAGATTCGGACATCAAGATACTTCTAGAAAACTTTGGCATGTGAGGGTAGTTCGATCGATCATTGGGAAGCCCACAGGCCCAAAATTAAATCACCAAAAGAACCTTTTTTTCCGAGAACTATCGGAAAGTATTACGCGTCAATCATTAATGAATTTTCAAATTCATTTCCAAATTCAAAACTTTCTTCTAAGTCATCGGTGACTTTAACTGCACGTTGCTAATTAAAATTTCTAATCAGCGGTGACTCACGCAACTATGCACGTGTGAAAATTTGAATATTTGTTTTGAGAAAGCACGTGCTTCGATGTGATTTACACATTCTTTTTTTATTCCGTTTGAACAAGTTTCATGTTGAAGCTGTGAGGTAAATAAAACTACTCCAAATGCAAGAAGCACGAATCGTTACTAATTTTTAAAAATAATACTATAATAGTCGCTATAATCGTTAAAAAAATGCGATTGGTTCTGAATGTTTCCAAACTTACTTTTATTATAAATAAAAAATTCGTGATTTATAAAATTTACATGTTTTGTTTGCTATTCTAATTTCAAACATACAAGAAAGAAAACCAGAATATCAAGAGTGGGAGAAGGAGAGACAAGAGGGGAGAGAGAGAGAGAGAGAGAAAGAACTGAGATGAAACGAGAGCCAAACGAGACAAATCTTTAATAAATAATACGTACTTCGCATTTCGTAGCAACTCTCATGAACTGTGCCATTTTGGAAATTAACAAAAATTACAGTGCGTGGGTAGATTCCTCAAAAATCCAATCTTAATCGAAAGAAACTCAAAGAGAAAATGTGATAGTGCCGCAGCGCGGCGCGCATCAAACTGGAGTGCGACCTTGCCTAGTCAACGCCGTCGCTAAAACTGAAGGTATAAGAGAGCAGCACGCCACGCGTAAACTATATGCCAGAAAGAGAGGGACGCGCACGATTAGAATGATTCTGTCTTTGTTGCGCGTCAGGGCCGTAAACTGTGCCATAAAGAACCCCAATGCACGACAAAACCCGTTTCTTTTGAAATTCCACTGAAATACTCAGATATGGATCAAATTGATGTTTACCAGCAATCATCTATGATTCGCAGTCGTTTATTTTTGTTATTATTTCATTTCACGATTGGAATAATAGATGGCGATCGAGTTTTTCATCGGTTTCTCATTGCGATTTTATACCGAAGTTCAATTATTATGTGTATTTTTATTCACATTTTACGCTCTTTTCTGGTTGATATTCATCCAATTCCACCATTGTTTTCATTTTTTTTCACTCATTCCGTTATATAATTATCATTTTTACTAAATATCTGTGAACACAAAAAGAAATTTATTTTTAAATCATAAAAACTATGTAGTAATATAGCCCTCTGAAATTTTCAAAATAGTGTCATAAATTCATCTTATTCAGTTTATTATTCTTATAACTTGTATAATTCTAGATAATTTGGCTCTAAGCATTAAAATTGAAAATAAATTTGGATAAATTAAACCGTAAATACCGGCGTTATATAACTATTACGGATTCTCTGGATTCTCAAAATACAATCGATACAAGTATAAATAATTAACTTTAAACTATACCTCTCATGTATCATTTATAAGATTCATTGGTGATTGCCTCTCTTCGCGCTCGTTCACCCGCGCGTGTCGCGCAACTTTTCAAAAGAAGAACGGTTCCCTCAAGACATAATTGAAATGGAGCAGCGACAAAAAGGAAGATGGGATATTAATATGATTCTGTTGGACGTTAAAAAAAGAAAAGGATTCAAACCGGAGGAAAAAGATTTAAATAAATCCGCAAGATAGATCGTTCGAATAAAAAAAGTGTTCGTTACAAGAGAAAAAAGCTAAACGATGTTGACGTTTGTTGACGTTTTTTGCGATTTTCGCTAAAATCTGTAAGTAACAGAGCTCAACAAAGATCAAAATCGGGTTTAGGGCATCGAAATATATAATAAATATACCTCATTAAGATCAGAAAATTCCTTCCCGAATTGCTTTACGCTCATACAGCGATTTTAATTGTTTCTTTGATTTTTCGAGCTATAGCTCGCGATTTTCGGTAGTACTCACTAAAATAAGAAATATACTTGTTGAAAGTCAAACAAATTTTTTCCTAATTTTGTCGCACTTACTAATGCGATTTTGCGCTATATTTCACAATTTTAAGCTATTTTTTGCGATTTACTCAAAACCAAAAAGTAAACGGGTTAAATAACCTTCAGATTCGGTTTCAGCGGGCTAAAATACATATAGATAGGTAGGATTCGTCAATAGTACAGATCACTTTTTTGTGTCGAGGTGTAATTGATTGTAAATAAAAAAAATATTTTTTACGTTGACAATCAATAGTATACTAACAAATTGAAAAATGTACATTGTTCTACCTTTTCACAAAATGCGTTTTGTAAAATTGTAAGCTAAAATTTATACTTCGAATTAAAATTAGGTACATACATTTTGAGTACTGCGATCACTAATAAAAAAACACTCTTTACAACGATGCTGTTTTCAATTACAAAAGTACGCGGAGAGTATATATCAAAATTCAATATAATTTCTTCCACATTATATTTTTTTGCATTTGATTTTTAAAAAATATTTGGTTAGCGACAGTAATTTTCTTTTAATTTATATATTTGTTCGTTATCTTATTTCTATTGAATTGATTGAAACTACTATTTCAGTGATAATAGAAAAAATAATAGTTAGAATCTAAAGACAACATACCATTCCATATAAATAAGTAATGTAAAAATAACAATTTACAATATTACTATTATAAAAGAATTTTGTCATAGAAACAATATAATTGTTCTAATCTCGATCGATTAATTTTTTCTGGAGTATTTTCTCAATAACTAACATTCACTTGATATAATATCACATGAATTATCCAACAATACTAACACAAAAAAGTATATTTTACACATCTATTTATGTTTTATTGAAATTCAAATTTAAATTGAATTATTTTTAAGATAACATTTATCCATACCAACAAACATGCATTACAAACATTGATCTTATTGAATTGATTGTGCTATTGAAATTACAACTTAATAAGAACTTCGTGAAAGACATACTATAACTACGCCCGTAAATGAAGTATCACTATAGTGAATAAATTTGGAATTAGATTGTTTTATTGTAGAATACCTTTCGTTAAGAAAACAAAATTTTCTAAGAAGTAAAACTTAATTAATTAGTCATAATGTTACAGAATAGCAATATGGAAAAAAATGATAATATACATGTGTGTTCAGCTAATTAATAATCTTTCTTTGATAACGATATAATAGAAGTCAGTCGTATTGACGAATGGTACACATTTTTGATATTCAAAATCAATTATAATTTGTGATTTTCCGTCAGATGGTAATCAGATATTTCGGGATCTAAATTATCAACAAACCCAACTGATAATGTGATAATAAAACCGTTTCTGTGCACGTTGCTACTTTTCTATCGGATCTGCGTATGAATTTTTTATTGGTGCACGTAAAATACTACTATCTACTTGATAGAATCATTTATTCTTATTTGATTTCGAACCCGCTGTGAATATATCTGAATTATTTACGGTCAAGTTATTTTTTAATATCTGAGACATTCGTCCTTCTTTGTTTTCAAACTCATTTATCAACCTTAATATTCTTATCGTAATAGTAGTATTTTTTTATATGCGATTCGCTTTACGTTACGGAAAGTAATCCCGTGTATTTTGCTTGAGAATCAACCATCGATGCAAGCGACGGGATTGGTTCATGCCTGGAGATAAACGCATAAGCCACGCCCATGCAATAGGGTTTGGCGAAATTCCCCCGATCAAAAGGGGATTCCCCATTTTTGCACAACATTAGACAGATGTTGAAGGCCGCCACCACATATGCGTGCAAACGCTTCGAAAGAAACTTAGTTCTATTATATTCTGCCAATCAAAGTCACTACGTCAAAATCGCAACGAGAGATATCAACAAATGTTATTATGTTTCTACTGCTTCAAATCAAACAATAAAGTTAGGTTTATTAGTGGTGTGTTAATCGGAGCATTTTGGAGACATATAGTGACTTTTCTATGATTAGCAAAATAAAATAGAACTAAGCTTCTTTAGTAACTTCGATGCGTTTGTACGCGTTTATACATACCTGTACGGCAACTTATGTCAAATATGTCGAATAATGCTACAAGTTATACATACTCAAGGCTGCTTCGTTTTGTCTGTGAAGGTATAGTCTTCGGCATCGCGCGCGTTTGGAGTTCAAAAAATTGTTCTATTTTTTACGTTACAGTAAAAATCATGTAAACTTTTTTTTGTGATAGTCTTAATTGTAATTATAATTTTTTTTTCATTTTTACGTAAAAGAATAACTAAATATATTTCAATCACTTAAATATTTATTTATACAGTGCACACTATATGTCGTACAGATATTTATGCAATTTGCACTCAAGATTAAATGAAAATAATTGAATCAATTAAAGAGAGTAATGATCATCAAGAATTGCAACAAAGAAATAATCAATTTTAAGACTTGCAGTCAGAAAAAATATATTTATAAAATGAAATTTATAGAGTTTATAAACATCAGAATTGACATTTTTGACCTATAAATTTTGATACTTTAATATTGTTATATATTGTAATGTTCTCCAGCAGAAATTGTACTTTTTTTGATTCTCGGCTCGATTTATTCAAGCAAATTGCCTTAGATCTTAGAATTTTTGTACGTTGCTTCTGATCTAGATTTAAAGCGTTCTTATTACTTTCAACATCATGACATATTGATAAATTATTACTATAAAGGTACTACGAATTACATTCAGTTTATCAGTATATATGTTAGTTTTCGCAAAAAAGATGTTTTTGAAATTTAAAAATAAAATAACATTGAAATGTTACATTTGAACTATATTTACCTATTTCAATATTGAAGTTATTTTACGATGAATAAATGAAAAAAGAATAAAAACTGAGATACTATGAAATATTTAAAAAAATGTATTATAAAACTGGACAGTTACATAATGTGCTATTTTTCATTTCACACTTATTTTCGGCGATTTTTTTTTATTGTTATTTAAAAACTACTTTTTAATAAAATCCTAGTACGAAATAACTTTCATTATTATTTAACTGATTAGTTAATACATAAAAAAAATATATTTTACCTAGTCTTATTGCCCACGAAAGTGTTTTATGAAATTCTGTTTTGACTCTTAAAATTTGGGACGTAAAAAACCGCCCGTGTGATAATCATCTTCCACTGCAGAGTAATAATTTTAATTTGATTAAATAGAACACAAATAAATATAAATCTCTTACCATCACATTGTATTAAGCAATCGGCAAACTCAATGGAATTTTTTAAATCTAGAATTTTAAAAAAGTTCAAAAAGTGATTATGCATACAGTCAGCTTATATTTCTCTGTGAAAAAAAAATCTTTTTAACGTAAATTTTACTAAAATTGAGTAATAAAAGTTATAAATGAAAAGGTATTCCCTTCAAAAATGCTTATTCACTCATTCAAATGGTACCCATAAATTGCTCAAATTGAGTAATTACTAGTGCTCCAAATGAGAAAAAAATAACTCCAATTGACCAATTTCATGAATTTTTACTTTAAAATAGTAAAATTTTTCTGCGTATTTATTTTTGATATTTATATTTATTCTTAAAAAATATAAAAAGACTAGTTTGGCTACGTTTTAAACTTCATTTACTCAAATATTTAATCATCTAATTAACTATTGATATTATGAATAAAAGCATTTAAAAATATACTCACGAATGCATCTTTCGGTTTGGCAGTTTAGTAGCCAACGTAAATCTGTTTAAAACTTGCTGAATGTTTAGCTTGGAAAAATTTCGTTGAAATAAGAAAAATAATAATCAATTTTACCATGCGGACGATCTCCTGTAACCGATATTAATTGCACAACTATAACATTGTCAAAAGAGTGATTATAATGGAATTACTCATGATACTATTTCCTTTAAACAATTTATAGAAATTATGCTAAAATAAAAAAAATGCGTTTACTGCACAAAATTCTTTGAGCTATATTTAATTACTACGAAATTGAGAATGATATAAATAATAATCACACACACATATTTTACAAGTTATTTGTGACCTAGCGAAGCGGATAAGCTTATCACTTGTTGATTATTGCACTTTGACAACTCATGTGTAAAATAGAATGTGTATCTTTCGATGCGTATACATAAATTATCAATACGTAATTTTAATGAAGAAATCTTTATTATAAGATTTTGATATTACATTATTATGTGCATGCGGTTACGCGAATAAAATTTTTTGAATAAATCGGTTCGATTGCAGCGATTCTTGTATTAATGAATGACATTCAAATTTTGTAATTGAATCACTTTGTTCTTCTATTATTTAAATAAGTTAAAATTTTATAAATGTCTTTGAAGGTTATTACAGACACGCAAGAATATTGCAATTATATTATTAATAGAACTTAATTTTTTTAATTTGATCAATCATGTGCTTTATGTTATGTCGCGTGAACTAAATTATATGAAACGAAATCCGATGGCTTTGCAAGTATTGCATCACTTGCAAAGTACAACTTGTTAATACCATATATCTGTCTTGATGTAACTTCAAATTTTATCAAAACGATCTAGCATCGACAAAATGTGATTGGAGTCACACTGCATATGATTTTACTAGTGCGGCTTGTTTTCGACGATTGAATTTTTATCAAGGCGATAGCGTTGCTATGCTTCAATTGGATTACCCGCGTCACTTATGAGTGGTGATGTGCAATCTAACTGCAGCGTTTCTCAGCTTTAGCTCAGTTAGTAATAATTCCCATAGCGATACATTTTTTAAAACTACGCCATGCTCCAAGTATTTCAGTTGAAGCTAATGGTTATTTGTATAATATTAAATACTATGCTTGTTCAAGGTTAGTATCAAAAGCTCAAAGCTTGTTTTTAACTATTGCATGATAAGAGAATGGAATGTATATTACTAAAGTGTGCGCATGTTTCCGCTTCAGTCACGTGTCGATACGATAATTGCCCTGGAAAAGAACGTTCGAGATGCATTCACGATTGCAGATTGAAGAATAAAGTAGGCTACTGTTACGTTCCCGACTTATCTTTCGGCGACCTCTTAGTGGCCAAGCGAAGAAAGGACCCAATCTGCGATTGCAGAATCATGCTCTAATTGATATTGAGTTGAAGCGTTCTTCGACAGAGATTATCCCTAAATACACGTGTAAGCGATCGCCCACGATGACTACGATATAATGCAATAAAAATTATTCTATCGTATACTACAATTTTGTGATGATCGTTTCGATTAGATAATCCTAATTTTATCCGCGACAGGCTAGTGATATTTTATCCTCCCACCCTAAAAAAATAAAAAAATCTCCCAGATAAATACGCCAAAAATAACCGATATGATATTCTTGCTGAACTTTACCTTTATTTGTAAAACTTCACCTCGTGTGCACGCTCGTCATCAGAATGTGACGAGACGACGAGTGTTCCTTGAAGTTGCTGCGAGACGTTTGCGGCCTTTCGTGTTGGGCAACGTGCATCGAGAGAAGATGAAGCTAAACATACGGCGAAATCGAAGAAACACCGATAATCAAGTACCGAGCAAGTACGCCGTAGTCGTCATAGAGGCGAGTACTTTATGCACGGAGTGTCGAAAATTAAAAAAATAGGCTTTAAGTGGTTATAAAATTACTTTTATAAACACTGTTTCGATTTTCTATAATACGTATATAGTAGATGGCGACATTGCGCGGGAACGATTTAGAGACGACGCTACTACACTTCGTTTCATAACCGCTTATTATATACCTACTGTTATTGTTAAAATCGATTTCGAGAAAAAATTAGGCGTAGGATTTATTCATTTCCAGTTCACATTGTTTAGTATTCAGTATATCATTGCACTTATAATACCAACGCACGGATGTAAGCTCTCATGTATTTCAACCGTAAACACATTATAATACGTTAAAAGCTCATCCATTTTTTGAGCGCACATGCAGAAATGGTGCTGCTACGCATTGAGAATGCTCGTATCAAACACGTGGCTCTTTATAATACGAGCATTCATTAGCGATTTAGCTTTCGACTATTATCTAATCAACTCTATCTAAACATATTAATGGATTGTAACAATTGATGAACAAAATGTATTACTATGAGCGGCGACGTCGCAGTAGATTTGTCCACTATTTTATTGAAAATATATTTTTGAAGTTCGACACATTCTTGAGCAGCTCTGATGCGTTTTCTATCAAATTTTTCGTGCCCTTAGTGTCATCGGCCGTTTGAAATTGAACGAGAATCACCAAGTAAGTGGTTACCGATCCCGCGATCTACAAATAAAAGCATATATTTATATGTTCGAATTGAACACATCGATCTACTCATATTAATGATTATACCGATGTGATCAAGCTTCGATTCAAGTAGAACAATCCGCAAACACTGAACTCAATGGGCCTCTGTAGCAATTGTATGGCAAATATTTTCAACTGCTTTTGCACTTCGGGACTCCAGTCGACGATCAATGCTCGGTTAACCAAAGCTCCCGTTTCCTTTGCCTGTTTGTTATTAAACAACTCGATTTCACGCATAGTTTTTGTCGACCTTCAGTTCGATTGTATCGTATCTATGGATATGAAAGATAATAGTGAGTTTTAAGCGTTTACCTTGCTGATAACCATATGGCAAGGCTGTACGAAAAGCAGTATCCTGCAAAGATGAAAGAGCATCCAGCAGAATTGGAGAATAAGCAAGAGCCAATTGTTGGGGTTACGGCTGTAGACGTGATTGTAGAGAAAGTAGGGAGTTATGATTAGGTGTATGAGACAGCTGATCGTTCCCATGAGTATAGCAGCGCCGTAGGCTTTGTTTATACAGTTGACGCTCTGGCAAAGTATGCCGTGCAGTGTTATCAGCTGATCTACGGACTCTGCCACATTGTCCCCTGCTGCGTCTGCAAATCTTTCATTGTATCTCGAGTAAACATTGGTTGTGGTTTGGAGTGTCACCTTGGTCAGAAGCTTTGCTCGATCGATTGTGTTGGCTGTATTCGCCAAGATTGGAGAGCATCGATTGTATCATCCTTCGTTTCGAATCTCGAGCAGCTTTCTGGGCTATGAAATTGAAGTTACCGAACGTCATTATTCCTAACATTCTCATAGAATAATTACCAAGGCTCGTGTCGTTGCGCAAGAATTTTATAACGACATTATTCTTCACACTGAGATGCTCGACAACTTGGTTGAGCTTCAGAAATCTTTCGCCAATATTGAATAAGACGACAGCATACTGCACTTCGAAAGTGACAATGACCAGATACATAAAGTATATGGGAATATAATTTATGGGACCCTTGTCACCGCTGACCTCGCCACTTTCGTCAGTGGCTGATATACTCCTCGAAAAAATATCTAGACTCGACGTAATGATTAGATAGGCGATATTACAAGAAATAACAGTGACTGACAGCTTGCGAAGATTCGACGACGTAACTACGTCCAATTTCTGGTCAATCTGCAGAGAGAGAGAGAGAGAGAGAGAGAGAGAGAGAGAGAGAGAGAGAGAGAGAGAGAGAGAGAGAGAGAGAGAGAGAGAGAGAGAGAGAGAGAGAGAGAGAGAGAGAGAGAAAGCTTTGATATAATCTGTCTCGCATAAAATAGAAAAGTTTTGACGAAAGTCATACAAACGTCGACAAGCTTGTCGAGTGCACGTTGGAGATGAGGCCAGCGACGCGGCGAGTCGAGGATTACGACGGCAGCTACGCTGATCACGGCGAATACGTCGCTGCAAGTAACGGTGATCGACGACTCCGAGGATAGCCTTGTGCTCTTTTGCCAGCCATCGCGTAGATCACGATAGAGGCCGTAACACTGGCCTCCCGTTAAAGCCAATAACAGCATGATTCTTTTACGCATGTGACAAATAAATGAAATAGAAATGACGACAAAAAATTAAACGTAACCGCTTACCCGTAACATACTTGCGTGAAATCGATAATTCCACTGTATCTACCAGCTTTCCGAAATACAAATCTCACTGGGAGTAATCCACAAATCTTACTTATGTGATAGATCGGCATGATGATACATAAAATATCGGATTTAAGATCATTTTTTTTCTCTTCTTCCGCCCTTTGGCTCTTTTGCCTCGCAGCATTCTCTAAAAATTACATGCAATCTTTTATTTTCAAATCAAAGAAAAAAAATACAGTTTTAAGGATCTTACTTTCTTTAAGCGTAGTCCGACTGTACATTTCTGTACGTTATTTGAATCATTTGAGCTTGCAATGGCAAATGAAGAGTACAAGGAAAATTACGGTATTTGTGAATCAATAGAGAACAAACAATGCAATTTTCTTATTTGCCGACGGTATTATAAATTCATTTATGAGAAAATCAATTATCCACCTCGTGCATGCTCACTTAGGTCATTCCATTATGTGGTTCAATCTCTGAACAATAATTTACATGGATTTCAACAAATTCTATTGTTGCATTTTCGAGTTTTATATATGTACATGTAAAATTTTTTAAAATCTTTTTATCTATGAATTTCAGTTCAATCCTGTATATTTGAAAGGTTTGCTTAGACTTTATTTATGTGGATCGAAATTATATATTATATTATTATTTTATAGCGGTATAACTGTTTATTATATTATTGTCTTGTAGCGTTTATGACCTATTACCAGCCTATGTAGTTCAAATCAAATAAGAAGATACATGTTTACTTGTTATATTGAATATCACAATAACGGCTAGTTAGAAAATATCGAATAAATCTATTTTTTGTTAGAATATTATAAAATTGGCCGGGTTTGTTTCGTCCAGATAGCGATTCTACACGATTTGATTCTATATTAATTTCAAAATTTGTTGAGTTTAACATAATGGTTTCCTATAGAGCACAAAAATTAAAACACTATTTTCTTAAAAAACGAAGTATTATCTTTATTTTATCTTTCTACAGAAAAATTAACAAAAAATTAGTTGACATACAAATTTCTATATGGCATAATTGAACATTTGATTATTTCTTAATAATGGATAGAATATTATACATATAATTGTTTTAAATATTTATTTACTCTTCGAAAAATATTTTATATATAATACTTTGGACCAGTCATTTTCCAATCGAATTTTCTCTAGGAAGCTTGCATGTTCAATAGTATCTTTTATTTTAATAAATACTATTTCATGTCTTTTATTCAATCAAAAAACTATTATGTTAAATAAATAAAAATTTTTAAATTGTGTAGAATCAATATCTGTATGAGACGAACTCGAACATACTCGTAAGTTTGACCATTATAACATAATCTAATATTGCATTCAAAAATTAGTTTAGTCATTTAATTGGGATGACAGCGTATTGAAAAAATATTTCAGTAATGTTTGAAGATTTATAACACATATTCATTTATATTATATTACATTTAGTCTAGATTCAAGCATCAAAAGCAGTTCAATATGCTGGGCAATTCGATTATCCAAAATTCATTCCAAAAAATCAAAATGTTTACTACTCCGTATAACCTGTATTGTGTATCTAGTAAAGTATTATGATCAAAATTAAATCGTGTGTGTAATGGTTAAATACGATTCATGTGTATGCGCTCGATTAACTTAAAAAATCTCCATTTATTCATCAAAGCCTTTTTAATAGAACTTTTTATAACAGGTACTTTCTTTGATATATTTTACTGGACTAATAATAGCAAATGTTTTGAAATAGTAATAAGAAATACTTTCAATATTACAAAAAAATAATGTTTCCTCAGCGTATTAATCCCTACGTTATTGCCAATTCTGCAAGTCTAAAAGATAAAATAATATCACCTATAATTATTTACGCAAGTGACTTAGCAAAAAATATCTTAAGTAATAATTTAAATATATAATTTTAATTGAACCTAATAACGGGATTGTACGTAATGATGTGTAAGTAATAAACACATCATAAATTTAATTGGAATTTGCAGAAATAAGATTTTACTTTTAAAACGCATAACGAACTTCAGATTACATTGACATTGTAAAAAATATTATTTTAAGTGGATTTAAGTTTTATTTAAGAAACAATTTCTCGACGTAAAATTGATAATAAGGAAAATGTCTTATGAAAATATCTCATGTTTAAAATGAAAACTTAACACTATTGATAACAGGGTGAGTGAAACAGACTGCTGGCTACCATATGATGCTATTTTTCAGTTACGTCTTTCAACTGTTAATAAATAAAGATATTTATTTTCAAGCTCTAAAAGAATTTAAAACCATAACTATATCCAATAACATATTTGTTATTTCTGCACTCATAAAGATTTCATAATAATAAATTAGGAGTAAATTTTTTTACTAACGTAAGCAATTTTGAGTAATAAGTTTTTTTACAAATGCAGACAATTATTAATCACTTTTTGTTAATATGTATGTTTGAATAAGAATGACTCCATGGTACCTTACCTACCTACTACTAGTCCATTGAATAAAGTTATTTAGGTTCATATTTTCACAATCAAGTAAATACATTAGTGTCAGAGACATAATTTTATTGTATGACCTTAATTTAAGACGTTCTCTGGTTGATAAAAAATAAACAGGAATATATCGTGATTCATAATATACAAGAGAGGTTATGACAAACATAATCCGCAGATGTACAAATATTGTAATTACAAACGACACTGATGGTAAACTTCCAAAGATTGTGCAGATTACTTTCACACGTATAAAAGGTGCCGAATAAATTGTTAGTTGAATCAGCGATTGGGAGTAGACAAAATGGCTATCAAACTGGTGAGTTTTCAGACATTAATTATAATCTTGGAAAAAAAGAATTAATTTTACTCTGATTGAAAAACAATCCAGATAGCTTTTCATTTTTTGAACGAAGTTTCTATTTTCCTGAATCATTTTATATTTTTTTTGACTTCTGAAACAACTCGCGTACATTTTTAACTATTTTAAGGACAGCGTATTCAATCTAGTATTATTCATATTCCAATTCTAGTAATATTAACATTGAAATTGTTAGAACATTGCTTCTTAAAAAAAGATCATTTTGTTTCCTTGGTATATTTCACTTCAAAATTATTGTCTATCATTTAAACTCAAGATGATTATTTTCCACATATGCAATCCTTAAAAACATTACATTTTCAATAATAAAATTAGAAAATGTTATTGTAAATCATCTGTTTCTTGAACAAATTGTGTAATAGTGAAAATTTTCAATACATAATTTTGATTATTTTCAATGTTTTTATAATTGCTGATTATGAACATTACATTTTTATATTATGTCCAGATCGTCAATAAAAGTGCGTGCGCGTGGATGTATATGGTCATCTTTTTTTCGGGATTGTAAGCTTATAGTTTTTCATGATTTAATGTTTTTTTATATGCGATGTCCATTCGATTCTTTAATTTTATTTCTTTTGAGATACGTGTTGTTCATTCAAAAAAATTTATTTACTGAACGTTCTCTCAGTTTTTCAACGTTTGATATGTAGGTTTCATAGTTTTCTTTACAATTCCTATGTAACTACCAATTTTTAACTCACTGCTTTATTAGATGCTTAAAACCAAACATATATAAACCTAAAAATAATGAATTTTCTAAAACACTGAAAATAATTAAGTTGATTGACAATTGTTGAATTAATTTAATCATTTAAATAAGCTATTTAACTAAGAAGTTGTGTTTATGAAATATTATTTAAATAAATTTGTATACTTTTTCTTTGTTCTTTCTGTTAAAGTATTTGAATCATATGCTGTGTATTATTATGATTTTAAAAAGGACAACAATATTTAATTAAGAAAATTTCTATTTATTTAGGTATTTTTCGCTCTCGCAGTTTTCACTGTTTTAGCAACAGATGAAAACGAAATTAATCAAAGAACCGGCATCATCAAAGACCTCCACGATAAACTACATATACAAAGGAGTCATACTTTATACCGACATCGTGAGGCTGTCGAGAGACATGTAGGAAGTGGGCATAAACAAGGTGGATACCAACATGGTAAAAAAAATGGAGCCAACAAAAAAATTGATTATGGTGGCTTGCATACAGGAGAAAAAAAAAGTGAGAAGGGATTGAATATAGAAATGAAAAGTGGCTCTAGACATCAACAAAGTGTTCAAATTGGCTTAAACGTAACTGCTGAACGGGAAGCCAATGTAGAACTGCAAGGTAGTTCGGATCATCAACAGGGCGGGAATAAACATAGTGAAATCAACGTCGGTCTGCAACAGAATACAACTACTAAGCACCAAGTAGCTGGTCATGCCGAATCTAATGTAACTGTTGAAGGAGGACTCAAAGTCGAGCAGCAAAGTGGTTCAGAACCTAAAACGATTGTACATCAAGAAGACAATAAGAATGGAGCCACCAAAAAAATTGACGGCTTGGATAAAGGAGAAGAAAAAAGTGAAAAGGAATCGAAGGTGGAAATTGAAGGCAGCTCTAAACGTCAACAAGCTATTCAAGTCGGCTCAAACGTAACTGCTGAACGAGAAGTCAATGAAAAATTGCAAGGTAGTTCGGGTCATCAACAGGGCGAGAATAAACATGGCAAAATCAACGCCGAACTCCAACGAAATACAACTACTAAACACCAAGTAGCTGGTCATGCCGAATTGAATGTAACTGTTGAAGGAGGACTGAAAGTCGAGCAGAAAAGTGGTTCTACAGTTGAAATGATTGTACATCAAGAAGGCAACAAGAATGGAGTCACCAAAAAAAATGATCATGGCGGCTTGCATGATGGGGAGGTAAATCGTGATAAGCAACTGAGTGTGGAAATTGAAGGCACCTCTAAACGTCAACAAGCTATTCAAGTTGGTTTAAACGTAACTGCTGAACGAGAAGTCAATGAAAAATTGCAAGGTAGTTCGGGTCATCAACAGGGCGAGAATAAACATGGCAAAATCAACGCCGAACTCCAACGAAATACAACTACTAAACACCAAGTAGCTGGTCATGCCGAATCTAATGTAACTGTTGAAGGAGGACACAAAGTCGAGCAGCAAAGTGGTTCTGAACCTAAAACGATTGTACATCAAGAAGACAAGAACGGAGCCATAAAAAAAAATGACGGCTTGCATATAGGGGAAGTAAATCGTGAAAAAGAACTGAGTGTGGAAATTGAAGGCAGTTCTAAACGTCAACAAGCTGTTCAAGTTGGCTTAAACGTAACTGCTGAACGGGAAGCCAATGTGGAACTGCAAGGTAGTTCGAATCATCAACAGAGCGGGAATAAACATGGCAAAATCAACGCCGAACTCCAACGAAGCACAACTACTAAACACCAAGTAGCTGGTCATGCTGCATTGAATGTAACTGTTGAAGGAGAACTCAAAGTCGAGCAGCAAAGTGGTTCTACTGTTAAAACGATTGTACATCAAGTAGGCAACAAGAATGGAGCCACCAAAAAAATTGACGACTTGGATAAAGGAGAAGAAAAAAGTGAAAAGGAATCGAAGGTGGAAATTGAAGGAAGCTCTAAACGTCAACAAGCTGTTCAAGTTGGCTTGAACGTAACTGCTGAACGGGAAGCAAATGTGGAACTGCAAGGTAGTTCGGATCATCAACAGAGCGGGAATAAACATGGCAAAATCAACGCCGAACTCCAACAAAATACAACTACTAAACACCAAGTAGCTGGTCATGCCGAATCTAATGTAACTGTTGAAGGAGGACTCAAAGTCGAGCAGCAAAGTGGTTCTACAGATAAAACGATTGTACATCAAGTAGGCAACAAGAATGGAGCCACCAAAAAAATTGACGGCTTGGATAAAGGAGAAGAAAAAAGTGAAAAGGAATCGAAGGTGGAAATTGAAGGAAGCTCTAAACGTCAACAAGCTGTTCAAGTTGGCTTAAACGTAACTGCTGAACGGGAAGCCAATGTGGAATTGCAAGGTAGTTCGGATCATCAACAGAGCGGGAATAAACATGGCAAAATCAACGCCGAACTTCAACGAAATACAACTACTAAACACCAAGTAGCTGGTCATGCTGCATTGAATGTAACTGTTGAAGGAGAACTCAAAGTCGAGCAGCAAAGTGGTTCTACAGTTAAAACGATTGTACATCAAGTAGGCAACAAGAATGGAGCCATCAAAAAAATTGACGGCTTGGATAAAGGAGAAGAAAAAAGTGAAATGGAATCGAAGGTGGAAATTGAAGGCAGCTCTAAACGTCAACAAGCTGTTCAAGTTGGCTTAAACGTGACTGCTGAACGGGAAGCCAATGTGGAACTGCAAGGTAGTTCGGATCATCAACAGAGCGGGAATAAACATGGCAAAATCAACGCCGAACTCCAACAAAATACAACTACTAAACACCAAGTAGCTGGTCATGCCGAATCTAATGTAACCGTTGAAGGAGGACTCAAAGTCGAGCAGCAAAGTGGTTCTACAGATAAAACGATTGTACATCAAGTAGGCAACAAGAATGGAGCCACCAAAAAAATTGACGGCTTGGATAAAGGAGAAGAAAAAAGTGAAAAGGAATCGAAGGTGGAAATTGAAGGAAGCTCTAAACGTCAACAAGCTGTTCAAGTTGGCTTAAACGTAACTGCTGAACGGGAAGCAAATGTGGAACTGCAAGGTAGTTCGGATCATCAACAGAGCGGGAATAAACATGGCAAAATCAACGCCGAACTCCAACAAAATACAACTACTAAACACCAAGTAGCTGGTCATGCCGAATCTAATGTAACTGTCGAAGGAGGACTCAAAGTCGAGCAGCAAAGTGGTTCTACAGATAAAACGATTGTACATCAAGAAGACAACAAGAATGGAGCCACCAAAAAAATTGACGGCTTGGATAAAGGAGAAGAAAAAAGTGAAAAGGAATCGAAGGTGGAAATTGAAGGAAGCTCTAAACGTCAACAAGCTGTTCAAGTTGGCTTAAACGTAACTGCTGAACGGGAAGCAAATGTGGAACTGCAAGGTAGTTCGGATCATCAACAGAGCGGGAATAAACATGGCAAAATCAACGCCGAACTCCAACAAAATACAACTACTAAACACCAAGTAGCTGGTCATGCCGAATCTAATGTAACTGTCGAAGGAGGACTCAAAGTCGAGCAGCAAAGTGGTTCTACAGATAAAACGATTGTACATCAAGAAGACAACAAGAATGGAGCCACCAAAAAAATTGACGGCTTGGATAAAGGAGAAGAAAAAAGTGAAAAGGAATCGAAGGTGGAAATTGAAGGAAGCTCTAAACTTCAACAAGCTGTTCAAGTTGGCTTAAACGTAACTGCTGAACGGGAAGCAAATGTGGAACTGCAAGGTAGTTCGGATCATCAACAGAGCGGGAATAAATATGGCAAAATCAACGCCGAACTCCAACAAAATACAACTACTAAACACCAAGTAGCTGGTCATGCCGAATCTAATGTAACTGTTGAAGGAGGACTCAAAGTCGAGCAGCAAAGTGGTTCTACAGATAAAACGATTGTACATCAAGAAGGCAACAAGAATGGAGCCACCAAAAAAATTAACGGCTTAGATAAAGGAGAAGAAAAACGTGAAAAGGAATCGAAGGTGGAAATTGAAGGAAGCTCTAAACGTCAACAAGCTGTTCAAGTTGGCTTAAACGTAACTGCTGAACGGGAAGCCAATGTAGAACTGCAAGGTAGTTCGGATCATCAACAGGGCGAGAAGAACCATGGCAAAATGAACGCCGAACTCCAACGAAATACAACTACTAAACACCAAGTACCTGGTCATGCTGGCTTAAATGTAACTGTTGAAGGAGGAGTCAATGTTGTATCGCAAGGTAGTGCTGAATATCAACAAGGTAGTTACGGACGAAGCAAAATGAATAGCACAGACAAACAAGATGATCATGGTAAATATAATGTAGGATTTGATCACAAAGGATTGAAGATAGAAATGAAAAGTAATTCTGGCCATCAATACATTGGTAAAGTTGCATTGAATCGTACTGTTGAAGGAGTCAATGTGCATCTGCAAGCTAAAACAAGACATCATAAAGGCGAACACAAAGAAAGCGGAATTCATACAACTTTTAAAGAAGGCGGAACTTCTAGACAACAGCAACGTAATCATAGTGTATCGAAAATAGGACCTTATGGCGATCACAAAGGTTTGAATCTAGAATCGAAAGGTGGTTACCGATATCAAAAACACATTCATCAGAGTGGACATAAAGTAGGAATGAAAGACAATCACAGTGGATGGAATCTAGCATTGGAACGTGATTCCAGGCATCAACAAGGCGGACACAAACGACATGACATCCCTGGCAGATTGAATGTAGGGGTTAAAGAAGGATTGAATATACAATCACAAGGTAATTCTGTACATCAAAATTGGAAACATCAGCAAGGGAAAATCTATGGTGGACATCAACATAGCGGTCGTAGTAAATTGAATGTAGGAATAGAAAGCGGTCATAGAGAATTGAATGTAGAACGGCAAGGTAATTCTAGAAATCAACGGGTCGGACACAAATGGAACGGAATTCATTCGAATCTTCGACAAGACGCAACTACTAGAACTAGTGGATATCAACAAGATATCAACAAGTATGATGGCTTGAATATAGGAGTGAGGCCGCCTCATAGTAGATCGAATATAAAAGCAAAAGGTAATTCCAGATATCAACAAGTTGGTCAAGTAAACTTAAATGTAAAGGTTAAAGATGGACCCAATGTGGAACTGCAAAGTGGCTTTCAACAAAAACATAATAAACAGAAAAATAAAGGAATCAATGCAAAACTCCTACAAGAAAAAACTACTCGATACCATCAAGTTGGTCAGCGTGTATATAAAGTAGGAGTAAAAGAAGGTCAGAAGGGTTTAAACGTAAAATCAGAAGGTGTTTCTAGACATCAAAAAAAGGGTAATTATGGCAGATCCCCACTAGATAGAGCTAATGAACACCAACACGATGGTCATGATGAATTTAATGTAGCAGTAGAAGGTCAGAATGGATCCAAGATACCATTAAAAGATAGCTCTGAATATTAGCAAGGCGGAATGACTGGAGGACAGTAATATGGTGGGCACCAACATGCTGGTATCAAAAACGAATAGATTTCATCTAATTAACTTAATGTTAACTTTTATAGATGAACATTTGGTTGATAAGATTTTTTTCTAAAAATAAATAAAATAATTTTTAGCTGAATCGACTTTGTACATGTTCTATATGTTGCTTTATTGTGATTGTAAGTAAAATGTATTATAAGTAAAATTGAATTAAAATTATTTCGGTGTCAAAATTCTTTTATTTTAAAAAGTCTATGTATACTAAATTAAAGAAACAAATCAAATGAAATCCACTCAGTAAGAATTATCTTAAAGTTGATCAACAGAAAGACAGCAGATATCTTAGTAAAGATAAAATTATATTCTAGAAAATTTTATATAACATATTGTTCCGTTGTCGTGTATAGATTATCTTTTCAGAAATAAAAACTTGAGTGATTAGGTGTTATTTTTATTGAATTTACAAAACTTCAAAGTAAAACATATGATTTGAAACTTAGCGTTTGATATTACAATGAATGGGGGACGCACTATCTTCTTAATTTCTCATCGTTATTGATTTAGAGATATTTTTGAACTTTTTTTATGGCAACTTTTTTATGGTACATCAAATTTAAAAATTTGTCATTTCCATTTCTTTTTGTAAATGTACTTTAAAGTTCAAACGACATCATAACTTCAAAAACTATGATAACATACAGTGTACTAATATGTATAATAAAGAAATGTGTTAACAAAAAGTTGTTTGAGATTCAAAAAACCCAAGATATTGTTGAAAATATAACTAATGTTATAACTAATATGTCAAATATCTTAGCAGAATCTATATCTTCTGAGACAAAAAATCTACCTTTTAACGATTCAACTGTTTTATTAATCTATCAGAAATAGAGTAAATTTGAAAATATTGCGGACGTGGATTTATGCTTTCAAGAGATGTGCAAAGTTTTCAGTTCTGACAATTCAAAATATTTTACTATTGATGCACTTTTTAGCAGAAGATTTAGTTTTTAGTAAACTGCAGTACGTAGTTTCAGAATGCTTATATAATAAGTACTTTTGTTATGCAAATACCCAGTGTGAATAAAATTCTTTAATAAAATAAAAATTCTAACAAAATCTTAATCTTACAATCAAAAAGACAATCACTACAAGGTCAATTACCTCAATTTCATTCTTTATATGTCACTTTTAATCATAAATATAGTACACATTTGATTTGTTAACATTTGAAAACACTAATATGTAAACATTAACGTATTATAATATATCCCTTTAAAGTATCTTGTGTTGCATTCAAGTATATTTTAATATTTTATCTAATATTATATTATCATAGTTTTTGAGATTTCGTTTGATTTTGACCTAAAGATGCATTTACAACAAAAATATTTCGAAATACGTTACTTGACCGTCGCGTATGTAAATATGCATGTATGCTATTGTGGACGCAGTGTAATAATTTATTTAAGCAATAATGCTCGCGTTATTGAATGGCAATTGGGATACACATCCTTGTAAAATTTATAAAAACAATTATGATCCGCTAGTTGATTTTGTATTTATAAAAGAACGAATTTGCGAATTCCAATACAAACTCTATTTTGAATATACTTTGGCACATTATAAGCTATTTTTGGTTTAACAAATTTATATAATTTCATGGCAAATTTTCTTTTGTTCATTTATTTAACTTTGTTTATAATTTGTCTGGCGATTTTTCTATTAAACGATTGACATCATAAAATTCTACGTCTTCGATTTGACTTTTTAGAACATAAACTTTTCACTCCACGTGCGCGGTTACCGTAAAAGCTTATTCAAAGTTTGTGAAAGGGGACATCAGTCGCGAGTATCAATTCACTTGTCATTGCGGCAGTCTGAAACTTTAACGAAAGCCTTGCCTTGCATCGGGAGCCCGGTATAGTAACCTTAGTCTATCTCTTTTCTTGATATATAAATTATAAGCCCAGTAAATTGTCTAAGTTTCTGTTACCGTGCTGTTTGGTCTTTCTCAGATAGATATGATTGGACTTAATAAAATCTTAGTGAAAACTCAATGGTGAAAAACTATATTTACTACTGACATCTTTTTTCTCTTCATCACGCTGCTAACGAGGAATATTATCCTTGCGGCAGTGACTTAGAGTTGCCAATTTCTGAATATTTCAGCCGATATTGTCAATATTTGCATGAAAAGAAGTTAATCTATGCCTGGAAATTTTGTATTGTATTTTAGTTTCAATTGATCACTTAATTGCATGTCAAATTCTTGCTTCATCGCGGGAAATGATATTGCAACTGTCTCATTAAGTTCAAATTTTAATATTGTATTAACATTACAATTGATATTAGAAATAATTATATTCAAATTCGTAAATACTTGTTTACACTACAGTGTTGATATAATTGAGAAGAGCTTGTCAAGATTTAACGATATTACACTTTTTCGCAAACGCTTCTTATGTTTCGACGGAATAATAACATTCAAGGGTCAATATTGTTTAATCTCTTCATTTCTTCTTTTTGTAAGTACTTGAATAACGCTGCGTGTGTAGCGGTGTATACTTCACGTCTTCATTAATCAGTCAGGAATATCAATAAAATTAATTGTTAAGAGATAAGGTTTATTTTTAGAAGGTCTTATATTCAAAGAAATAATTATCAATGTGTTAAATGCTCTTCAAACATGAATATATGTAACGACAATTAATATTTCAACAGGTTACAATTTAACCAAGTATCAAAGTTATATAGGACTCAGTTACTTGTTTAAACAGGTCAAGCGAAATACTTAAATGACAACGTTATTTTTAAGAGCATATAATAAAAATTATAGCGATATAGCTCAAAATATAAAAATGGCACCCCATGTTATAAGACAATTTTTGAAAGAAAGTTTGCAATTTTAATAAGTTCAAACGATATAAATTATAGTTAATCGAACATTAACTATTTTATTACAAAAAAAAATTACATTTAAAAAAAAATATTTCGGAATACGTTACTTGACCGTACCGTATGTAAACATTTATAACATGTATTTGGCTATTTGAAATGAGAGAAAGACATCAAGCGTAATTCGCTTCGACGGATGTTGAATGGTCGTTTTCGTTCATCGTGTAAACTCATAATACGGAACGAAAGTTCGAGAAAAAGATTGCACGGGAGCGAGCCAGCCAGGCTCACAGTCGTGAGGTGGGAAGGAAGAACGTGGTCGGTAAGATAGTAAGATTTCGTCCCGGTGTTATCGGCTGGACTCATCAGTGAGGCTCGACGGCCGATAACACCTACCTCATACACTCGGAATGGTCGGGCCGCTATGCAGGCTTATATATTTAAGCCCCGGTTCCATAGGTACGTACCGATGCGGACGGATACGGACGTGAATCGCAACTGTAGTAACATCACTAAAAATATCTAGTTCGATTATTTAGTACCAACACTACCGGTAGTGAGTAAAAGTGACTGTTGTTTAAAACTGTAGCGCCGAAAGTACCACATTTAATGTTCAAATGTCAGGTCTACAATTTACTTTTCAAATTTTCATGAATATTGCTTATTGGTGAGTATGCTAATGTAAAAAAAGTTTTTGGGATGATTAATACATATCATTTATATATATTTTCTTCTTCTTCTTATATATTCAAATACTTCCATAAAATTAAGGCCTAATTCCACTAATTGTAATTGAAAGTCTATCAATTCTCTATTATTTGCTATCTTATAGACTACAATAATGTAAAGGTTAGATAGGCGTTACATTAAATGTGGTACGTTCGGCGCTACAGTTTTAAACAACAGTCACTTTTGCTCACTATCGGTAGTGTTGGTACTAAATAATCGAACTAGATATTTTTAGTGATGTTACTAGAGTTGCGATTCGCGTCCGTATCCGTCCGCATCCTTACGTACCTATGGGACCGGAGCCTTAAAGAGCGAGATTCTTGCCGCTTGTGGATAGCCGCTATCATCTAGTGAGAAAATGGGTGGACCACGAGGTCGCCACATGTATGCTCTCAGTCTAAAATTATGCTAAAATTAAGGAATTGAAGTTCGAATTAGTAGACCATCCACCGTGTTCACCAGATTTGCCCCCTAGTGACTTTTTTTTATTCCTAAACTTAAAAAAGTGGCTTGCTGAACAACGATTCATCTCGAACGAGGTCATAACTCAAATAAATGGCTATTTTGAGAAACTTCCAAAATTATTTTTTTCTGATAGCTTAAAAAAACTTGAAGAACGTCTGGAAAAGTGTGTCGAGCTAAAAGGAAATTATGTTGAAATATAAAAAAAATCTACCGAAAAAATATTGTTTTTCTATCATATTCTAAGGATTTATTGGCCCACCCTCGTATTAATAACTTTGTTCAATAATTGGTTATCAATACGTCAAATTCTTGCTTATTTTCCTTAAATCGGTATCTGCACTTAGCTATATTCAAATTAACATTACAATTATACATTGCAAAATTACTTGTATAAGTTATATTTGTAAATTAAGTTTCGATAGTTAGTAATTAATTAATACGTATAAGTTAATATTCGGAATCTCTGTATCAAAATTAATCGAAAAATTCATTTGTTCGTTAAAAAAGCTTATAGTTATAAATTTCGCTTAGTAAACAATAGTCTAAACGTGACATTAGGCTCAATAATATAACTATATTGATAAGGTAATGAATTTGATCAATTACCTTAACACAACTAAACCCACAGGTGAGATAGCGCTTTAGTCTAGACGGTGCTTTTCTCTATTTTCGGGAACACGGTGGGTTGCCCCTGCGCAGAAAAAAATTAATTTTTATGTTGAGTCTTAATAGTAAGCGTAGCTTGGCTCGGAGCGGGAATTAGAGATAAAGAGAGGTAGGAGAAATATAAAGATCAGAGATAGCACGGTAGAAGCGTTTCGTCCCGATGTTACCGACTGAACTCGTCAGTGAGGCTTGATGATCGGTAACACCTTCCTCAGAATCTTACGGCGTGTACAGATCGCGCAATGATCGTGTATGCTGCTGCTCGCTAATATGCTAAATATCGGCGGCATTTGATTGCAGATGAGCGAACCACGAGGACGCCACAGATTCACGAGTTAAAAGTTGCACACACGCTAGCTGAATGAATTTCTTTAAATTGTTCAATCTCATATAACAACTTTATAAATGATGGTATGATAATGTTGCTTAGTAAATATTACATTGATAAATTTCTACTTAAAAATGTACGTTCATTTTAGCTTACCTACTAACTTTTAGAACAGACCCAGTAAGTACGTAATAAAGATAAAAATTGTTCTTTTCGTACAGGAAAAGATATAAATAATAATAAAAAGTAATTTATTTTATATAAATAAGAAAATGCCTTGAAAGAAAGGGGAGTAAAGTGTGTGTATAGGTTTATGAACAAATAATTACTGTGCTAAATTAACATTTAAATTTTATTTAATGAAAACTAAACTCTACCGCTCACAAGCAGCCGGCATAAAAAAAAAACAAGTCTTAAGTAGGGAAAAAGCCTGCCACTTATGAACAGCTACAAATTAGTAGTTATATACACTAAAGATAAATAAAAACTGCGCAAATAACGGGTATATTGAAGAGTTAACTTGCGAACAAGAACATCAAATGGCTATAGTCCGTCGTTAAGCCGAAGACCACGCCTGCGCACTTTGCGCGAGAAGGCAGTCTTGATGTGGAGCGCAGCCCGTACCACGCCTTATTGGTTCTGCCATGAGTCAAAAACTCCTTAGAAGATATTGGAAATACCATGCTCTGTTGGGTCGCTTCGTCCTATGGGTACCTGTAGTCGCCGGCTTGTCTTTTAGCTTATCAGATTGCCTTAGATCAGAGATACCCTAGAAGATACCTAGAAGAGGGTATACCCTCTGCCCGGTCGCTTTTGCCAATGGAATCTTGTAGTCGCCGGCTTGTCTTTTGGCTTAGTCTCACTGGTTTGGGTCACCGATTCCAGATGCGAGCGATAGCGTTGTCGCAGTCCATACTTGTACACACTATTCACACACTAGGTGCAAACACTGCAGGCGGCACGTCCAAGTAAACTTACTAGATAATTTAACCGCACTTCGAGGCTTCTAGCGGATCGCTCAAGGAAATAATGATGACGGAGTGCTACGCACTGCACTCATGTAAAGCAAAATTTATCTAAAGACTACACCTGTACCCGACACTCTTTGAATTGCAACCGAACTCACTTTTTTCTTTACACTTCCGATGGAAGGAGAGAAAAGGAAAAGGGATGGTTCCTAAACTCAGAGAAAGAGGGATGCACCCGACGCTATACACAAGATCAGCCGCAGGTACGGCCAATGCTCAGTGAGTCGTCATAAGGGAGACGTACGCGGGGTTTTCTCTAATAAGAGAAAGTCCTAGCTTTTGGGTTATCTCTAAGCACAACAAAAACATTGCACGTTCTTCGTTTATCTTGGAGAGCGCAGATGTCGCAAACAAAAATATAACAAAAAAGTGATGTGATCTTTGATGCTATACTACTTGTCCATTTTATAATAAAGATATTTAGTATTTCGTTTTAATATTGCATAGGTTTATAAATTTAATCGCAGTAATAATCGTAAAGGCGATCACAAGGTTCAAGTAAAACAGTACAATCATATATTTTTTATTCATGAAATGATGAAAAAATAAGGCTACCCGCCGAGTTGTACTCTGTTAAAAGTTAAACTCAGCGAAAAATTTATGCAGTATTCGATCACATCAGATATAATTAAGTGAAGTCAAGCAGCTGGTAATGATACTTTTTAAATGTTCTTTATAGATTACTTCTCAACGACGTTTAATTTACTCCAATGATTCGTATACTATGATATCGTTGTATTTTTGGATTTGCTAATAGTTTAATATTATTTTTCATCTCGTTAAATATATAATTATTTTTAAATGATTATTAATAGTAAACGAGAACGATTATTCATTGGAATTCCGCTATAGACAACAGATCTATTCACGTAAACGCTATACTAAGATATCAGAACTTCGGCATAAATCCTATCAGTCAACGGAATTTTGTGTTTTCATAAAGTCTCTTTACCAGGGGTGATTCAATAACCGTGCGGTTATTCTAATTCTATTCTTCGTACGAATTTTTCTACGTAGAAAAATTTTTAATTTGCGTTGTCAAAGTTGATGAAGTGTCACAATATCACTTAAAAATAGTTACCATATATACAACTGCTATAGAAGATCATTAAGTTGAGTGATTGCATGCTCTTTTATTAATAAAATCAAAGCTTGTTAATATTAATTAATAGATTAATATTGAATTCATAGATAATTCTTAGATCTCAAGACTGACGGTTACCTCACGTTTTCGGTGATACTGCCGTATAACTTCTAGTGATTTTAGTCATCAACGAAAAATATACTCTCAAGCATTTGTTGCAATAATTCTGTAATCGAATTGTATAAATCTTTCTTTGTCCCTTCTTTTGCAGTATAAACTTAACCAACAAATACTCTACGAGAAGAATTTAGTTACAATTATTTGGAATAATCTGCACAGTATTATTTTTGACTAATATAAGATTTATTTTTTGAATTGCGCTTGATAAGAATAATAGATATTAATGCAACAAATTTGCAAATAAAAATAACAAATAGTCTTTCTTTTTTTGAACATTTTTATTCATTAAAAATACAAAACTACATAAATGACAAGTAAATATAATTTGAAACACATTAGGATCATCTAATATACTATAACACTGAAATCAACTAAACGAAAAGTTATATCTTGTTAGATAAACTAATTTTTTGTACAAGAACTCATAAAAAATAAGTTATTTTTATAAAATAATACATTAAAGTTTACGTATGACTACATAGATACACATTACATTTAAATTGAAAGCACAAAATAATTTACTCAACGTGTTTTAAATACTTTCTGTACATGATCATAAAACTATTTATAATGGTTTACTATTAAAAAATAACGTAATCACATAATTAATATAATTGACAAGATCATAGAGATTTAATGGTAATTAATAATGCAATCAAAGTTTACAGTTATATGCATCTGAAACTTATGAAAACTTATATAACAAAACATGTGACAATAAACAATTGGCACAGTCAGTAATATATTTATGGCATCATTGTCAAATTAATCAGTATCTAATAATTTTAATAATCAAACTTTTGGAAATCTTTAAATTATTTTCACAATCTAAAAATCTACGAAAACCCACCATTTTTTATCATTTCCTTCTTGAACATGCTCCAAAAGCACTATTCTTCGGTTATTACAGTATTTTGATGTATCTTGAATCTTTGGTTTGAATTGAGCTACATTATTAACAGTAATATCACGTTCAAGATATCCTGACAATACTTCAACAGCATTCTCTAAATCATTTTGATTATCTTGAAATATTTCAGTCTGATTATTTTTTTCCAGATAAAAAGCCAAGACGTAAGTGTACATAAGAGTCTGTCTGCAAGAAATTAAAACATCTACAGCTTTTTGCAAAAAACAAACTTCGTTCCATGTCATATCGTACTGCTGTTGGGTTTCCTTCATTTTGTCCAATATATTTCTATGTAATTGATTCTCAAATTTCAATGACTGCATGTGGTTCATGTATCTATTACTAAAAAAATTATACTTTTGCAAAACCATTGCTTTCTTCTGATTGGCTTCTTGTTTTGATTGTGCTCGAATTTCATCAAATCTGTTACATCTATGTGCGTGAGTCCAAGAGCCCATGCACAGCCAACAAAACTCATACCCACAATTTCGATTCCTACATGTCATGTGCATGCAACCTTCATTCTTTTCAATGGGTGCATCACAGTGTGGACAATTTTTAGCATTTTTTAGAATCCATTGATCACTATCTAAATCTTCCTTGCAATGTTTACTCCATTTGCGTAACAAATCACACTTGATTGGGTCATGCCAATTTGCTCCACATAAGAAGCAAAATGTGTAGTTGCACTTACATTTTACTGGTTTAGCTTCTACATTTTTAACCATGATTGCATTTTCGCATCCCTTTGGACACCATTTTATGAGCTTGTGACACTCCACAAAATCATTAGAGATAAGGTGCTCATACTTTTGTTTGACTTTGGGTTCCTTCACTAATCGCATAATGTTAGTATAATCTACCAAAATATCACAGGAATTTGCAGCACATTGTATAGCTTGGACAATTCCTTCATCCATGATTTTAATTTTAAGATATTCATTCCAGCAATCTTCACAAAATTGGTGGCCACACCCTAAGCCAGTCATCATATTTTTTGGTATTTCCACCAAACAGACTTGACATTTATCTGCTTCATTAGAAGATGGTTGGCTTGATGTCAAACTACGTGTTTTGAAGGGATTTATAATATGAGCTTCTTTGAATAATTTCTCTTGATCTCCATTATAGTAGGTACACACAAATTGTTGTATATCCCATTTAAAATGATTAAGTAGAATTCTAGTAGTTGTTTCAGATAAACCTACAAAAGAATTAGCTTCTCTAATCGTTTCCATCATGCAATGCACAATATCATAGGTACAAAGAATTTTAAAATAATATTCTTCAGTTTCATTTCTTTTTTTTGGCAAGGTAATATTTAATAAAGCGTAATCAATCTCATCTATAATGTTATATTCATCACCATCAGAATCATATTCATAAAATTTTTCATCTTTTAGGCTCATTGTGATTAATTCTAAAATTTATTATAATATTAACAGTATCTTGATAAAATAATGTTCTTTAAGAAACTGTTTAGTATAATATTAATTTAGGAATTCGACTTTAATGACAAAAGTAAAGTGTAAACACACCTGTAAACACCTACAAAAAAAAAAATTAATTTAGCAACATGAACAAAACCATAAAATAGGAATAACAGCATATATATATTGTTGAACAAAAAGAAGAAAAAATAATTACATAACTTACATGTCTTAGATATTTATGCTTAGATATTTATAGTTAGATATTTATGCATAAAGACTGATTTAAGTCAATAAAAGTATTTGCAGCAATTTAAATCATTCAATGGTCATAGCTGTAAGTTACATTATAATTAATCTTGTGTGTGTGTGTGTGTACATATATATATATATATATATATAATTTTTAATAGTTATTGTTTAAGTAGATCCATTATTACTTCTTGTTGAGCAGTTTACAAGCAGTTTTTAGTGTGCTTATACGAATAGTATGTGCTGTGTGATGTAATCTCGGTGCCAACAATAACCCTACTTTCATTTCACGTGTCCAACACCATGCCAATCTATTCAACACATTTAAATATCTAATTTTATCATGAATATCCTATTTATACACACAAATACTATACATACAAGTACACTTACTGTCAACGTTTGCTTTGAAAGCTAAAATTAAATTAAACTAGAAAAAAGAATTCATATACGAGTACTTATAAAATTTACTGTTTGATCAAGAATTTTGTGTAGCAGAATCGCTAGGTTAAAAAATCAAAAAGACGAGTGTGTATTTTGTTTTGAGGTTACATATTCATCGGAAGATTTCAATTACATTTTTTTCCAGCATTTCAACGACGAAATTGACAGCATTTTAATCAACAAACACGAATACCACAACACACTGTATTAAGATAACGTAATTTTTAAACTATCACGATCACTAATATACATAATTATGCAATACAATTACAGATATTACACAAAAAGTGGATTTACACTAACGTATTACTACAAAAAGTAAGATTTAATGATCGGCCAGCGAGGAATGCGTGGATAAACCAACATGAAGCCATAACAAAAGGCGTAGCGTCGCGCTCGCGCTGTTTCTAAGAGTGTAATGGCCGCCACTCGCTGGTCTTGCGATAACGTATCGACATCACGAAAATATCTTATCTCGTCACGACATTTATATATTATATACTTAAGACATTTTTAGCTCGCTTCGCGTGCTTATCCCTTCCGTTTCTTTTTATAATAGTTTAATATAAATCGCACTCGAAACTTTTATTGGACACTGAAATTCTACACCATTTAAATATTCCTATGAACTACGAAATATGTTTTATAATTAACGATATAATTTATTGGTAAAAAACTCAGTAATATTCACTTTTGATTTCAAAATACTGTCGATAATCATCAAATTTAATCATTTTATGATTTGTTGAAAAATCTTCAAAAAGTTTATCAAAAAACACGAACAAAAATGCAGAAATAATGTAGAAAAATAATGTAGAAATAATGTAAAATTGTAGAAATAATGTAGTTTTCTGTAATCCTATTACGCATCCTTTACGGACTCGTTAATAGTATACATTCCACATTTGATAAAAATAACTAGAATCCTACTTAAATTAAAAATTTTGATTGTTATATTATGTATGTAGGATTACCAAGCTAGGAGCAATGATAATGAATGCATAAACTATATATTGATGTATAATATATTGCCAAACACAATACAAGGTAACTAATAACTAAACGCTATAATTAATGCTCGATAAAATACAGAGATATAATGAAACAAGGGTAAAGCAAAGTCGTCACATAGTCATGGTCTCCCACTCAGATAGCACAGCGTGTCGGCACGGTCTGGCACGCGCGTACTCGTCACGCCGTGCCGTTATAATGCCAACAAAATGCTGGCACGGTATGAAAAGCCGTCGTGCCGTCTGAATGCTGTCATTCGGCCGGCCCGCAAAACATAAATTTAACAAAAAAAAATAATAAATTAATTTAAAAGCAATTTAATAAGAGAATCATTATTTAGAATAATTACATATATATTAAATATTAATACATTATTTAAAATAAATACTATATATATAGTTATTAAATGAAAATTCTTTTATTAAATTGTTTTTATTTTAGACAATACGGAAATTTAATTTATATATATATATACGCACATACGTGTACGCATGCGATACCGCGATCGTCATTTGTTTACAAAACTGTTTCGATGCAATCGGTCTTTGGGTGATTATGTCGTTATTGTTCTTCAGAGTATTTCTATTATTGCAAGACCAAGATAAATAAGTGTAGTGACTTGTGAGTGTCCAGTGTAATTGTGCTGTCCAGGAAATTATATCCGTTAATTCTGCAAAAAGAGTAAGTAAAAATCTATATTGTTTTTTATTAATAATATTGTTATTAATAATTATGTTATTAATAATATAAGGTAAACTTCTAAAATATTAAAAATGAGTCTTCTGTTTAAAATATGTAAAAATAATTTTCCAAGAGCTTTTTAGACGAACAAATTGTTCTTGTCGATTGCCTCATCAACTTTTTGAGTTTACCTTAAAACATAACTATACATTTAATGCTTGATGTAATTCTAAAATCTGCTACCAATATCATTTAATAATTACAGCCTTAAAAAGTTTGGCATATCAAATATCTAATTTTTCAAAATTCATTATTATTAGAAAGGAATTTAACAGTGAACCAAGTACACTGAAATTATCAAATAATATTGGCAGCGGGTTCATGAATTATATTAAGCATAAAAGAAGCATCAGTTTTATCATCCAAACTAAACCAACGATGTTTTTCTATTGGAAGTATAAACATAATTTTACAGGAGCTTTATAGTCCATAAACTGTTATGTTAAAACAGAAGTACACTTTTTTTCATCAAAGTCCTAGTTCCTGTATTTTGTTCGATCAACTTATTTGAATTATTGGCAAGAGTCTCTGCGGCTTCTTCAACAAGACTTGGGAGGACTCAATGAGCGGATAAGGACAACGGAACAAACACATAAATAAAACAGAACACAAACTAAAAACTGTCAACCCACGTTTGTTTATTGGTAATGCCAATAAAAAAACAAAACTTTCACACTCACGTCAACCATCAAATACATGAACCCATTCAGAAGACTCATATACAAACCACGGTGCGCTGGAAGTGCCTTTAAATCGAAGGTGAAGAGCACATCCAATTTTATTGCATAAATAGATTCTACGGTACTTACTGAGTAACTCTCTGCAAAAATTAAAATAATCCCCAGGGCCGTTTTTATTTTTTTTTAGTTTTAAGCTTAGAAAATCAAGTATTGAGACGTACACAAAAATTTGACGGAGCGTGGTCGGTGAAATAATTCGATGATGTAGAAAAAATCGTATAACATTCTGGTGGTGGTATTAAATCTATAATTTCTAATTCCTTTTTTGTTGAACAAATCGGAGAATGAACACAACATTCGTAATTTTTTGCATCTTTTGACTGGCTTCCACTTTTAACCCACTTTTTGTATTTGTTCATGCAATGGCCAATTGTTCTATACTGTCCACATAAATTCAAAGTGTCCTTTTTTGCTGTACACCACGTACATGGGAATGTACTGGCATGACTCATTAACATGACTCAGAACTGCATCTCATGTTAGGTGTTGTGAATCATTTATTCAAAAAAATGTCAGTAGAATTTGAAAAGAATAGCTTAGATTGGGCTAAAAAATGCAATGTTTCACAAGATTTCTACAATGGAGTTTCTAGTTTTGCTGGAAATGCGTGTCACAGTCTATTAAAGAAGGTAGACATTTTGCGCTCGATTGCAGACATTGGTTGTTTGAAATTTGTTAAGTGCTTCGAAGATTTTTGCAAAGCAGTCGATTCTTGTTTTACAGTTGAACTTGATCCAAATTTCAGTTTATACATCGATAATTTTAAAAAAAGTTACGAAGATTTAAATATAAGTATCATTCCAAAAGTACACGCAGTGTTCTTTCATGTCAAATATTTTTGTGATAAAGCTCAAAGAGGACTCGGTTATTTCAGTGAACAAGCAGTGGAGTCTGTTCACTCTGATTTTGAAAACACTTGGAAGAAATATAAGTTGAATAAATCCCACGAATATTATGCTGCAAATTTACTCAAAGCGGTGCAAGAATATAATAGTCAACATATATAGTTCGTTATTCTTTGTTTGTTATAGTTTGTTATTGGATATTTAATGTACATATTTCAAATATACACACATATGTATATATGTATAGATTTGATATAGATGTGCACATACAGTCCGCAGATGTTAATTATTCAGTTAATAAAATGTTATACGATTTTTTCTACATCATCGAATTATTTCACCGACCACGCTCCGTCAAATTTTTGTGTACGTCTCAATATTTGATTTTCTAAGCTTAAAACTAAAAAAAAATAAAAACGGCCCTGGGGATTATTTTAATTTTTGTAGAGAGTTACTCAGTAAGTACCGTAGAATCTATTTATGCAATAAAATTGGATGTGCTCTTCACCTTCGATTTAAAGGCACTTCCAGCGCACCGTGAAACGTCTCAAACACAAAGAAATACATAACGCACTCAACCTGCTCAGAAGATTCATATACAACCACCTCAAACACAAAAAGACACATTTACTCAATATATTCAAAATACACAAGCAGCTCAATTTAGTATCTCACACGCATCCACGAATCTTTCCTTCACGCACAAACACAATCAACAACAGTTACAACACTAAAACTCAGTACCATTCACAGCACTCACACACCGGCAACCGTCATTCTCCGCCAACATCATTGAATCAGCAGTAGCGGATAAATGGACGAATAGACAAACGATGCTCGAAATCATGAGGTAAGTTGTAATCAAATAAGGCTATCTCAACTTTTTATTTTTTATTGAAAAAGGTCAAGGTCAAGATCATGTTAATGTTAAATGTATTTATTTGGCCAAAAATGAATAATTGACTGCAGATTCTGAAAGAACGGAAAATTTTACGTTCATATATTATTTTTATTTATATTTTTATCATAAAGTTGAAGTTAATTTCAAAGTCACTATGTTATACTATAAACTATTCATATCAAAATTGTAAGAAATACGAGAATATGGACTATTATAAATACATAAATGCTACATAAATATGTTTTGATGATTGGTGAGTCTGAATCCGAGTCCCTTTTCATTCTACGAGACCGTTGTTAAGAAACCCGTGGTGAAGATCAAATCGGAACTAAAAAGTCCAAACAGTCAGAAATATTGCTCTAAAATGTTCTTACTTTTTTCTGCATGAAAGACCGTCGTTCCAAAAATAATGCAAATTTTCTGAAAATTTCACTTGTTAAATATTTTCTTAATCAAAATTAGAAAAACCAAGTTCATCTCCAAACTCTCATTCCCCAAGCTTTTAAGACCCAAGCTCTAAATTCTAAACATTCAACTCTACTGAACATCTAAAACCCTGCATCATACCTTCTTCTGTGTCGGTCATGACGGCATAATGCCTTCACTCCGGGGCTTTGCTGGAAAACAAAAAGCAAAAAAAAAAATCAGTTTTTCGGCGTTACATGTGAAAGCCTGGGTTCCAACACACAAAAATTCAGGTACGATAATAGATTTGAAATTTTTTTATTATGTTTACAGAGAATTTGTACTTTCACATTATAGATGTAACCTTAAAATGACCTTGATCTTGACCCTAATGGGTCAAATGGATCTCGGAATCAGATTCAGCGAGAAAAAAAACTGGAAAGTACACTTTCATATCCTACTCAAGCATTTTTTAGGGATTTGACCTTAGAATGACCTTAACCTCGTGGCGTTAATCGGACCTCGAATTCAGTGATCACCAAAATATATTAATATATTCTAGTCCCATGAAGTCATATTTTGTCATTTTTGCAATTGTTATATGTAAAGTTTATAGAATAACATAGTGACCTTGAAGTAACCTTCGGCATTATGATAAAAATATAAATACAAATCATATCTAAACGTAAAATTTTCCGTTTTTTCAGAACCTACGGTCAAAAATTTAGTTTTTGCAAAATAAACATATTTCACCTTAACGTGACCTTGACCTTAACCTTTTCCTATTAAACGCACACTAGATTTGAATTTAGCGACCCAAAAAACGTAAAAGAAAGATGATATGAATGGAGTAGGCCATTTTTCCTGGATTTGACCTACAAATGCCCCTACTTCGCTCAATGTTTCTATTATTATTTTCAACTATACGTGATTATAATTTAAATAACTTGTATTTCTGAGTCACTTGTAAATAAGAAAAAGAATTTACCTAAACGTGTAAGCAAGTCCCTATTTTAAATATCTTATTCTAATTGCATTGTTTAGTGTTTATTTTTTATTTATAAACTAAGTGATGAAATATTTCTTATAATATAAATATTTTTATAAATATTTTTACTTTAAGTGAGAAATTTTGCAAAAAGAAAAAATTTTATTCTTAACTCTCAGCTGCCACACTAAGGTTGTTCGCGACAAAGCCTCAGACAGTAAGTAAGTAATTTTTCGTAATTCTTTGCAAATTATATTTCTTTTGACGTATTAAATTGAAAAATGTTTGTAAGAGATATATATCACCTTGTAAAATAATAGTTAAAGATTAAGAAAATGTTTTCAATTATAAAAAATTAGTTCATTAAAAATATATGAATATATGGCTGTGGTCAAAAATATCCCAGTCTGGCAGCTAAGGTTGACGCTATAACTGTGGCATATAAGGGTTAATTTATAAAAGAAACTACTTTCGGGATGAATTTAATAAAAATACCAAAAACTTATTTATTTCCAGAATCTTTTTTGTTTTTCCATTTTTATTAATCCTAACACATTGCATTAATACTCAGATTGCATTGCTTTACAAGAACTAAAATTTTTTATTTTTCTTCCTTTTATTTTCCGCTGTACTTGCTCAAAGCAACTTAATTAATGATTCGATAACAACGATGCTTATTTTATTCTCCCTACATTGGGAGAATAAAATCTGCTCAATGTAACTCAATAATGTTCAGCAAGAATTGTAATTGCAGAAATAATTTATGGATTTATCAAAGTGAGTGTTCAATAAACAGCTATACGACAATGTTTTGTCACATCGCAAAAAACAATAAATATATTGTGCAGGGCATATTTGTTCATAATATTGATTGGCTCAACTTCGAACTGGCAAGTACGCGGTAGCCGAGGCTCTCGTGCCTCTAGTTGGACGTGTGATTGCTTGCAATTGCTGCGTTCGGCTTGTTTTTTTTTTTTTTCAATCGATCTGTAGCCAAACCAAGTGGGCTGTTTGTAAGTGATCGCGACCTGCACAGCTCCAACGGCTCGACTATGAACATGCAACCATCGTTTTCAGAGTTCTTTCTCGATCGTAAGTCTGATTTGACAATTATTTCATTATCTCCAATATAAATATAATTTGTCCGTTAGATTTTTCTTAATGCTGATAATTTATATCACAATATGTATTAGATATGGTTATTCAGCATAGACATTCTCCTGCACGTAAATAATAAATAGCTACAATGATCGGAGTAGTGATTATAAACAGAAAATAAAAAATTTAATTTGCTAATAGAGCAGTACTAGTTACTAGTTACATTTTCGCATAATTCTAATTAATTATTTTGTTATCTATTTCCTGCAGATTATTAGCAATTATTTCTCAGTTATGTTGTTATACTTCTGATTTGTTTTTTATCGTATATCTACGGGCAATTATAATTAATCTATGAACGTGTTTAATTTCAGTAGATATGTAAATGCTTGCCGTTTGTACACAAGAAGCAAAGCAATGGAAGATTCTTCAGAATTTTTGATTAATCAAACAATCGACTTCTATGTCGATGATTTTATAAGCTCGTTTTTCAATAACACTGATGACCGTGAAGAAACTGTACATCTTGATTTTCGCACGATTTTGGACAATATTAACGACACCGCAGATGACACAGAGGCCGGTTATCAAATAGTGTTTATGGCCCCAAACTTCATTCTTGCAATGAATGTTACGTTGCTTATGATTGGCCTTTTGGGAAACATCATTGTGTGTATCGTTATTTTCCGTGGCAAATCTATCTATACAGCTACTAACTATTACTTACTCAACTTATCTATTTCTGACGTCTCGGTTTTAATGACTAGAGCACCTTTCGAAATATATATGAGCTACTACCGGTCCGAGGTAAGAATATAGATTTATAAATAGTGATGCTTCTGTACAAAAATAAACTATACAAAGAACTATTTTTTTTATCCATATGGCTATCAAAAAAAGTTTTTAAATTTGCTGCGTTTTTCTTAATTTAAGAATAAAATTTATAATTATATGATTAATATTTGTATGAATAATATTTATTTAATAAATATCATAGCTTTTTTGAAATTTCATATTCAATTAGATTTTACTCGCATCCACTAATTCAACAGATGTGATCTATGCAATTTTAAAGGGAAATAGAGGTAAAATATAATGTATATCTTCTATTCATCTTTTGGAAATTGACCGAATGCTACTAAAAATTAGATCAGAGTAGTTATAAAAAATTTGACCTAGCCCTGAAAATATAAAGCTTAGAATTCAAGAACTTTTTGTTATCGTACAAGTTAATATTGGATCAACTATCTACTTAGTCTTTTCTTGATACATAACAGTGTGGAGAATGACTTATTCATTTATCCGAGAATAAACATTAATTTACTGTACAGATTTTTTTGTTTCGAGACAGTTTTTTAAAAGTTATTTCACGTGTTGTCGTAAAATAAAATAAAAGGATTTAGGAAAAGAGCAACATCGTATTTTTTACTTTCAGATCCAGTACAAAAGTGAAGCAATGTGTTTCCTTCATTATTTGAGTTTTCAAACGGCTGTGAACGTATCCACTTTGACCGTAACTATGTTCACTGTAGAAAGGTATTTAGTAATATGCCATCCATTCGTAGCCAAGTCAATACTCGAAACCTCTTTAGTGAAAAAGATAATTATTTTCACTTGGCTGGTCGCTCTTCTATTTGCATTTTCACCGTTCATATTAGACGGTTTTAACTTCGATTACTGGAAAACAGTTTATTGTACTATAGACTATGATGATAAATATGCACTTATTTTTTCAACGATATTTTTTTTCATTCCGAGTGTATTAATTGCAACGATGTACATTTTAATTGGTATAAAATTAAAGACTATTTCAAGCAGCAAACAACTTGGTGTTCGAGCTAATCGTGATACTGGGAAAACAATTAGATTGCTAGGTAGTATAAACAGACTAAACGTATGATATTATAATTGTAAATTACTTAACTGTTGTATATTTCCATAGCCTTGATCGTTGTTGGATTTGTTTTGTGCTGGGCGCCGTTTTATGCAATGGAAATTATCTCTCCGCAAATTTTTTATATGATCAATGACCTGGTAATTACTGGTGTTAATCGACCGGTAAATGATGTAAAAGATATATCATGGGACGATTTCCAATATGAATATAATTCGTCATATGTATGTTTGCAAATTATAAGGTACTTAATCCTGATCAAGAGAATCAGTTGTACTTTGGCTCCCACTATAAATCCTATAATTTATACGATGATGTCAAAGAATTTTCGAGTTGCCCTTAAGGTACGTTATTGTTTAAAAGTAGTTCACGTTACTGAATAGTAAGGATTTTTAATAATTTACAGGAGTTGCTGTTCGATTTTCGCACCAATTCGAAAAAATGGAGATCACGCTCGAGCGGCACTCACACTACTAATACTACGTCAATCTAATACAATCGAAGACATATTTTAACTCATACTTTTTTTCTACAACCAAAAAAAGACTTACTTTCATGAAAAGTTGTGTAAATAACTTTTGCATATATTAAGAAGCACTGTCTCCTCAGCAATTTTCCCAACTTGTTGGTAAAATCATTTTAAGAGACCCACTAGATTATAAAATCATAAATAATCCATCAGCACTTCATGTGTTATAGTAATTATTTTCATTCCATTCCAGAGTTTGCTTAAAAAACATTCTGTTTGCTTTGGCACACTGCAAACCTTCAACTTCTGTAATGTGTGTTGTGGGCGCACGTATGGAATTAATCTGAAGCTGAACGCTGTACCAATGCTATGAATAGCGTTTTTTTTAAGTTTCAAGACGATGAGGATGACACAATAATTTATTAATTTCAATACGTTTTTGACGTTCCAACTTAATTAAATGGTCGATAAACCAATAATATTTAATAAAAGTATTTGTAATGTTGAGTCTATATAAAATAACTTTTTGCAATGATATTTTAATTGTTCCGAATCAACAATTTAGTTTAGTTAAATTAATTTTTTAAGTGTACCATTTAAAATAAATGTTTCTCGTAATCATAATGAATAATTTGATCTATTATCAGATTTTGTGATTTTTAACTGTACAAGAAGTGAAACTTACAACAAACACTGCAATTCCAACTTTGTTCTGATGTTATGAGGCACACTTGTATTTTTCCATTTATTGGAGATCAGCTTAACGGATATATTTTCAATGGAATTTTCTCTCAATGAGTTCCTCAAGCACTCCATCCGTGATTTTCACGAGCATATTAGCGTAATGTTTGTGATACGAAATTTAAGACGTTCATCCCTGATTGTCGGTTGAGCTCTTAAATCCGATAAATTGCCTAAGCTGAAAATTTAGGTATACGAATTAAATGCTCAGTTTCAGTTTCTACAGTCCTATTTCCTTCATGATCGTCTTCCATTAGTTTTTCCGCGTTTATTCTTTGCTTCGAAGATTTCAACTCTTTTGACTTGTTACAATGGTACGTATTGAATATTAATTTAAATGTTTTGTCCAGCTCGCATATGCATTAATCTCAATTGTTAGTACACAGAATTGACTGCTGCAGTTTTTGTAAATACGTAGAGAATAAGGTTCTTGCGATGAGACTCAGTTTTCCTGCAACGTAGCCGTCATTTGTATGTTATCATTTGGACATTTCGTTTGCAGGACAACACTGAGGGAAATAAAACTTTCGACGATGAATTACGCACTCTCGTAATGAACCACAAGAATGACGAACTCAAGTCCATATTGAAAACATTGACTCCGTCGCGAATAATTGACAACGAAGGCATGACGCTTCTGCATCTGTCAGCCAGATATGACAATTTGGAGATGATCAAGTTCTCACTGGTCTCGGGATGCGACCTCAATGCCAAAAATTCCTCCGAGGCGACGCCCCTTTTCTTGGCGATCCTACACAACAACTTCGCGGCGGCGAGACTTTTGCTGGATGCTGAGGCTGACGCGCTCACAACCGACTGCGACGGGAAGAATACGCTGCAGCTGCTGACCGAGAAGAAGCGGGTGCCGACGGACTTCGTCGAGTATTTCTTTGTCAAGCTGACTAGCAAGGGTGTCGACGCGGAGGACAAGGCCGACATCCTCACGAGGGCTGGCTGCTCGCTGGTATACGTGGTGCTGTACGTGAAGGACGCCGGAATAATCCAGGCGCTGCTGCGGCGCAAATGCTGGATCAGCCATCACGAGTCCAGCGTCGCGCTGAAGCACGTCGTCAATTCGGTGGACTTGCAGAATCTGCGGGTGCTGGTGCATCACGGCCCCGGGGCAGCCAAGAGAAAGAAGGATTTTTTCAAATGTTTTTACCGCAAGCTCGTCAGCGGCTGCTCGAAGCTGGCGCTCGTGAGGTCCGTCGTGGCGGACTTGATCAACTGGTACGTCGACGAGGCGTTGCTTCAGTTCCTGCAGAACGTGTTCGAGAAGAAGCCCAAGGAGGTCGTGCAGCTGTTCGTGCAGTGCAGCATCGACGTGCGCGTGACGAACGTCTCCGGGCAAAATCTGTTGGCGCACCTGTTCGGCAATCCCAACCGCGGTGTGATCAAGCTGCTGAGGAATCGGCAGTTCGACGTGAACACGCGTGGCAGAGGGGGCATGAGCGCCCTGCACGTGGCGGTGATGAACGGGCTGGAGGGCAACGTCAAGTACCTGCTCGGCATGGGCGCCGATCCGAATGTCAAGGACGATCGCGGGAGAACGCCCCTGCTCTGCTCGAACGCGTGGCTCAGCCAGCCGATCGCCGAGCATCTGCTGCTGGAGCGAGAGAGCGACGCCGAGCAAGCCCAGCAAGCCACTCAAAACGAGTGCATCGCCGAGCTGCTGCTGCGGTACGGCGCTGACTTGCAAGTGGTCGACGACAGCGAACGCACCGTCATCGAAGTCTTCTACTACCTGTCCTCAATGGAGCCGATCCTGGCGCGACTGGCTATTGCCGAGTGCCAGGGTGCCCAGATTCAGCGGCTCATTCGCGAGAGGATCGACGCCAAGGAGGGCTACCGAGATTTCTACGACAACTGCTTGCTGCAGGTCCAGGCCTTGAGGAAGTACAAAATCAACCGGGGCGTCACGTTGCTCGACGCCTTCACCAGGCGAGCCGACAAAATCGACGTGCGAAGTCGTCGGACCATCGACGCTATGCTCGATTACTGTGACAAATTTCACTTTCACCGGGTCTACTCGGAGCCGCTGAAGCTCAAGCTGGAGAAGGCTTTGAAGATATACGAGGCAAGGTGTCGAGCCGCTGTCGTCATTGCCGAAAGCACGGACATGTTAATCGATCCTAATCACCTGGCAACGGAAATGATTGTTAGTTTCTTGACTGACGAAGATTTGGCGGTCTTTCAGTGATGGGCGACTCTATAATTTTCTTATTTTCAGGAATAGTTGACGTGTATCTGTTGTATACGACATTTTAGAATATGCTCTACATTTTTATTCAAAAAGACAATACTACTAATTGGAACTTCGCGTATTGATTGTTTATTGAACTCTTTCGTCGTGACCATATCTTTAAGATAATTACGTTTTCTCTCAGTAGAATTCAATTAATTAATTAGGGACAATAGTCCTCTGCCATCGATGAACCTGACACTCAAATGAAATAATAATACAAAAGAATTGTTCAAAAAATTATTCGGAAATCACAACCTTTTCTAGACATGTATTGCCAATATCGTACATGATAATCTATGTAATATTTTTTAATAATATACGATTTTAGAATAATTTATGGTAGACCTGCGTTATGAACTAGTAGAATTTTAATTAATGTAAAAAAGATCGACATTCAAGCTGACACTATTCTACGAATATATTATTAATAATTTCTATATAACTATATAGTATGTTGATTTGCATTAATACTGATTAAATTAGAAATTTAATAATTTATAGTAAGTTATTTGATAAATCTCGATATTTTACATCTCGTTCGTCAGCTTGCCATCTGTAATTTGATTTTTATTTTTTACTATACTCCAAAAACAAACAATAAAGAGGAATTTCAAAGTAAACGATAACTTGTTTGACCCTGAAGTTTTTTATTTCCATGCAGTTATAAGCTAAAGTTTGACCCACGTCTGATCATATTCGTGCAGTTGCGATTTATATAAACTTGGCTATATATTAATTTTCGGTTACCTATCTCATAAGCTTTTATCGTTAGATGTCAACCCACGTACCCTCTTACAGTCCTCTTATCCTCTTCCTCTTATAAAACAGAAAACCTGACAAATTGAAGCCAGTTTACTCGTGACCTGATCGGCTGAAAGATAGTCACCTGGTCAGCTGTTGCGGGATATTATATATAGGTATATTTTGTGTGCTTTCATGAAATATGACTGCAGATTTTCGTAAATAGTTAAATGTTCAAAAAGTGCATCAATATAGTGGGCATGAAATGAATATAAATTGACTGGTATAATCATATAAACCTCAAAATAAAAACTAACTAATATCACAATAGAGAAATTAATTGAAATGTGCTCTATGCGAAAGTTTCGAATAAACAAAGTAAATAAAGGATATAAATCGATAGAATACTTTGTTAAAGTATTGTATAGTGCATTGTATAAATATCTATTTTACAAATATAAATATTGTACAAATACAATACACCTTTATTGAGTTAAGTAAAACATTAGAAAATGTTTTTGAAAATACAAAATCATAAAAAACATCTACCGAAATATGTTATTTACATCGTCAAGGATATAATCATAAAGAACCACAATGTTTTTATAACTTATATTACATTTTTATCGTGTTTGTCAAACTTTTAAATAATCATTTTTCCACAACATTTTCGGAATTTTATGACCGATACTGTATATTCGTGCATTAAAATGAATGCGAAAAATGGCTATAAATATGAGCACGCGAAACACGGTAGACATCACTAGTACAGGTAAATCAAGATACTTCCAGCATGCTCCTCCTTTCGGGTGGGTCGTAACGAGGCGACTTAAATACGATTGGTAAAGGCGTAACTCACTCCATGCGCAACCAATAGACGTTTAACATTAAGCCCACGAAGAATTTCTCTGAATAATTGTTTTTTTACGTCCAAATAAATTCACGTATGATGAGTGTGGCGAAACAATTCAAATGATGTATTCATTAATTACTTGCATAAGTTCTTATGTGGTTTCTTATACAATTTCTTACCCAAGTTCTTGCCCAAGATCTTGCTAACTAATTTTCAGGAGGGTACAATATTCTAATACTTATAACATCGAAATCATATAGCAAATTTTGTCTAAACGAACTATAAAAACAATGTCATGGAGTTTTTGTGTAGAAAAATAAAGTAACATTATGACAATAATAATAATACTCGTATCTAGCAATTCTTGTTGAATTAGGACTTATTGAAATTGATTATTATTTCATTTTATTATTTTATCAAGTTTATACCGATCCAGCTCGCATAGAACGCATTGGGACTTCTCAAGATAAGAATCTTCTGTGTAAGAAATTCGAGTGATATTTGTTTTTATTACTGATAAAAAAAATAATAATCTTGCCGAATATAAAGAACTTTAACCTGGCGGCAGGTTAAACTTATAGTTGAGATCTTTTCTATAAAGAAATTTATTTTAGAAATCAATTTAAAAATACGTTAATAAGTAAATGTGAAACTTGAGGCAACTATCATCAGATGCAGCTTTATTATGTGAAAACAGTTAGTAAAAAACATTTGAAATATAAAAAGCTGAGTCAAATCATCTTGCTATCCTCTATTCTACGTTTATCTGATTTTCTTGTCTATTTTGGATAAATTAATAACTTATTCAGACACACATTAAATTAGATTATTTGAAACCAAATATATTTTCGATGATGAGAATCAAATAGTTTAAATGAAATAATCAAATACTTCAATAATACCATATAGCAATCGTACTGATAAAAAATTTTGTCGATATTCAAAGTCATTTAATTGTTCCACAAATGTAGGTAAATATACGTGAAAACGGAAGAAATCAATTAACATCACTTTTTTCTAATTTTATTACAGCGAGCTAATCTTTAAAATAAAAACTAACATTTATGCATTAATGAAATTTATTAATTCTTTATTTTTTTACCATATAGAAAATATACCATAATAAGCAGATCATTTAAAAAATACGACATTGACGAGATTTCCTTTAGCTTCATTGCTCATTATTTCGTAGAATTATATACATACAATTTCACTGCTAGTCACTTTGTATTTAGTAATTATTACGCAGTGTCTAGTAATCGATCACTTAGACATTTATTTACATGTATAAATAGACTTATATATTTATTTACATATATAAATAGACATATATTTATTTACAAATATAAACAGTCTTATAAGTTATTTACATATATAAATAGACTTGTATATTTATTTACAAATATAAAAAGACATATATTTGTTTACATATTTATTTACATATTGGATCATATATTTATACCATGAACAATTACTCAATATTCTACTTAACTGATAACAGCACCAAATATGTTTATAGATTAGATTATTAAGTTGTTCCCTCATACCATTCTTGAACTTTAACTTTGAATACCTCGCTCATGTAGGTACTGTATAAGTAGTGGTATATGGCTTGTGATAAATGATTAAAAAATTAATATAAAATCATTGAATCATATATATCCAATATTAATACTTATAGATTACTAAACTGCAGAAAATAATAATTGTCAATAGCAAAGTGGTAAAATACAAATTTAACAGTATGAAAGTGTATTGACGTTGTACAAACACACATACACGCACACACACACACACACACACACACACACACACACACACACACACACACACACACACACATTATAACTAACATAGAAATTTATTGTATGATTTGATGAAGTATAAATTATTGTTTCGTGTAAGTAAGGATTAAGAAGGCAAATAAACTTCTTTTTAATTAAAATGAATGTCAAAAATACTCAAAAAATATTGCGATGCTATCTAACCTAAATATGATGTCGAAAAACAACGTTTTTTTAGACTAGGATATCTTAAAAACATAATGTGATAAAGAAATTCCGAGGGCTGATTTGGATTCAGCGTACTAGAATACTTCAGGAATACTATTCCTAGCTTGTGATAGACAGAATAACCCATGATTTATATACCTGCGTTATTTATTCATTCAGTATTTTTTGTGATCCATAGTTTAATCCAAAACTAACTTAGCATATTCAATACTCAACTTCCTGATCGTTATTTATACGAAACAATAATTTAGACTTAATTGGGTCATAAGAATCTATTAATAATCATAAATTTCTATTTTAATTAGAATTTGTTCAAAATGGCATACCGTGTTCCACAGCAGTTAGTTTTCAGCAGTTTACATCGAGTTCCGATTCAATAGACATCATAATTTGTTCATATTTTTCTTTGTTTATTCTTGAGATAGTGAGTAGATGGAGGTATATCATACAGTTGAATTTAAGTAAATATGCTAATAAAAATAGTCTTATAGTTCAAGTGTGAATAAATAAATAATATATATATATATATAATATGTATATTAATACCTTTAAAACCTTGTCATTTTTTCATCGTAAGATCATAGAATATATATATTTTCAATATATTTAATTTATAGCCTACTATGTTGTGCATTTAGTATACAATGCACTATAACTTATTAATCTTAAATATTTACAGATACTATCTAAGTTAAATTATATTGATTAATTTAAAAATTATGGTAAAAAACAATGATACTAACAATCATAAATTCAGCTACTTATATATTGTATTCTAAAATCCACCAATCATTTTCAAATCCCTCACGTATGTGCTTTATGAGTATTTGTCTTCTGCCTTCACAATAAACATATTTATCCATGACTCGCTGCTTTACATCAGCCAAATTTTCGTCGACGATGTCTCGTTCAAGATATCCAGAAAGTACTTCAGTTGCATGCTCTAAATCTTGTTGGTTAGCTTCAAATATATCAGTCTGATTGTTTTTCTTAAGGTAGAATAGTAAGACGTAAGTATACATAAGTGTTTGCCTACAAATCAACAAAGTATCTATTGCTTTTTTTAAAAATTGCACTTCAACCCAGGTCATGTTGTGCTCTTTCATATCTTGCATTTTGTAATTAATATTGATATATATTTCACTTTCAGCATTGAGCGAAGCAAGGTGATTATTGTATCTGTAGGAATAAAATATATATCTTTGATGATCAGTTTGCAATTTGTTTTCAGTATGGTTATACACTTCACTATATCTATTGCAACCATGATTAAAATTGTGATTGTCCCAAATTGTAAGACATAGCCAGCAAAATGATGTATCACATTTCATACAGGTCATATGATTACAGCCACCATTCTTTTCGATATTTGAGTGGCAACCTGGACAATCCTTAGTGTGGGTTATAAGCCACACTGTTGTTGCAGCCTCGACTTTATCAATTTTCTCCCACTTACCTAGTAAACCACAACTGATCGGCTCATGCCACCTCTTTCCACATTTAAAACAAAATGTCAAATGGCATTTACATGTAACTGGCTTGGCATCTACATATTGTACTTTAATTACTCTATCACAGCCTGGAGTTAAACACCATCTCATAAGTTTATTATAATCTACAAAATTGTTAATTATTTGTTTTTGATACTTTTGTTTTACCTTAGGATTTTTCACCAAATTCATAATAGTATTATCATCCATAAAAATTTCACATTTTTGTGCCATACATTTTATTTTTTGTACTAATCCTTCGTTCATAATTTTAATTTTAAGATAGCCGTCCCAACAGTTTGTACAAAAACGATGGCCGCATTCCAAACCAGTTAATTCTGATACTAGTAGAGATGAACAACATACTTGGCATTCTTTTACTGTATCGAAGGTACTTTGTTCCAGCAACGATTCTTGCGAGGAAATTTTTTCATTGACATAAATCTTTTTAAGAGGATAAGGATAAACAATATGAGCTTCACGGAATAATTTGTCTTGATTACCATCGTAAAATCTGTCTAATAATCTTTGCTTGTCCCATTGAAAATGATTCAGTAACATTTTCGTTATTGCTTCAGGCATTTCTAATATTGAATTAACTTCTGCTATAAGATCTATCATATATTGACAAACTTCATCAGGAGAAAGAACTTCAAATGAATATTCTTCACTATAATTTTCTGTTATTTCAAGGTTAACGCATGATGACTCCATATAGTCTATGTCATTATCACTAGATTCGTAACCAGAACCAACCTCGTCATAAAGAATATTGTCTAAATCCATTATGGCTTAGTAGAAAACACAGAAATATTATTTTCTAAATATTTTTTATCTTCTTTATCCAGGAAATATAATGCTTGTATCTATATTAAATTATACTACCTATTGAAAAATTAAATAATTAAAAAATTATAAATGAAATACTTTAAATAGAACACACACACACGCGCGCGCACGCACGTATATAAAGTATAACTTTGTAGGTAATAAAGTCAACTGCCATTATCTTGGAAGCTATTCACTCGTATAGTTCAAAAGACTACAGCAATCTGTGGCGGTTTAAAGAACTAACTTCTGGTCAAATGCATAAAGTATTATAATAAAAATAAGTGCGATTGACGGTTTAAAAATAAAGTCACGATTAATTTCAATTCAAATAAATTATTATAGTGATACATATATCAATAACATAAAAAGTATCACTTAATTTGAAACATTGTTTTGGGTTTTAGGTTTTAGATTATATGACATAAAACTTCTTAAGCGTTTAAATTAGTGGTACGAAAAATACACTACTTTCGATTGATAAAATAACTGATACTTTTGAAAACGTAAACTGCTTTCTCAATGTTTCAAAGATCAACCTATAAATTATAAGTACAATGTTAATAGTTAATTACATTACTAGGAGTGAAGCGAGCTGTAAGATCAGCATTTCACACAGTACATGTTTGCATTATTGTACTCCCGTATTAAGTGTACGTTTTTTCATGATATCTCTGTAAAGCAACATCTGTAATTTGTACGCTCTAATCAGACAACACAGTACCTCTGTCTGTGTTCTATTTAAAAATGAAGTGTTTCATACCCGCGCGAACTAAGCGGAAAATCGATGAAAATTAACTCAGATAAATTATACAAAAATTACAACAAAACTCATTAATCATTCCACGCAATTTAGTTTTTGTAAAAAAATTCTAAAAATTAAATACTTTCAAATCAGTAGAAATTGAATCTGCGTAGCATTTTTAGACGATTTTTAAAGAAATGAATCGAAATGGATTTGTTGAATCGCTATACAGAATAAATATTATCACATACACCTGAAAGATTAATTGGTAATAGATTTCCACTTTTATGAGACATTAACCCTTTTCCTCCCAAATAACACAAATTTTTTCTTAACTTTCATCCTCATATCTTTTAATGAAAAAAATCGTATGAAAAATTTATCAAGCATCATATCTTGTAGATTTTGACCTCCTCTTTCGAATGCCGTTGACAAAATTTACCTAAATTGTAAGCCGGAAACGTTATAGGCCGGTTTTCCGGAAAATTCACAAATTTTTCGCGTTTTTTTTTTCTAAAAAAAGTATATTTTGAAATGGAAAAAGTTTGCACACACCATTGGAAACACTGTTATCGGTGTTATAGATGTCTTTTCTTTCAAATGCCGTTGGATTTTTTCCTAAATTCAAAATGGCGAACACAAAATGGCGTTCGAAAGGAAAAATTTTTTTTTTAAACTTGACGAATTTTTTCCTCCAAAACTATCAAGTTTAGTGAAAAATTTCTAAGAACAAAAATGTCTTAAAATTAGTCAAGAAATACTCTCAAATTTTTTTACAGCGAATTTGGAAATTTCGATTTTCCGATTTTCCACGAATTCGAAAATTAACTCGGAAAATTCTGAAAAAAATTGAGAGTACTCCTTGGTCAATTTTAAGACTCTTGTTATTATGAATTTTTTTATTGAGTTAATAGTTTTTGAGTAAAACAAACAATTTTAAAAGTAAAACAAAATTTTAAAAAATTTCAAGTCTAACAATTATTTTTTTTTACTACCCTCGCTAAAAGTCGATTTTCCTGATCGCGACGCGATAGGACTTTAGGCGAGAGAGTTAATTTTCGAATTCGTGGAAAATCACGGCATTATTTTGGCATCGTCATTTCATCATCGTGGCATTATTTTATATGAAAACTACTGTTAAAAAAAATTGTAATAAATCATTTTCAATGTAAAATTGTCTGGAATTTCAATTGGCACAAACCAGAATTTAAAAAAATGCGTTTTTCAAAAAATATATTTGTTTATCTAACGAAAAACATGGTTATTGAAAATATTTGTTCTTTTTGATGTTATGGTATTGATTGCGCTGTTGGATTTCTTTCATTTGTGGATTTTTTGCATCCACGGACCCCTATGGGGTTTTTTGAGAGTTTGAGAGTTTTGTGTCGCTGATCATAACTTTTCTATTAGATTTCAGAAATTCGAAATGGCAGATCCAATATAGCAAATTTTCAAAATTATTCAAATTGCATGAAAATTGGTATATAGGGTTTTTTTTTCGATCGCTGATTACGAATCCTATACGTAATAAATGTAATTCTATTCTTGCAGATAATATCACCATTTTTGTTCTGAATCAGATAATCAAAATATGCGAAAGACATTCAACAAGTCCTGGCCAATATTGCTGAAATTATTAATACCTTTGGTTCCAAATTTTCTCAGAATAAAACAAAAATACTTCAATCAAGACGTCAATTTACGGATGGTAAGAGACACAGTAAAGCTAGTACAACTGACAATAATAACTTTTCAACCATCAAAAGTAATACACGGTTTCATCAAGCACATTTTTTAAGCTTAGCTTCTTCACCAGAAAAATAAATATTTGAACCTTTATCACAATGTATGTTGCAGTCGAACAAATATCTTTCGGGACTAGTAACACCCCATTTTTTGATCCTCCAACGTTCAGGTTTATTTTGCATGAACTATTGTAAACTTATGCGACGATAAAATTTTACCATCATCTCATTTACGGATAGTGCGATAGGAAAAACATGAAATTGCCGTAGATTTTTTCTGGAAATTTGAAAAACTTTACGAACTTTCCAAACCTTATCATTATCATTTTTATTCATTATCATTTACGAAATTTTTTTTTTAAATCTCATAAAACTATCACAAACGAGATTTTAATAAAAGACTAACAATTTTCATTTACTTATTTTATTTTCACAAAATCGCTTGGTATAGTAGTATAATATGATCATTCTGATATTGAACAAATTATTTAATTTCGTTTTATGCAAAAATAATTACATAATGGTGTTATCTATAAATACTTTCTATAAAAATATAAGTCTCTAAAACAAAAATTCGCAAAGTAAAAATTCTCAATTTCATTAATAAAAGTTTTGAATGATTTATATTTTAAGGATTGTCATCGGAGATTTAAAAATGAAGAGAAATCAATAAAACTTCGGTTTTGAGCTCTTAAATATATTTTAGAAATATATGATTTTTTTTAGATTTTTTTATCGCGTAGTTTTTTTTTGTAAAACGAAATTCAAATTTTTAATTGAATATTGCTTTTATGGGACTTGGAAATGAAACATGAATAAAATCGTGGAAAATACAAAAATATAATTTTTTTTATGAGTAGAAAATCATACTAACTTTGACATATATGCAAAATTAAGAAAATTTCACATTGTGGTTAGATAATCATTAATTATCAAAGTTATATAATAATAATATATATTATAAATAGTGTATAATAATAATAAAAGCACTATCACTTCGCAAAAACATGGCAACGTCGCAATCGCTGGCAGTCGCGACCCACCCATGACGATGGTGGTTATGTTGAAGACTGTTTAAAAATACACAGTGGTAAATAATTTGTAATAGAAAATAAATGTCAATATTTATTATAAAATAAAAGTAAATAATTATTTGAATAATTTTTTTTAATATACTTTTATTACATAAAAGTTTAATAATCTAGAATATTTTAGTATCAATTTACACTTCGGCAATTGTGTACATACTAATAATACTTTTAATTATTCTTAAATAAAATTAATAGTTTTTAAAACAACAAATATTTTCAGTCAAATCATATTATGTATCTTAAAAAATCCATTATAATTTTAACTTGTGAAATTTCTAAACAAGTAAAATTTTTTTAGTGCTTTCATTGAGTATTTTCAACTCTTCCAATAATTTTTGTATATTTAAATTGCTGTCTTTTACAAACTTATCTTTCAAACTATCTAATGAAATACTAAGACTACCATTTTTTTTAACAATATACTTAGATAACGATTTTTCTAAAGGTTTGAATTATGCTACATATTTACTTTGGTTTAACCTTTTTAGTGTCAAGGAGCGCCATCGCGCTGCTCTCACTAGTTATGTACAACATCACTGTTTTTGCGTCGGAATAGCTCGCCTTTTGATAGTTCACTATTGGTGCGCGCAGATGACGGATGTATTACCGTGTTCGTATTTTTATTAATTATATTGCATTCAAACTATCTTCGGTCGCATATTTTTTATATAAACATCGCATATTGTAACGCAAATGGTAAATATTTCTCTTGTTCATAAAAATTATCTATAAAAATGCACTTTTTTACTTTTTTTTACTCTTTCTTTTTAACATGTTTTGGTAAAATACGTACGGCACTAAAAGGGTTTATCTGCTCTATATCCACACCAATTACCACAATTATCATGCTGATTGTGAGCATAATAAGGGATTTATTTTTTAAGTAAGTTGCTAGTGCTGTTACCTTCACCTGCTGTTACCTTTACCTGCTGTTACCTGTTCAAATGCAAATGAGAAACATCGACGAAGATAATCTTTAATTTTTTCATCGGATCTTGAGTGGAAGTAACTTTATAGTGCTTATTTGCTGCACTTTTTTTTGCTAGCATCGTTCACTTTTATTATAGGACGATCAATTTCATCACTGATCGCATGAATACTAGCTGTATTTTTGTCTTCTGCATAAATGCCGAGTTGAACTTTGTATTTATCCAATAGTACATTTTTACAAAACTCACTGTAAATAACTGCTATCAATAAAAAATTTACTTATACGTAATAATAATCACACATAAAAATTATTAATTCTAAAAAGAAATTAAATATATGTAAATAATAAAGAAATTCAAAAAGTAGTAAAAATCATAAAAATTGAGAAATAATTTTAGATAGTAAATAGCAATCGTAAATCAAAAGCATCGGTACGTATATTTTGTAAATAGTTGTAAATAATCTTTGAAAAAATTGTAAATACGTTATGTAAATATTTTTTGTGGATAATGTAAATAATGTCTCCAATATGTAAATTATGTAAATAAAATAAAAAAAAAATCTTAAACAACTAACATATTTCTTCAGCTCTTCAACATTCTTCAGCATAAATTTTCTTTCCTCAATAATAGTTTCTTCTATAGTTTGCTTTATCATTTTTTCGATGGCAAATTTTATGTATCTTTCATATCATTTCTAAGCATCTTGACTTATCGATGGAATTCCTATAACACTTGAAGCATTAGCTTTTTGAGTGTAACTAATGCAGGTACATAAACAAAAATAACATTTGAATTAAAAATGCATACACAGTCTGCTATAACACTGTTATTTGAGTTCCAAAAACACTTTCTTAAAACAGCTTTAGTATTAACTTGAAAGACACTATAACCATCAGGACTTTTACATTTTTCTCCAGTTTCTATCTAACTAGGAAACAGTTTCTACAGTGAATAGAAAGAACTAAAGTGTAACCAACTTTTTGTTCTATTTCGATATTTTCGAAATGTAATGTTTCTTTACAGAATTCGCAAAACATTAGTAGTTGCAGATAGGATTTTGATTTTTCTTTTCTTCTTGTTCCATTATTAACGCGTACTTTAAAAGTTTTTAATTTTTTATACGACGTAAACTGCCCTTTTTTTTATCACGAAGTACTTATCCGAAGGCTCTTCAAAATACGAAGTTTCCATTTCAAAATCTTAATATAGCAAAACTAAAAATTACTGTTTACGTTTCTCACTTGCATAGATTTTTATACACTCACAACAAGTTGTAATACTAGGTAGAAAAAGACCGATAGAGAATTTATATATATAGGGCGATTCTTGGCTATTTCAAATAGTTTAAAACACCAAATCACCAATTTTGTTCAAAGTTGGTAGACTTGTTACCTATACAGAGGTCAACATCTGTGCAGAGTTTTAGATCAAAATATTGATAAGGGGCCGACTTATCAACTGTTGAAAAAATATTGGACTTTTTTTTATTAATTCGATTTCTTGGAGTAAAGATATGGACATGATTCTTTTTTTAAAAGACGTGGAAAGAGTTTCACTTTTAAAATGTAAATAGTAAAATACCAAATCATTTATTTATGTCATTGTATAAACAATTTTTCCAAAAAATCGACGATATCTCAAAAAACGATATTTTTTTTAATATTTGCACCATCGTGTTCCTTGTCATTTTTTACATAAGAAACCGTTGAGAAAATCAAGTGCCCGCTATTAGGATTAAGATAGCACTAAAATGAAACGAACCGCGCGCTAGCCGTTCGGCCGCTCGGCTGTCCGCTACTCGTGCGGTTCCAACGTTGCTTGCGGCAAATGCCTTTAACGAATAAATAATTTCATATTCTATCAGTCTATATGTATTTATTTAAATAATATATAAATTACTTGATTAAATAAGTAATTAAATTTAAATTAAATTTAATGACTTATTTACTTAAATATAACGTTAATATAAAGTAATATAAGTAAAGTAATATAAGTTATATAAATAAACTATTGTTTTGTACAATCTGAAACAACATTGAATGAAACATTTGCTCTCTGCGTTTGATCGGGCGTGAGAATGACGTATATTCAAAAATATATGGTAGAGAATAGGTTAGAACAAATTACTTGTAAATAACTTATTAAGAGTATTATGGTATAGGTCCGATAAAAAAACATTTTTAATGCGGCCGCTTTGTAAATATGCGCCAGTCTCAAGCCCGATCAAACGCAGAGAGCAAATATTTAATTTCAATATTATATCAGATTGTATAAAAAAATAGTTCATTTACATTACTCATTTAAACAATAAATTTATATATTATTTAAATAAATACATATAGACTGATAGAATATGAAATTATTTATTCGTTAAAGGCATTTGCCGCAAGCAACGTTGGAACCGCACGAGTAGCGGACGGCCGAGCGGCTTATTAATTATTATTTAAAAAAATTTTAAAGTTTCATTTTAGTGCTGTCTTAATCCTAATAGTGGGCACTTGATTTTCTCAACGGTTTCTTATGGAAAAAATGACAAGGAACACGATGGTGCAAAAATTAAAAAAAAAGATATCGTTTTTTGAAATATCATCGATTTGTTGAAAAAATTGTTTATAACAATGACATAAATAAATGAATTGGTATTTTGCTATTTACATTTTAAAAGTGAAACTCTTTCCACGTCTTTTAAAAAAAGAATCATGTCCATATCTTTACTCCGAGAAATCGAATTAATAAAAAAAAGTCCAATATTTTTTCAACAGTTGATAAGTCGGCCCCTTATCAATATTTTGATCTAAAACTCTGCACAGATGTTGACCTCTGTATAGGTAACAAGTCTACCAACTTTGAACAAAATTGGTGATTTGATGTTTTAAACTGTTTGAAATAACCAAGAATTACCCTATATAGAAATATTGATATCCTGCAGAAACTGCCTTTGCAATAGTACAGCACAAAAGCTCAGTTAGAGCCAGCCGTAACAACATAATAAATTAAATTTGCGCTGTTACCACATCTCTTGCCTAAATTATGACAATTGTTAATACATTTTTATAAATATTCAAACAATGAAATCGTAATATTACTATTATATTTTCTTTATCATAGTATTATTTAAAGAAATTATGTGAATTGAAGTGTTTAATTTTAAAATATAAAAAAAACAAGTCTTGTTTTCTGCAGTTACAACCCTGACCGCTTATACATTGAGTTAATGGCAGCGGCCTCCTTGCCCCGCAACAACCCAGTGACAATCTTTAAACTAAATATGTCTGTCGTTTATCACAATATGCGTATTTTAATAATTTTCAGAGTAGAAATACTGTATATTAAAGCTTATACGGATAAGAAAAATTTCTAACAACATTAACATTATACAAAAATAATATTAACAATAAACAAAAATAAAAAAAAGAAAAATAACGAATGATCGGGCTACGGCTTTTAATGGCAGAATTGGGGTTTAACAAATTACATATTTTTATCTAAATACTACGAATATTATAATTATTTTAATATGATTTAATATATTAAAATTTTGTTAACTACATTATGACAGAGTAGTAGATAGCTTTCTTAATTAACATAGTAACGTAAATTATAAATTTCAGACAGAAATATTATAAACTTTTTAGAAATTATTCGTAGGATATTGTCAATATAGAATATTTAAATATCGTATTTTTTATCATCATTCGTGTCAGTTTTTCTATTAGCATGCGTCAAATTGTTAACTTAGAAGCATGAAAACTCTTAAAAGTTATGAACCAATTAAATAATTGATTTATTTTATTTTTTGTGCGTGCGTATATAAATGCGACGTTGCCATTCGATTAGATATATTCGGAAAGAATAATGACATAGACACAATAATAATGGCACTCAACGGGATATACTTAATTACCACTTACAAAGTTATACTTTTTATTTTATTAAGATCAAACGTTGCAATAAAGTAGTAATATTTATATGACATTAAGTAGGGTAAAGGCATGAGTATTGGGCTACTTAGACCAGTGGTCGGACATTCAAACTGTACATACAATTTCAAAAGACTAAAAGGAAAAAATTCATATCAACATTCATTCAGTGTATACTGCAACCACAGCTTAGAAACGTCATATGACTAAAGAAAACAAAAAAAATTCTTTTTATTTCTGTTACATATAATAGCCGACAACTGGTCTTAATGAAAACGTGTATGTACCAGTAATCGACCACTTTATAATACTGTCAAAAAAAAATAAATTTGATATGAATCATGTGTAATGAAACAAGTTTAAATAGGTCAAACACGTTTTATAAATTAGTATCGAACTAATTATTTTGCTTAGTTACAGGAATTTATTTAATTAAAGTTAAAATAAAAGTAGCCGACTACTAACGACTGGCCGACTACTATCACCTCTACCCTGTTGTATTTTAGTCATTAATTGTTATTTTATTTTAATGAGTAAGCATATAGAAATTGTTAAAACTTACATTTGTACATACTAATTGCGGCAGTTAGCACTATAGGTATAAATGAAGAACAACAGAAACAAACAAGCTTTCGGGATTTTACCTGAAAAATCATAAACAAATGGATTTTTTTATTAGTCACCAACTATACTGAAATAATTAATTAGTATTTTTAAATAATTATTTTTGCAGTAGTTACGCGATTATTATAAAATAAATTTTTCAAGCGAAATATATGCATTAAAATCTTAAGAATAGATACGTATCTTAAGAATAGATATGTATAGCTACAATTTCGTTAGTGTTCTTATTGTACCACAAATCACATTGTAATCCCGTGATTTCTACAATATACATTTTCTGATTTTACGATAACTGAATACGGTAGCTTATCATAAAGTGATATATAATATACATACCAATAACTATATCAACACATTAAAACTGAATAAAAAAATAGACGAAAAATCAATGAACGAGGTTATAGACACAAGCTGACGAAGCCACGCTTAGGCGTCTGTATTCGTTGCTAGATGATGCGCACATACACAAAGCTGCATGTCCCCCTATGTGGGCGCGGTGAGAGAGGAATAGGGCATGTTGGGAATAGTCATCGCCACGTATAGATAAATATTTGGAAGTACAGTGGTGCTCAATGAGTTGCCGTTGCACAGGCTGCTGATTATTCTATTTTCATGGTGACATTTTTTAATTGAAATTACTTCATACTCTTATGATTACTTCATTAATAAATTTTCAAACGATGGCTTTTTGTCAATTATCAGAGTATATTTTAATTAGGAATAGGTAAAAATGACAATAAAATCTGCGGTGCTAATAGTCTAAAAATAATTATTTACTTTATTACAATGATATTCGCAAAATCTTAATCGCAGTTCTGCATAAGTTTTCAATTGACAAATAGACTTGATTTTTGTGCTATTACATAGTAATTAATAATACGCTTACATGACTTTCAGTCAACTTAATATTTTGACAATTGTCTACATCACATTTCGCAAGTAATAAATGTTGGAAATTGAAAATAATACTTATAACTTGAGTCTTATCAATGATGTAAAAGGGTAATTGTGATGATCAAAAAATTTCAATGTTGGCATGTCTTGTCATGAAATTTAAATATAATATATGAAAATAAAAAAAACTCATTTGACCAAAGGGCATAGCGCGTACAAATTATTTTGAAACGAAGATAAATGAAAATATTTGTTCATTTGCAGGCAAAGTACAGGCATTCTATTGACGATTCACACATCGGAATCGTAAAACTCCCATGTGTCATTGTCATATCCCTCTTGTACATGCTCTAAAAGAACCATACGTCTATGCTTGCAGTACTCGTATTTATCCTGCACTTTTTGCCTAGTATCAAGGATATTTCTTAAGACTATGTCTTGCTCCAGATAGCCTGAGAGCGTTTCAGTGGCGTACTCCAAATCCCTCTGATTGACTTCGAAGAGCTCAGTCTGATTAGATTTTTTCACGTAATAAGCGAACGCGTAAGTATACATGAGAGTTCGTCTGCATTCGTGTAGAACGTCTATAGCTACCTTTAAGAATTGCACCTCGATCCAAGTCATGCTCTGCTGCATTTCTTCCATCTTCTTCTGCATGTCGGCGCGCAATCGCTGCTCAAGCTGAAATGACTGCAAATGGCCAAGATATCTATTTCTGTAGCACAAATATCTTTGTGCAGCTGTCTCCTCGGTCGTTTCCTGGCTGGCGCTCTCCACCAAGGTAGGGGTCACCTTCACGTACTTATTGCATTTGTTCCACGCGAAGGGGTGCGCGAACCAGTCGTTCGTGCACACCCAGCAAAACTGATAATGGCATTTCTTGCAGCGCACGCGATTGCAGCCGCCAGTCTTCTCCACGCTCTTCTGGCACTTGGGACAATCTTTGGCGTCGTCCACGGGCCGTGGTTCCGTGTCGGCTTTGCACTTTGCCAGCCACTTGCGCAGCAGCTCGCAGCTGAGGGGCTCGTGGTAATCGCCGCCGCAGGAAAAGCAGAAGGCCATGCCGCACTTGCATTTGATCTGCTTCGTGTCTATGCACTGGACTTTGATGGCGTAATTGCAGGCTACGCCCGGGCACCACTTCAACAGCGCGTTATGTTTCACGTAGCTGTTGGCAATGAGGTACTGATATCTCAGTCGAACAGTATTATCGTTCGCTAGCTCCATCACGCTCGCGTAATCTATTAAAATATCGCAGTTGTGTGCGGCACAGGTGATCATGTATACGAAATCTTCCTGCAGAACCTTTTCCGTGAGATACTTATTCCAACAATCCCGGCAGTAGCGATGTCTGCACTGGAAACCAGTCAGCTCGGACGGCGGTACACTTGTGCAACAAATTTCACAATGTCCTTGAGCATTCGAGGAGCCCTCGCCGGCATCTATCGAGGAAGAAATCGCGCTTGTATCAGCCGTTTGTTGGTGTGGGTTGGCAATCTTTGCCTCTTCGAACAGTTTTTCCGGGTTTCCACCATAATATTTCTCCATCAATGTCTGCTTGTCCCAGTTAAAATAAATCAATAAGTTTCTCGTTACTGTTGGTGGCATTTGTACAATCACGTTAACTTCTTTTATGCAATCTGCGATCTCCTCCACAATTTCTTCAATAGTAAGCACTTTAAATTGATACTTTTCGTCTTCGTCATCGTCGCTATCAATTTCATACAACTCACTTGCTTCGCCATCATCTTCATTCAACAAATCTTCGTCGTCCGATTCTATTAAACTATTTCTTTTATCCATTACAGAAAGGACTTTTTTCCTTAGAAGTAATAACTTTAAGATGTCGGTCCGACAAGAAGTTAATATCAATGCTCAAATCAGTCGATTCAACTTAATACTCCAACTTATCTGTTAAAATAATATTTATAGTTATCAAGACATGGTAATATTGTTGTAAGTATATATGAGTGTTTTGCACCTTGGAGGAAGCGAATTTTAAGTTTACAATTCACAATGTGTTTGGTTCCAATTGATGTGTGACTTCTTAAAAAGAGTAGGCTCAGCTGTAATGTTCAAATCTTAGTGCTATCTGGAAATAAACATACAACTTAATATCAGTTTTATCGTGGACCATTTTAAAAGAAACAAAGAGGTTTTACTCTAAAAGCGTATTCTATCTACTTCAGAATATTTAAGTCAGCGGGATAAATTTTAATTTCTCTATGCTTGTATCAACTAAAATTGCAAAATGCTCAAATAATAAGATAAATAATTTTACTAGAACAGCAGCTTCTGTACATTGACAACAGCGACGACCTTCATTATTGTCCGCGGCTAATCGTAAACCAACTGTCACTCATGAATCACGTATACTTCTTAATTCAGTCATAATAAATCATTGACAATATTTTATTTAATCAAAATATATACGTAAAATTGACTGACGTCGTGGAAAGAGATGAACCTTTATAAAACTGTTGAAAATGATTAGGAAGACCAAATGACTCACTCTCAACCAAATTCGGTAAACATGGACGCTCAAATTGCGAGGCGCAGCGAACGAGAGAGCGGCTTTGAGCTTGTGACTTTTGTTTACAAACGTTCCCATCGGAAAAACGGTGGGAGCGTGAGTGATCCTACACGTGTCACTTTAACGATACCTGTGTAATATCTCCAGCCGAGCGTCGCTCTCGGGCACATGTTTCAATTTACATCTGGTTTTTCTTCGGTGCTATTTCTCGCTCTTTTTCGTCGCTGGAGCTCCTCAAAACAACTTGAGGCTTTCACCGGAAAACTCGTGAGACTGATGTTACATGGAAACTCAAATTTTCATTGCAGCTCAGCTGCCTTACCTTGGCCGTGTAACTCGTTTCCTGTTTCATTGTCGCGCTTATCAGATTCCTATTCTATCACGTTCAAGTGACCGATTGATTATTGATCGGGATTTCACGTCATAAAAATACATGCTTAGAAGTACGCAAAAACTAACGTTGAAAAACTAAGCAGTTTGGAATATTATATTCTAATTAATAATTGACGTCAATTTTGAATGTTCGCGCGACTATCTTACTATACACGCTGCGAGGCAAATATAATATGTGGCTTTGATGATAATTAACTACAGACATAGATGTAAGTATATATGTATTTTTAGTATCATAAAAGTAGATAATATAAAGATTTTCCAAGTCATAATCAAAATTTAAAAATGTACAACTTAACCTAACTCATTGTTGTAGTTGACGTTTGACATTTGTAGACTGAATATCAAAACAGTGATTAAATTCCAATTAAGATTGAACAAGCATAATTACAGAATTGATATTTAAATTTCAAAGGTAAATAAACATATATAAACTAAAAACGTAAAGATTATTTAAGTCTCGTTTTGGCATGTTTTAGTTTATTAGCATAGAAAATCTTGTATCTTTTATCAATTTATTTTTAAAATTGATATCAAGATACACTATTGTTTTATTTTTTGTAAGTATACTTGATCATCAATCTTAAAGTTTTTGACATTCAATAAGATATCATAATTTCTTTGTACTTCTTTTTAGATTTATGGAGATTTTCAATGCTTGTATTTGAATATATGAAAGTTTGAACAAGATTATATAAAAAATCAATTTACAATAGCAGCATCTTTTGCTTTGTAAATTCAGAAAAAAATGTATTTTCTATTCTATAGAAAGCTTGATATGGTGTGAAACCATGTATCTCAAATTTCTGCGTTATAAGAAAATGGTAAATTTTATTCATTGATCCCAGTTATTCTTTATGCAATAGAATTGTAAATACTCAATAAAACTGTGGTCTTAATGTTCAACAGGAAGAATTGAAGAACAGGTGGAAAGCTGTGAAGTTATATAGTGAATTTTATTAATATTACAAAGTTTATCTATGATTTTGTTACCATAGTTATAACCATGATCAGTGTTGATGACTGATTAATAACTTTATCAACAAATAAATTATTCAGTTGATGGAGTAGCAGTGGTTATTGCTTCAATATTTGAAAAAGAAGTGACAGCATGGTGAGGACAAACTATATATTCATTTAAATTTGAACTGCTTTTTCATAAGTGAGTGATGATCATAGGTTGATGGGTCATTTTGGATTAGCTTATTATCTTTATAACTTTTACAGGATTGTACATAATTTTTAATTTAGCATGTTTTTTCTTTCCAATATCAATATTTATGAATATATTTAAGTTTTTTAATATCATGATTACCATTAGTTACCTAGTATTGATGCTCTTATATTAATATTACTCTCTGTTTCATATAATGAAATGAATATCATTTAAGTAAATAGTGAATTGACGATCATCTTCTATAAATTCTTCAACTAAAACATTCTCAATCTATAATCATGCCATAATATCATTATCAGTATCTGATAGACTGCATATTTTCAATTTGAATTCTTTCATAGATTTATAAATTTTTAAAACAAGTTTTGATAACTGCAAGGAAGGTTTCTTCTTGAAGAGAGTTTTTATAATCGAATGAAAAATATACCTTTTATTATTTTTCTTAAAAATTATAACTTATTCAACTTAAGGTTGGAATTCAAAATTTTCTCTCAATAAAAGGCTATTGTCAAGGAACTTCTGGCTGATATACGTTGTTAATTTTCATTATTTAGTAGTACAGTAAACTAAATAATATCTAATCACTAATAAATGATTATTAATGTAGTGTTGTATATTAGGAGCCATAAAAATATTAAATCATTCATTCATCGATTGATGTTTTTTGTCAATTCTGAAATAGTCTAATTTATTAGACTGGTAAATTTAGAACCAACTATTATGATTATTCATCAAATTTGTGTTTTAATATTTGTTTAGATCATTATTATCGTTTTATTTATGTTGAAATCTATATTTTCTTTTGACATTCTTTCTACGGAATCATCATGAAAATAAAGAAAAATTTCTGACATAGTTCTATTGTATTCGGATCCTCATTTGGATCTAAAACTGATGAAGAGTCTACACAGGCAAACAATCCTTTTCAATGGTTTACAATACTTCAATTACTAATAAATTACATTGAATTACTAATAAATTTTGAAAGAGGTTTTGACGGATTATTCAATTAAACCAAAAGTCTGTGATCAGTGATGAATAACACTGATGAATAACATTTTCAACATTATCATTTATTTCTTTATTAACTGAAGCGATTAACAGTTTTGAGATTAATTTCATCTTTACTCATTATATTAACGCAATTTCCGACGAATTTTCCGGCACCAGCTTGCTTTCCTCTCAAATCTGGTACCTGATCCACCGCCATTTCCTGTCCTTACACAATCTATTGCTACGATGGTACACCTCGTACTTCTATTATTCTGTCCCCTCCCTCTATACTTTGATACCATTTTTATTTGAAATAAATAACTCTTTAACATTTAATTATTTTAGATTTCAAGCAGCTTGTCTGAATATTTCTTTATCTCGCAGAATAACAATTTATAGGTGTCAGATAAGTATTTAATTTTTAGTGGTGAAATGTTTTTTTGTAAATAAGAATTCTGAGCTTTGTAAAATATTTTTAGATGCAGAAAAGAAAACTAATATTATGCAAAAGAATCAAGAAAAGCAAAATAGTAGGAATTTCAAAGAACAATATTGCACAGTACAGCACACAGTACTGCAATGAAAAAGTTTAATCAGTTTTTCTTCTACAGTATACAATAAATGGTTTTAATCCTGAGTTTTATCACTTCACTATATCTATATTTTATTTTCCTATAATAATCCTCCATAAAAAAAGTGATGACCTAAAAAATAAATTTTTGACCTAAAGTAAAGATTTTGACATTGATTGGCCAAAAAATAAAAATTTACATTTACAAAGAACTGTTTTGGTATAATTAATAATATTTTCAAATTTATTATTTTACTTACAATATAATTAGATGCAAGTATATAAGAGATATAACAAATTATAAAATAAAAATTTATATCGTGATTATACCGTGCATTTCGAAGCGCGCATACAGACTTCTAGTATTTATAAATTTATCATTACGCTTATCCTAATAACATTTATATTATTTTTTTGTCTACTGCGCGTAAAGTACGTCTTCAGGCTCGGATGTCAGGTTTTACAAGAAGCATTGTATGCGCTGTAGACAAAAAAATAGTATATTAATTAACCATGGGAGTGAAAATGGCAATAAACCCCTAGCACGTATTTAAAACACTTGGCTTCACCTCTGATATCAATTTACATGTGCTATGGACTTACCAGTACTTTCACTCCCTTGGTTAATAATGTACTATGTATAGCACTTGTACCCTAATTTCACGATGTAAAACTGATCCATTTTAATTCAATGGACAGACGACCCACAAGTGTTAATTTAACATCGATAGTACCATAAAATGTTCTTTGATACTTGCGACTCAAGTACTTCATCACTGCATGTCATGATTATTGACCTCGTTTGTGCTCGGGCAGTAATATAATGTCCAATAATGAGCTACTCAAGTCACATGTACTTGTAATGGTACTATATATTAGTACATGACGATACAAGAACGGAAAAGTAAATCCCTTCCTACACTAATTTAGTAATGTACTATTTTATTTGGATTCTGATAAATTGTTTATTGATAAATTTTATTCATATTACTGACTAAAATTATTGTTGTCTTTTCTTAGCATAAAAATAGATATGTGTTTTTGCGGTATATCGTTATAAAGATTGTTTTAAAAATATCTTCATATTTATTCGTTTTTCATTTACAATTCTATATTACATATAAATAATTTGTCATGTTACTGTTTAGAGTTAAGGCACTATTTTTGTACTATTTATTTTTCAGCAATAAATGACTGAATTGATTAAACAATGAACAATCAATAATTGATGATAAGACATTTATGATCTTATACATAATGATTATAAAAATTAAGACATCGTCATTAATTACAAAATAATATAGCAATAAATAAACTTAAGTTTCAAAGACATCAAGAACGTGAATTTTATGTTTACTATTGTTTTTAAATCATAAATATTATTTACGTGTTTGCCAAAATGAGCTTATATATAGTTTAAAAAAACAAAAAATAAATATTTACATTCCTGTTTCAAGGTCGCTGTTAATAAGGAGGTTGTAAGTATTTTTCACATTTGAAAAATGTAATACAAACTTAACACCGTTTATTAGTCATCGAATGTCCACCAATGTTTGTCATTCCCTTCTTGCACGTGTTCCAATAAAACTTTTCTCCGACTGTCACAGTAGTTGTATTGATTTCGAACTTTTTGGTTCATATCACTCAAATTTTGTTCATCAACGTCTTGATGTAAATAACCGACCAGAATCTCAACGGCATTTTCCAAATCCTGTAAATTATCTTCCAAAATTACAGTTTGGTTATTTTGTTGAATATAATAAGCAAAAACATAAGTGTACATGAGTATTCGTCTACAATAACACAAAATATCTGCAGCTGTTTTCAAAAATTGTACTTCTATCCAAGATTTATTTAGATTTTGCATTTCTTTTGTCTTTTCTTCTACTTTGTCATGCAGAATATCTTCATGTTTGAGAAAGAACATGTGATGCATGTATTTGTCTTTGTAGAAAATATATTTCTCCAAATCTGTTTTAGTTTTTTCTTGTGCGTATTTTGTATCAGCAATTTTTTTCCTATTCAATTGTTTACAGTTATTCCAACTATGAAAGGCATGTTTCCATGGATGGAGACAAAACCAACAAAATGGAGTACTGCACCTTGGACACCTCATATAATTACATCCGTCAATTTTTTGTATCAATGCCTGACATTTTGGACATGGCTTTGTATTCAATGCCATCCACTTTGATGTGCCTGTGTCTTCTTTGCATTTTTGGTTCCATTTCCGAAGTATATTACAATTCACCGGGGCATGCCAATTTTCTCCACAACGAAAACAGAAAATGTGTTTGCAATTGCAAATAACAGGCTTGGCATCTATATACTGTACTTTGACAGCGTGACCGCACTTTGGGATTGGGCACCATCTGAGCAACTTGTTACAATCTACAAAAATGTTTGTTATGAGTAATTGATACCTCTGTTTGACTTTTGGATCCTTTACTATATCCATGATTGTCACGTCATCTATCAGAATGTTACAAGAATTATTAGGGCATTCTATGGTTTGTGCAATTCCTTCTATCATGATTTTAATCGTCAGATAATTGTTCCAACAACTAAGGCAAAACCGATGTCCACACTGTAACCCAGTCAGCTCGGATGATGATAAAGTTAAATAACAAATTTTACAATTCTCTGTTGTATTCTGAGATTTTTGCATTGATCTGTCTGCATCTGCAGAACCGTTGGCTCCTATAGCAATACTTTGCTTAAAACAGTCGATAAGATTTGCTTCTTTAAACAAATTTTCTTGGTCATCGTCGTAATATCTATCCATCAACTTTTGTTTATCCCACTTAAAATGATTTAATAAAATTCTCGTAATCGTAGCTGGGATTTCTACAACTGTATTTACTTCTTGTATACAATTTGTCATGTGTTGTACAATTTTCTCGGTAGGAAGAATTTCAAATGAAAAATCAACTTTTTCAGACTCTTCTCGAGAACTGCTAGCTTCAAACATTTCTATTGCGGATTCTGTATCATCTTCGCTGAATTGATCAGAGTCATCATCGTCAAATATTATATCTTCATCTGAAAACATTTTGTTTGATCTTTTGAGTTTTAACCTTCTCGAATCGTCGAAAAAAATCCGCAATGGAATCAGTATAGAAATCACTATAAATTACCTGTTAAAAATAATCATAGATTATCATAGGAAAATATATTTATTAATATACTTCATAATGAAAAATTTTTAAGGGTAATGGTTTTAAAAAAGGAAGTTTAGCTTAGAACTTACTTTTGATATCTAACAACTGGTACTACTAAGTAAAAGCAAACTGTGACGAAGATTTGCCTCTAAGTCGAATATATTATCTGAAAATAGAAAATACGTTAGTTTGATGATGTCAGTGATATCGTAAACGTATAATTTAGAAATAATAAGAGCTTACGTTTAATTTCCATACAGCAATTAAATAATAATTAAAATATGAAATATGAAAAAATACTTAATATTAACGATATTTCTTTAATCGTTATCTTCTCACCTTCCATGGTTATGTGTAAAATACGTATTTTATTCAACCACTCTAAACTAATATGTTGTATTTTATTTTAATGTTTCGTTTACCATCTGAAATGAAATGAAGGAACTCAGTAGAAAATCGATAGTAATCATTCCAAAAAAATTATAGAAAAACTACGCTTCGTTAGTAAGGATAGGAAAACCAATTATTAATCCCACGCAATTCATTTGAATTAATAAAAAAATTGCCAAAATTGTTGACTTACAGATTCTTATTAATGTTATCTGCGTGGCGTTTAAATACTGCTGCATTCATAAACCTGCTCAATTGTTAGTAAAAATCACGCACAGTTTATCTATCCAATCAAAATATTATTATAACCATCCGTTAAAGAAAAAATATTATTTCTCATTACAGCGATACATGCTGAAAGATCAGTCGGTAACATAAATCTATACCCTTTTATTATTATAAGGCACATTCTCAAAATAACAAGGGATGTATTAAATAGGAATTGGTTCTTTTCTGAAATCACCGTCAATGTTAATTATTAGTTAGAAATGGATTTTTTTATGCCACGTAAATGTTTGAGTACTTGAAATTATCGGTTATTCAAAAAATAAGCTATTCCTATCAGTACAACTCTTACACTGGCATTTTTGGGAAAGTATTGTCTATGTTAAAGTAGTTGACATTGCTGTATATTTGAAAAATACCTCATCTTTATGGGTACAGCCTTTTTCAGAGGGCAGTACTTCTTGAGTCTACGTGTTATCTTAAATATTTGTTTCTTTATAACGGATATGTAGTTATAATGACATTTTGATTGGTGGAAAAGCTACGCGTGACTTTTGCTAACAATTGAGCAGGTTTATGTATGTAGAAACAGTATTTAAACGCCACGTAGATACAATTATCGACAATACTTGGGTCAACAACTTTGACAATTTTTTTTATTAATTAAAACGAATTGCGCGGGATTAATAATCGGTTTTCCTATCCTTAATGACGAGGTGCAGTTTCTCTATAATTTTTTTGGAACGATTACTATCGATTTCCCGCTAAGTTCATTCACCATTTAAAATGAGCTTGACAGTTGATAAGCTCATTTTGAGATAACAAGATAGTTTCTAATTGTTAAGCTATTGTTTCTGATGTGATTGACAAATCTAGTCAACGAAGCATCAAAATAAAATACAATGTATTAGTCTACAGTGATTAAGTACAATATTTATTTTACATATTAACAATATATTATTGGTAATTTATAGAACAACACGTAAACTAATTTAATTAATCAAGTCGTAAAAATTAAATTAAAAAAATAATAAATATTGTAAAATGTAATATCAATCGTTAAGATGTCTGTTTATCATAAGCACAAAAATATTTTAATTTATTTAGTTTAAATAATTGGTAATATTAAGCTACAATTTTTCAATTGTTTCAACAACAAACCGATACAGCTGTGGAATTTTTCAAAAACAATTTCTTATAATGAATATACGAACATATACTTTTGTTACAACACACTGTAAACCTCGACACCAACAAAATACTTATTACCGCATACGCGCGCTACGATTATCGATTATGATCACTTTGATTACCTGGTAAACAAACGAAGGTACCGAAGAGTCGTTTTCGTACAGTAGCCCAACTATGCGACCAATATGGCTGCCTCAAACTTGGCTTAAGGAAATGGTGATGTAAAGACGCAGGTTGTCTAATTCATGCCAACATATAAAGATGCACCAGTGCTGATAAGTTTTGTTTATTGCTGTAACAATGAAATTATTAATTTGTAATTTATTTCGGTATATTATTTCGTTTGTTAGTGAGCTTACCTGAGAAAGGTAAAAATATAATAGGTCTGAAATGGTAAATGACATATCAGACAATATTTGCTTCCTAATTTAAATAGTTAATTGAAAATTAAATTCTGAAAAATTGTCTAAAATCAATAATATAGATGGTATGTATTTAATTTACCTACATAAGCTAACGGTGAAAAAATCAGTCTGTCGACACACTAGCCTTTATAATATGGTCGTGTTTAGATATCTGTGTATTGATGCGTACACTGAACAGGAGATGTGGAACTGATCTACGGAAGCCAGGAAAATATATTTTCCGAATGGGGGCGCGTCCATGCAATACGCGCGGGAAACTCAATTGCTTATAGTATTATATCTCTCAATAGGAATATCAGATTCTTCACGTAAACGATATTACGATGGTAATTTTTTTACATTTTTATATCAGAAAATACGCTACATAATAAATTATTTTTAAGAAATAATCACGAACTTCTGCTATTATTTTTACTAAGAAAATAAAGTTTCGCAATTAGAATAAAAGTATTAAAAGATTTATAAAATTGTTCACAGCTTCGTAAACTCCAGCGAGTCCACGCCATTTTCTTCGCGAACGCGTGCCAAAAGTACTTTTCTCCGATTATCATAGCAGCGAATCTTGAACATTCTGCACAATCTCGGTGAAATCTTCATCGGTGATATCTCATTCGAGATGATTACGTAGAGCAATTTGACGGAAAGTTCCAAGTCTTTGTCATTGCTTTGAAAATTGCCACCCGACGCATTTTTTCCGAATAGAAAGCGAAGCTATGCTAGCGTAGCTCGGTAGGAACGCGATCGCTGAAAATTATTGTGTACGAATTTCGTGCACAATTGGTATATTTCTGCGAAACACGAACGAAATACATATAAAATCATGCAAAATTCATATATAATGCATAAGTATGTCATGCGTATTTTGCAGGTGTTTGTTTCGAAATATACATACATAATTCGTGCATGTTTTGTTCACTTTCCATAAACATTATACATACAAAACATGTATGTGATTCGTGAAGCATTTGCGTATTTTATGCAAATTAGGTACAATATTCGTTCAAAATTTGAATTCTTTTGTTGGGTGTAAAACTTTTATTAAATTTTAATAAACTTGTCGATAATTTAAACGGGTTGACGAAAATGTATTAAATCATGTATATTTTTTATACGAATATTATTTTTATTGCACTCTTCAATTATAATATTTCCTTACTCCGACGCTTCGACATTTCAGTCTATATTATTTTAGTTTTATACGCGTAAAGCTTATCGGGGAAAAACACGTGTACGCAATTAGCGAGGCTCGGCAGAAAAAAGAGAAAGTTCCGGATTTATGACCGACCGAGGCTCGACGACGCTCGCCCGGAAAATCTAGTCGTAACCGCTCAATTTTTATAACTAAGAACGAAGCTCAAAAAATTAAAACTCTCGGGTTGGCTGGGAAATAGTTAGGCATGTGGGGTACAGATTTAGAAACTATGCTAGCCCACAATTCAATGTCAAAAAAGTGTGAAAGAACCAATTTATATAGAAAAGAATGTTTGCTTTTGAATATATCCAATGCGTAGATTTAGACGTAGACATAAAATTTTGAATAACCAATTGTTTCTCAAAATTTTCATTTGTCGTTGAAAATACATGAATACTTTAACCGTCTAATAATTCTTTTTATTATAATCAATTAATCTTCCAATTAAACTATTGTTTTTTTTTTGAAAAAATAAATTCTGTCTTATTTAAATTTGTTTTTAATTATGGGACATTTTAATTTTTACTCATAATGCAATATGATAAATGGTTTCACTCACGGTGCCACATATTTCCCTCGCGTCCAGTAGAATAGTAACTAATTATTATCTGATTTCGAGATAATCAAATTTCTAGATAACGTGGGTCTGCAAGTTTTCCACGAAAATTGTAACACTTCATTAAACGACACTGGAAAACGAATAAGAAAAAAATCGCTCAGTTGAGCAACTAATCTTGGAATAAGTTAGGAGCTTTAAAATGTACAGTGTCAATAACACAAGTAATGAAATTTCATAATCACTAGGAATAGCGCGAGCAATATGAATACATATGTACGTTCAAAAATGTACTCACCATTACTCCACCAACGTACCACTGATCGAAAGCGCAACAGTAAATGACATTATGTGAACCGTATTAGTTCGCAAAAGTTTGCTTGAGAACGATAAGATGTGCGTGTAAAAGCTGTAGTCTGTAGACGTGCTTGATGAATTGTTATGCTTGCTGTTGAAAACTTTAATTAAAATACCTCCGAGTGACAGTTTTGAATATTCTGTATCTCGTAATTAATTGTGAGTAAAGGATAAATTTGGAATGAAGCAGCGACTACTGAAATAAAACAACTGTGTGGATTAGAAAGTCAATATGAAAGTCTATTTAATGATTCGAAAGAGACGCATCAATAAAAATATTAGTCATAGTTGTAAAAAACGCAAATGTTTGTTGTAAAAACAAAGAACGAAAAAAAAAGTAATGTCGAGTCTGTTACTACTGGTCTTGTTCCTCGAACTCCCATATGTCCTCATCGTAGCCATCGTGAACATGATCGAGCAGTACTGTAAAGCGTCTCTTGCAATAGTTAGTTTTGCTAACTATAGTTTCTTTAATTTCGCTGACATCCTCTTCCTCAATATCTAACTCGAGATATTTAGAGAGCTCGAAAACGGCGGCCTCCAAATCCCTTTGATTCTGTTCCAAAATGGCCATATGATTCGTTTTCTTTAAATAGTATGCAAAGGCATACGTGTACATGAGAGTCTGTTGACATAAGCACAAAACATCCACAGCTTTCTTCATGAATTGTACCTCGATCCACGTCATATCGTGCTTCATTATTTTCTCCATCTTTTTATTTACCATTTCGTATAACGCAGAGACCCTCTTGATCGAGTCTCGGTGCTTTATGAATCTCAATTCGTAAAACAGATATTTTTGCTGCGAACTGGTCGGTTGGACTGAACTTATGGTCTCTTGTTTTGACTGGAAGCTACAATGATAATGAAACAAATGTAACTTCCACGATTTCTCGCATACCCAGCAGAACACGTGAGAGCATTTCTTGCACGATACGGAATTGCAGCCGCCATTTTTCTGGATCGGCGTATAACAGTTGATACACGGCTTCGCGTTCTTCGAGATCCATCTTGTGTTGGCCTCGTCTTTATGGAACACCTTCATCCATTTACGCAGCAACTCGCAAGTTAACGGATCGTGCCAGTCCTCGCCGCAGGCGAAACACATCGTCCGGTTGCACTTGCAGGTGACCGGCTTGGCGTCGTGATATCGAACCTTGATCGCAGCCTCGCAGCCGGGAGTCGAACACCAGCGCAACTCTCGGTTACACTCGACGAAGCTGTTCGTTATCAGGACCTGATACTTGTACTTGACCGCCGGATCTGTCACCAGTTTCATCACGCGCTCGTCGTCCACCAGAATGTCGCATTCGTGTGCGGCGCAAGCTATCGTCTGACCGATCCCATCGTCCATGATTTTCGTTGTCAAATACTCGTTCCAGCAGTCCAAGCAGAACCGGTGACCGCACGACGAATCAGCCATCGTGGACTTTGCTGTCGGCACACAGCAAATTCCGCAGTCTTCCGTTTCGCCGCTCGGAGCGTCCGGATGTTGCGTGTCCCCGGCGCAATTGGCGGTCAGCTCGCTACGATCGACAACGCGCGCTTCGGCGAACAGCTTGGCACTATCCTCGAAGTATTTTTCCAGCAGCTTTTGCTTGTCCCACTTGCAGTGATTGAGCAGGATTCGCGTGATCGTCGCGGGCTTCTCGATGACTTTGTTGACGTCATCGATGAAATCGATCATGTATTGTACTATTTGTTCGGTCGACACAATTTCGAACGGATACTTCTCGGGTTTTTCTCTCTCCTTAAAGATCAGACTCTCAAATTTGACAGTCAAATTCTCTTCGCTAGCGTCGCTGGCTTTTTTTTTGCTAGCAGGAGTCTCCGAATTCATGATCAAGTATTTATCAATAAAATCGATAACAAACGACGAATGAATAAGTCGACGTAACGTATACCCACTGTTAAATTTGCAAAATAGATAATTACACGTAAAAAATTGGCTGTACCGCTTGTTCTCAGAAATACTAATATATCCTATTAGTATAGTATTACCACTGCAAGTCCATATGGCGTCATCGTCGGTGCCTGTAAAAGAAAAATACCAAGCTTTACCGACGAACACGATAAGTGCCTATATTCGTCGGCGTTATTACGAATTATACATTATTTTTCTTCTTAAAGAATTCGAAATTCATCAGAATAGTTTTGCTTTTACTGTTTTCGAAAAAACTGATCGATCACACATGAAAAATCCATAGATTCGTTTATTTTTCCGAGCGTTCAAACGGCGCTCTCGAATCCACGTTTATACAATCACAACAAACGCTACGCAAAGGAATAACGCCATTGCAAGTACAAACCTCTCAGCTGCTGTATTATGCGCGCGGACTGCGTTTACGAGATGAACACGCATTCACAATATCACATGAAAAACACAAGAATTCCGAGCCAGCTGCCGTGATTCCAACACGGACAGACGCTGATATGCCGCAGATCGTTAGATGACTTAAACTAATCCCTGCAGATGTTCGAGTACAAGATGATGTTATCGTATGACTTGGTAGCTGTAGGTAATCGGCTAATTTGTACTTATAGCAGATCTTTATAATATCTCTATTCGTTCGATCTCTGCCCTTGTTCCAGAGTGGAAAGTCAGGAACATTACAGTTTACATGCGTATACGACGCTATTCGTTTACTTCATAATTTGCTTTCATTGACATTATTCGCGCTAGTATGCCGTGGTAAATAATCACAACTAATCGCTGCAGTTTCTCCAATTACGAGCATTAATTTTGACAACGATCGCTTCGAACAGAAACACCGTTATTATGTGACTTCTTTCAAGATGAAATTTCTGATTTTTTAATTTGATCAAAAAGTTAATTTGATGGCTCAAAAAATGAACGATAAATATAAACAATGAAATGTTATTATATATGCAACAATGTTTTCTGCTCGCACGTAGAACGAAAGAATATTATTAATAATAATAATCTCAGCTCAATTTGTAATTTACGCAAAGCAAGTTTAAAGAAAGCAGAAACTAATTTCTTCTATTTAGTATTTACATATATTTTAATATTTTATACGAGGATAATAATGGGTATAACTGTGTGCTTAAATTTGATGGTGATTACTAAATGTTATTCAATTTATAACGTATCCGTTTTAATTATTCCGAGGAACTATAAGCTGAAATTTATATATAGTTCTGAAGACATCAACGAGTTTACTGCGTAAATCGTTAATCCCGTTTCCTTTCCTATGCATTTAAACATGACATTTTTCTAAGGCATAATTCCAAATTTTTTAATTTTTCGTAGGGATTATTGGGTTATTCCTTCAAGAATTTTTCTTGGTCACCGTTTTCATATATTTTTTTAATTATTTCAACTTATTATAATTGAAATGATTCAACACTAATGTAATAGTTATTGCTGAAATTTCGATAATACCATTTACGTCTTTTATGAAATCTGTCATACTGGATATTGCTGTAATAATAGTTTACTATTTTTCGTATTCAAAAACTGTAAATTCTGCAATCATTTGTTGCACATTATATTTTTAAAAATTATGTTACAATTTTTACACTTACAAACTGTACATTTTATAACCATAATTGATCATCAAAATTTGTATTATTGTCATAGTCAACAATTTCTTTTTATACATAAATTTTCATGTTTCAAAGACGAATTAAAAATTCATTTATTTATATTTATTTTATCAATTGAAGATTTTTTCCATTCTTAGACAAGATAAATATCGTTAAATTAAATAAAATTTAATTTAATTTAATTTAATTTAATTTAATCGTTAAATATTAAATGAAATTTAGTAATTTTTTTAACGTAATTATACGAGGCGAATTCGTCTTCAGTATCTCAGAATAGCCACATTTACGATAAATCTCGGCAAGTATTTATTATATTAAGACTTCTCCTTACTTCTCATGTTTTGTGAACAAAAGTATTGAGCTTAGAATAACTAGAATTTAGCAAAGACAGATCATTTTTGAGGTACCGATGTTTGCTGACTTCTTTAATAGAATAGATGAAGATTTCTCCAATCAATATCAATATCTTCGTATAAATAGACGAGTTAAATTAAACTTTTTAATTATTATTAATTTTTATTAATAGTTAATCTAGTTTTAAAAATTTGATATTTTTTATAGATTTTCAATAAGTGACATACAACTTGGCGGTAGAAAAAATTTATTAAAATTAAATTCCTTTACGAAGTTTCTTCACAAATACGGTATAATGTAAATGTTAAATATATATAACTAAGAATACAATCATTAATTTATAGAAACGGATTTCCATATTATAAAATCATTCTATTTGTACAATCTTATTCGAACGTTCTTAAAACGCTTGTAAGTACCGCATTAATAATTTAATACAATCGATGAAAAACACAATTTTCCAGTTTTTCATATAAAAATTACTAAGCAATTATATTAGCGAAACGTTACATTTAAACGAATACTATAATAATATCGCAAAAACGAAATAAGAAATAATTCTATAACAAAGCGATTGAAACATTAATAATTCATGAAGTGATTTGTTTTTATCGAAGAAATAAAATTTATCAAGTTCAACTAGATACTATTCTGAGATAATCAGTAAATAATGCCAATTTGCAACATAATAAAATAATCAACAAATTCACAATTTTCTTACATTAATAGGAAGATAGTTCACGAAGGGTTCCCGAATTTTAATTTACATCTCCAACGCAAATAAGAATCCTATTTTATCGATTTAACAATTCTACTAATTTCATATGTCTTACTCCCAGAGTATTATTTGTTGTAGCGTTAATGTCAGCACCTTGATCTACCAACCACTTAACCATCTCCGAATTGCCAGCTTCGACGGCTTTATGTAGTAGCGTGAATCCACCAGATATTCGACAATTGACAGCAACAATCGGATCCACGTCCGTCCAAGTATAAGCGTATATATTTTTAAACAAATTGTCGATAGACTTGAATAATTGTTTGCTATTAACAGCTAGATCCAATGGAGTATTTCCATATTTGTTTCGCGAATTGTAAATCGCACCATTCTTCAAAAGACGTTCAGTGGCGTCCACATAGTCATATTTAGCGGTGTAGTGCAATAAAGAGCTTTTCTGACTGTCTTTAACATTGATAATGACGTCTCGAGTCACTTGAAAGGTGTTGGCAATATCTTCTAGTTCTTCGTCAAGTATCCAATGATAACCATTAAGGAAGAATCTCGGTTTATGGGATTGTACGTCGTCGAATAACTCGTCGATTTTTTGGAGTAGCTTAAATGATTCGTTATTTCTGTTCCGAAAGCCTTTGAAGTCGTAGCTTGCACCAGCTTTCAGTAGCAATTTTACTCCATCTATATAATTTCTTTCTGCAGCGTAATATATAGGAGGTCTTTGTTCATTGTCTAACGCATTCACGTTTACATATCTATTTGTCAATAAGAGCCTCGTCAACTTGTTATCTTTCACCAAGTGCAAAAGTGTCTTACCGGAGTTATCCACACCATTTTGTACCTCGGGATAAGTCTTCAAAAGTTTGCAAACATCGTCGACTTTTTGTTGCTTGATAAATTTGAATAAGTCTTCGGCAGCTCGAAGCCACTTTCTGATGGGAGTACCCGAACAAGATAAGTCTATTGGTTTTTTGCCATCCAAATTGGTCATTCGAAAACAAGCACCGATAGAAAGCAATTTGGCGACGCATTTCTCATTTTTCTTGGCTGCTAAATGAAGGGGAGTATTGCCAAGATTATCAATTGCATTTACGTCCATTGGCCGAAAATCTTTGTAACGAAATTGACAATTCATGGACAGTATGTATAGCTTATCGATTACATCGGCGTCTCCTGTGCACGCGGCAACGTGAAGCAGCGTCCTCCCTTTCTTGTCACGGCAATTTAATAAGTAACGTAAATAACAAGTGTCGATTTTGTTTATGTCCACAAAGTGTACTGCTTTCGATAACACATTACCGCTGTGAAAGATATTACTCGCCAACATGAGTATCTCCTTCATCGACTGACAAGGCAAATCATTCGCATGGTGTTTCAAGCAATCCAAAGGCGTCATTCCAGTCTTGTCAATCTTATCAATAATGGCACCATGTTGTAACATCAGCTTGGCAACGTCGTAACATTCGTATTCCAAAGCTAGATGAAATGCCGATTTACCATTCTTGAAGATATTGACATCGGCCCCGTGATTGATCAAGAACTTGCACCAATTATTTTGATATCGACAGAGTAGTGCAATGTGTAAGCGCGACTCATTGTTATCATTGTAATCGATGTCATAATTGTCAGCATTTTTAAAGTAATCGAGTTTCGGTGTGATTTCTTTTTTGGCCATATCAAAGGCGAGATTTGGACTTTGGCTGGTTGGAAAATGAATGTTTTTCGTATATAGATAGGTCATAAGCTCACGCTGTTGTTGTTTGCAATAACGAGAGCTCTCTTCCTTAATAGCAAAAACCCAAGGATAAAAACCCAAGTCGTTGGTGGAAGTCAGAGATGCGCCAGCATTGACAAGGAACTTGATGGTTGACAAACTGGCACCTTCTTTGAAGGCTATGTGCAGCACAGTATCGCCCACATTATTGACGTCATTGATGCTAACTTTGCCAAGAAGGTAGTTTAATGTCTTTCGGCTGATTCCCAGACTGATGGCTTGATGCAGAGCATTGTTTCCGTTTGCGTCTCTCGTTCGTTTGTTGTCACGCATGAGGAAATTGATGATCTTTTCGTCGTTGCTGCGAAGGGCTTCATGCAAGATGTTGATACTTGTTTTGGTATAAGAGATGTAGTAGTTGAAAGTGTGCTCATGTCCGTAATTACAAGCGCTTCGTAAGATCGAGTCTATGTTGGTGGTACTTAGCAAATTTGTACTGGTATTATTCACCAGATACGTGATCAATTGCAGCCTATTTTCATCCTCGATGTTTTCGTTTTCGTTCACTTGATCCAATAGCGATTTGCCGTCAACTTTTGTCTCCAATAGCTTATACCTGTGAATTTGAAAAAATAAAATTATTGAAATATCCTGTATCGCAAAAATAAAATGTAATTGGTAGATACGTTTTACGAGTTTGGCTAAACAAATTGAATTATTTTATAAACATTTTCAGAATTAGAAAAATATACAGATTATTCTATTCTAGCAATTTTTATACATTAGTTGAAAGCTCTAGCTTAAAATTCATGGGATACTATTGTGAAATGACTTAAATTTTTTTCATGCAAAATAAGTAAGCCTTCAAAAATTTCTCTTAAGCAATGAATGAAGAAAATAAATTAATTTTTTAGTTTTGATTAAATTACTTTCAATCAAAGGCCAGCAGTTATACCAACAGTTATTACAGAATAACCACGTAAAAATTTTTGTCATACACTGGAAACAAATAAATATGTATTTTTTACCGAATTCATTGTACGTCGCGAAAAATCGAAAAAATATCAAACACGCAATACCTTTCGTGATCATTTTGAGTTTTGAGAAGCTGTTCTATTAACGTGACATTTCCACACGAGAAGAGGTAAGATAATACTTTTGGAAATTGAATTTTAACGTCGAGATCAACGGTTATCTGAGGTGACATTTCTAACAATACTGCGACGAGAGGTCCTAGTCTTATATTGCCGTTCGTTAGCTCTTGAGTTACATAAATTGCCATACTCTTGATAAAGCTTGACAATTGTTGTATAACCGAAATATCAGCTCCTTTGAAAATTAATTCGCAAGCTAAATCAATTCTATTATATTTAGCAGCTGTTTGAAGTGGAGTCTGACCATTTATTTGTTTGTTGACGTACTTGAGCAAATTATAATTACTATGTTTTTCATATTGTATGAATTCATGACAGCCGGTATCGTTAAAAAAATCCAACAAAAATTTCAAAACTTCGTAGGTTTTATTTTTACCTTTGCTTATTAATCGATTCAAGCACGGTTTCTTCGTACTGTCAAGTTCTAAAATTGCTTTAAGGGATCGCAGGAATCCATATTTCGCGAATTCATCTATGGATATTTGTTGCTTCTTTTTTTTTTCGTAAGAGACTAAATACGAGCTTAGGAAAATCGAGGAAGTACGTTCGATGAGATTCTCAATGCACTGTTTTGAGTTTAAATATCTTCTCGTAAGCCATTTTGCGGTAAAATATTCAATTATAGTTTTTCGTGACAATTTTACGGGAAGCTCGAAATTTACATTTTCAATGGTAGCACCAATCTCTTGAAGTTCGTTCTTTCTCAATAGTTTTTGCGCTGAAAATGTGTAGGCACTTTTTAAATTATTCCACGACAAATAAAGGTTCACGTAATTTTTATACAGATCGTAGTGATTTTCGATGGAGATTTTTATTGGTTTTTCATGGTACAATTCCATGAACATTTTCAGATGCAACGGAGTAGTAAATAATTTGGTTTTGTCGTCTAAATTATATTCAAAATTTTTGTGATCACAGAATTTCTTAACAAACTGGCACTTTTCTTCGTTGCCAAAGACAAGAGAGTATGAAAATGTTTTCAGTGTATTCTCTAATTGATTGGTTCTACTTGTTACAAACATTCTCTCAATATTGCTGTTTTGCAAGTGTTGTAAAAGACTTGTCAACAAATTTACATTTTCGTACACATCATCGTAACCATCAATGAATAACATAATTTTTATTTTCAATTGGCCTTGAGCACCCATAATAAACAATTCCCTCTGCTCGTCTTTCAAGTCTAGATAGTCGGCGAGAAAGTGAATGGCATTTTCAATGGTCTCAATAGAACATCCTCTGAGAGTGTTTTTTAGAGGTTGATTTAAATCTACTTGGATTATCCAGACTGGTCCGAACATTTCATTCGCTTGATTGGCGAAATCGTATAAACAAGCACTTTTGCCGATACCAGGTTCCCCTGATATGATGACGGTTCTAGGTCCATTGATTAAAATATCCTTGACAGTGAATGATACATAATCATTGCTGTCACTAATTATTTTATACTTCATTATAACTGCTAAACTGCCACTTGTCGATTTCCAAATAAAATTGTTGGATTGGTAGGTAAGTACATGAACGTTTGTTTTTTCAATTTTTTTACAGATAAGCATTGGATTAACGTTGCTTTCAAGTAGAATGTATTTACTATTCAATGATAAGTCTGTATTTTTTAACTGCAAATTTTTTAGGTAAATGGCTCTATCTGATGGTTTGTATTTGAAATAAAAGTTTTTACGGTCAATGTTACTGATCACGAAGACATCGTTGATATTTTCTCGAAAAATCTGGGGATTAACAATCACACTTTGCTTCAGTTTAAACTCAAAAAATTTTTCTTTGAAATCAACTGGTTTCGCTAATGGTATACCGATTTTAACATTTTCAGCCAACAATTTTTCCAAAATTTTCGGGTTTTTAATTAAATTGTTGATCGCAGCATTATCCCCTATGTCTGATAACTGCATACTACGTTCTTGCAGAAACACTTTAATCCACTTGAAACAATTATTTTGAGATTTAAGAGTCCAATCTTCATCGATTCTAAAAATCCGGGATCCAAGTAGTGATAAACTGATATTTCCTTTGTCAGCAATAATAATAGATTTCTTCTTTTCCCGAGATTTTTTTGACACTTTACGAAGTCTCTCGATTACATCTTCGATTTGTTTTATTTGTCTACTATCTGTCACGTCGTTATTTTCCCATGTAATTACTAATAAATTTGTCGAGCGATGAGAAAATGCGTTTACAACGTCATCGGGCATTTGAAACAAAATTTCGGACGTTATAAAGAGACTTTCTCGATTTTCTGTGTACTTTAGGTACTTTGAAAATTGTCTCATCTTCAAATCGCTAAATAATAAGCTTTCCGTTGAATACAAAATAACATTTTTCATAATAATCGTCGAAGAAAAAATTGCAAAGATTTCTTGATCAAATTGAAATTCTATATGGCGAGAAGGTCGCTGTGAAATCTTTTCTGTTACTTCTAACTTTGATATTGTATGTTCCAGTGCTTCAAATATATCCGATTTTAAACCGTGCTTATTCAAAAACCTTGTAAATTCTTTCTGGACCGCATCGAAATAAGTCTGAGTTTCAAGTTTAATGAATTTTTCACCTAGCTCACATTTAATCTCTTCATTGGTCAACCTTATAATTTTTCTAATTTCAAAGACTTTGAAAAAATGTTCAAACGTTTCTTTACAATTTTCATCGGGTAATTTGTTCACTGTTTCGGGGAATCTCTCGGAGGCTACATCGTCGCCGAAATCCTTATTTACAACTCGAAATTTCATGCTGTTAATGGGAAAGCCACGTATGAGCTTTTTCAAATGATTACGCAGCTGCCTTGCTGCGTTTGATAATTGAATATCTTGAATAAAATGCGGATGAAATTTGGCAAAACGAACACGCTCTTCTTTTTGTATCTCATCGTACATTTGCAACACGTTCTCGTTAACAAGGGCCAAATGATATTTTCTTATGAGTTTCATGTTGAAATGAGGCAACTTATGACTGTCACAAATAAATTCATACAACAGTCTAGCTAATTTAGGCAAGTCAAAAGATTCCATGCATTTTTTATAAATTTTCGATTCTTCATGAGGTGAATCTACTTCAAATTCGTATTTATCATTATCGCAAAATACTTTGATACCGTTATTATTGAAAAGACTTATATCTATTTCGCAATTAGTCAAAATTACAATTTTGCTATATTGATTGCTAAAGCAGCTGTGCTTTAACTTGCAAAAAGTGTTAAAATACCGTTGAATGTTAAACTCATCTCCAAAGAAATTTTTGAAGTTTATTTTGTTACTGGTATCATCGAAGTATTTAATTTCCACCAGAGTGCAAATTTTATCGTATTGCTTCTCAAAATGATACATCGCATTGCAAACATTTTTAATATTTCCGTTAGCCAACGTCCAGTGATAGCTTATAGCTTTCATAATTTTCAGAATAAATTTGAACTGCTCAAAATGATTTTTCTTAAAAGTATTTGGTTTATCGAATGTACTCTCTTTTTTATCTGCTACGGATTTTTTCGGCTTCTTATCGATTTCCTTGCAATAAACATTAACCTTACTTTCTTTACTCTCGTTAACTTTGTTATTATTTACGTAGCTTACTTGCTTCATATGTAGGTTTATTGGTGCACTAGTTTTTGTGACGGTTAAATCACATTCATTGTTTATTCGATTTCGATTCGAATCTATAGAAATCATTGGTGCAATTAATTTGACAATCATATTATTTTGTTCTTGTTTGTGTTTGATTGTGATTGCTGATTTTTTGCTTTGGTTACTCTTTTTAGTCTTCATGGCTGATGTAAACGTACTGTACATTGACTTTTTTACTGGTACTTCGACAGTGTCAGGTAGCTGAGTAACATTTACCGCTGTGTCAGAATTCTTGTCGCTGGATTTCGTCGCACCTAAAATATTAAAAAACATTTTTTTAATATAGTAAGCTTACATAACAATAAAAACATTCATAATACATTTGTATTTATTGTTTTCGATAATGCCAATAATTATAGTTTGACTAGACAAATGTTTAGAAAAATGGTTTGTCATGTAAATAATCAACTATTTCGTTAATTATAGTTAAAAAATATCAATTACTCTATCACTATGATTTTCAACATTTTTAATAAGAAGAAAATTTTCCGACATTTTTATAATGTCGTTGTTTTTTCTATATTGTAACAAAAATTTATTGACAATATATGCAAATATATATTATTCTTCAAAATAAACATGATTTTCTTTATCCATAGATTTACGAATATTCAAAACTTCTATTCAGCTTGAAAATAAATTGAATTAGGAAACTACAGCAAAAAAGGTTAAGTATTGTCATCAAAATGACATCTTACGATAAACTTATTTTGAACATATAATTTAAGAGGTATTTCTGTTGGAAAAATCATAGTAAACTTACTTGAATCAATTGACCTTTTCCGATTTAATTTGTGACTTTGTTTTATTTGCATGTCAAAGTTTCGAGTATCCTCAGCTGCTAAAAATCATACAGTAATCAGTATTCATCTTAAACAGTAATTTCCGAAATAATTGTTAGATTAATAATGTTTACATACAATTAATGCTTGGACTAGTACCCTTCTCACTAATACATTGCACGTTGACAGTAAGATGATTATCGATTTTATCGTCAGTAGACTTGGAAGAATATTCATCATTGCTTGAAGTTTCCGATACATCCATAAATTCAGTAACCGTTGAAGACAGTGAAACGTCATTAGATTTTGTTTCAGAACTATTTAATTCTGCTGATAACTTAACAGACTTAATATTAGTTGAGGAATATGATGCTGCCTTATCTGAACTTAAAGTAGGATAACATTCGTTATTGTCCGTAATTCCCGATAAATCATTACGTTCAGCATTACTAAGTACAGCACTTATGGCACTTGTTTTTGTTTTTGTATTATTCAGTTTTTCCGAATCGACGAATCCATTATTAACCAAAGGTGTCAAGACTTTATCACGGGATTTATTTTCAGTACTCGTTAAAGTTAGCGGAATTTCCTTCAATTCATCATTGGTTAAAAGTGGCAAAACGTTATTCGTTTCAAAAACAATTGATACAGAACCTCTGATGGCAGTCGTAGATAATAAATCATTTGACTGAGCTGCAGTTGATTTGTTAGCGTTACTTTGACTTATTTTATTGTGGAAATTTTTTATTGATTTAAATGCATTCAAAATAGACGTAGAGCGATTTATGTTAGTTTGGTCCGTATCGCATGAAGGAACTTTCAATGAAATATTAATTAGAGGCGTCACATCGTCACTCCGTTTAGAATTCATTGGTATAGATGAAATTTTAGACGATTGAGTAGTGAAAGTTGTAGATGGCAAATCGTTTGATTGAGTTATGGTTGATTTGTCAACATTGTCTTGATGTGCTTTGCTAGATGAACAATCTATTGATTCAGGTATATCTAAAGTAAACGTAGAATGTTGCAAAAAAAATTATATTTATAAAATATAATATAAAGGATTAATTAATAATTACCTATTGTTTCAACGTTCCATCCCAATGTTCTGCTGTTTAATCTTGTGTTATGATTGTCTTTCTGTTTATTGTTTGAACGTCTTCCATTATCCCATTCATTACTTGAATGTTTAATTTCATTATCCTTTTGGTCAATTAATGATCTTGATCGATTATCAAAGTTACAACGTAGATCGTACGGTTGTGATGAAACCTGAATCAAATAATTCAAATAATCTTGAGTTCTGTTGCCTCCTAATTGCTATTAAAATTACGTAACTTCCACAATTTCACAGATAATCGATAATAGCTCATTTTTTATTTAATGTTGATGATCATAAAAGTACATGTCATTTATTTACAGATATGTACACAATCTAGTATATTACAATACAAGTACAGGAATGTAGATTTTAGTCTTATGTGGCGTTTACGCCTAAACGAAGCAAAAATAGAATGTCACACGAGACGAGAATCTCTTTGCCGAAGATGTATCGTAGAGTATTTTTTATAAGGCTTGTGCAAAGTTCGATTTGGAGTGCACGTTATTAGCCGAGCGTTCGGGAAAGTTGCACTTTGCGCACGGAGTGTCATAAAATGATATATTATAGGAAATAAGTAGATAATTGAAGAATACGAACAACGACTCGAAAATCATAATAAAAAATCAATTCGCTGTATAAACCTGGTTATATTATATGTTGCTTAGAATCAATTATTTTAATTTAACAGGATTTGTGTGAAGAAATGACCTAAATAGAACTAATTTTAATTAAATTGATATTATTTATATTCTTGATTATAGATAGCAATCTGTTCATATTGAAAACATCAATTATATTCTATATAGAATATAGTAGATATGAAAGAATATGAAATATTTTATATCTAGTCAAATCTGAGCATCTGCATATAGTTTTAAAACGTATCTTCACTTAAATTTGCTAGCATAAATAGCTTTTTTTATGATTAAAAGAACACGAAGGATCAGTTTTATGTACTCCGAATCACGATTTATCATAGCATAAAAGAAGCTTCGGGAAAATCTCGGTCTTGATTGATTTCTTTTTATTCTCGTACATTAAATTTTTGATAAAAGTTGATATTGTCATATTGAGTTCTTTTTTGATTTTCTTAAATCGAAGAAAACTGTTTAAATTTAATGCATGAAATTAAATGTAAACAGTTTCACCAAATGCAGTTATTTTGTTTTTATTTATGTTTTAATAATATATATATACGAATACATATACAATAATTGTGAATAATATTTTGCAATTATTAGAGAATAATTTACATTTTTATTAAAAAAAGTAATTTGAAAAGATTGCATATGAAAATCGGTTTAGTAATTAACAGTATGCATACAAATACACGTTGCTGCCAAATTATTATAGTAAATCACAATATAAATAAAAATAGTTAATTACTAAGCCGATTTTTATCTACGATCTATTTAAATTACTTTTTATAGTAAAAACGTAAATTATTACCTAATAATCGCAAAACAACAAATTTTCTTGATTTGGAAAGATTTTATTTAAAGTACTAAATATTATTTTGTAATTGAAGAAAAATTATCTTGATTAAAAAAATTATTTTGAAAATGTAATAAGTTACAAAAATTACTTACTGTACGAACTATACTTGCTCTCTTGAAATTATAATTTTACATATTTTGAAATTCAGTAAATTTACAGCTTTACAAATATTAAGTCTTTTAAATTTCAAAGAGCATAAATTATTTACACTTATCCCTCCATAGAAAGTACTTTTCTAAATAAATTATTACCCACAGGCTTACCTTAGTAATTGAATTTTGAGATCGAAAATAGCAATTGCTTCGTTGATTTGTATCCCGTGTAGTTCGCCAGTATGGATGTTTATAATAATTTCGTAAGTCTTTAGATTCAACATATCGTTGAGTTTGTTCTCTCGAATCTAAATCACGAAAAGAAAAATCAAACCTATATCTTTAGTAAGCGTAAGATATCATCTGTAAGAATGTCACAATTACCTGGAGCATTGTGATTGGAACGATTGATATTAGAAGTAGCTTGATGATAACCACCACTATATGTAATATTATTATTTTGATATGTCCTATCATTCAAATATCCAACAACGTTTTCCTTTTTCTCGTCACTCCAAACGTCGTCATTTCGTTTACAGTAATTTTGGTATCCGTGGTTATCTCTTTGGTGGTCATTATTCTGATAATTTTGATTGTATTTTTGGTAATTGTCATCCTGCTGGTATGCAGGTTCATTCTGAGATACGTTATCTTTATTTGCGTTTCGTCCGTTCAACTTTTCCAAAGAACTGCATTCTTGTGAATTTGCATGTTTACAAGATAACCACTTAGTAATATCGATTGCGGATCCTTCGTCACTTCCACTATTACCATGACTTCTGACTCAGAAAAAAAGATACTTTTGAATGAACGAGAAGATAATATGCTTAAAAATATATTTAATGACAGTCAATACATTCACTATTTGTTACAAAGTTATAAAAGCTAATTATGCTACCTCAAATAAGAACTTTATTAACTGTTAATAAATATTGTTAAATTATTAATTAATTATTCTTATTTATTACTATGTTGTACAATTTCCAGCCTACGTTAGCTTTTGTAATTCTGAATGTTAACTTCCTGATCAAAAGTACTTTAATACTTTTTAATCAAACAATAGCATGAATACTCAAAGTAAAAAGAAAGGCAAACCTAAAAACATTAGGTCATCAATCTTTAGACTATCAAACTCAAGTCTGAAATAAGAATCATTCCCGTAATAATTTTTCTTTTGCTTATAAGTAATGCAAAACACGTAAAGATTATAAATTCATTTAAAAGTATTACTTTGAATTTTTTATTTCTACTTATCAAGATACAAATTATTGTAATCTCCAAACTTGACTGATTTATATTTATATTCGCATAGCAGTGGCAGTATCATGGTTAATATACCACATTTTTTCAAGCGAATCATTTCATAACAAATCATTAATTTACTTATATTCAGCAGAATGATTTCGTAACTATTAGTAAATATTATAAATAAACCTTTCTCTTTGCTTAGCGACAAACTGTTTGGCCCATTCCAGCACGGAGACACGATATTGTGCAGTACTCGGATCGTTGTTGAAGGCCATAATTGCAGGAGCTTACCTGCAGTGCTGTGTAAATAAAAATGTAGGAATTGATTATTGTACTTTGATAATGAGCATGCATGATAAAAAAACGAATGTTTCGGAAAAGTTAGGGATGTGAAGGGGGATGTTGAGACAAATTGACCGAATTGACCCATTAACGCCTAAAATCCCAAACTTTTTAACTTATTTTTGGCCCTTGTTCCCACAGCGACAAAAGAAATATATCATGACCAATCCTTATATAATTAATGTTTTTAGGTCTCTTCTTTCTGAATCAATTTCTATTTCTGAAGTAAAAATTACTTTTCCGTGCACCGGAAAACCAATATGACGGATTTTATGCCAAAAAGTACTAAAAATTAAAAAAAAATTTTTTTATTTATTTCTTTATTTTTCAAATGGATAAAGCATACTAATCTATTTCAAACTATAGGTAAAAGTGGACAAAATAGTTGTAGTTCATGAAAAAAATTTGTTGGTCCAGCAGCTTATGTTTTATCTTTTCCAAATGGGCGTAAGAGTATGGAAATTTGGAAAAATGCGCGTTTTTTCACGACACTTCTACAATTATTGGATAACATTTGAAATTTTATTGATCAAACTGTCAGAGTTTGATTGATAAATTATGTACAGACATCTTCTAATATATGTAACAACCTAATTAATGGCGGATTCAATATGGTGCCCGAAGAGCTTGGAAAATACTAAGTTTTCTAAAGATTGTCGTTGATGAAAATTTCTGAACTTCAATTAAATTCAATTTTCCTATTATTCTGGGCACACTATATGAAAATTCGGTGACAGTGTTAGGAAATCCAAAATGACGGATCCAATATGGCGGTCCGACTATTGGAAATTTAATAATATGCTAATGAAAAAAATATTTTCGTATTTCATGTAAAATTTGTAATAAAAAATGTCTCTAGTCATTTTTTGATTAAGAGCGCTGATTCTCCGAAAAAAATTCGTAAAGTTATAAATTCATATTTTACGATTGCTGCACATTCTCCAACGCTTGATGTGTGTGGCTAAATAAAGTTATTCAACTTCCACTTAGCCTAGTTTTCATAACATAATAGTAAAAAGTGATTATTTTATTTACTAAACGAATTTAATCTTATACCGAAGTTTCACGTTTATAAATTCCATTACTAGTATGACTGATGTGACAAAAACAAGTGTATAGTTTTTTAATTAAACGAATTGTCAATTATTACGATCGAAATAAGAATTTTTTTTTATTCTATAATATTTTATATAGATTCAATAGATTTTATAATCTATTTTATATAGATTTAATTCACTCATACACTTAAATCTATTCTGGCTCTTGATACGAGTTTAAAATCTGTGCTCTGTCTTAGGTGAACATGAGTAAAAATAAGAAATAAAATCTTGTCAAATGCCTCCAAAACGGAAGAAATGTTCTTCTCGTAGTCACAAACATTACAAGTTCGATGATTCTAACAATAATTATAACGAATTTATTGACATACCAAATGCAGATAATTTTGAAGAATCAGATGGAGAATCTGATGATGATGATTTGAATGGGAATATTAATTAGGATACAGACATTGAAGATGTATTAGCTCAACACTCATAAAAAAATTTCTAAAACATATACAGACAATCAAAAAAAATTAGAAAATTAACACAATTAACACTTGTGTGAATGAGTAAGCGAGGAGAAAAAGTATGATAGCAAATTTAATTTAATTTAATTTAATTTATTGTCTAGTAATATAGTTCAACAAGCTATGTCACGAACTAATTTTAATTTTCCAAGTCTGGAGATAATGAACTCAATGATAAGGCGTGAAGAGTTCAAGTTTTGTCGAATAAGTTTAGAAAAAATATTCAAAGTTTTGGACATTTTGAAACTGCTTTAACCGTCAATGAAATGATGAAATGTCGTTGTGGGAACAAGGGCCAAAAAGTTAAAAAGTCTAGGATTTTATGTGTTAATGGATTGATTCGGTCAATTTGTCTAAGCATCCCCATTCACGTCCCTAACTTTTTCAAAATGTTCGTAATTGATACGATTATATATACTAGTCATAGTAAATATTATTCCTAATTAAAAAGTAGTTGCTACATATTTATATCTTTGAACTAAAATGTTTGGTTATTGTTATTGTCCGTTTATTAATTTGTCAAAAGTCCAGTAGCGTCGCCGTAAGTAATACTGTTCTAAATAAGCATTTGATACTTATGTTTTTTTCCTGAACGTCAGTAACGTTTTTTACATACTGTTAGAAGTTCTTGTTACTTCTTATTAGATTGGCTCCGTGAATGCACTAAGCTAAATCATAAGATAACTCGTAAAGTTCTATTTATATTTTTGAAAACGTAGCTCTTTTTCTATAATTTAAGATAATTCTTGGAACTATTTAGTTGAGACGCTATTTTAATACTTGACAATCGCGAAATATCAAGTAGTGTTAATCCCTAACTTAGAACCAATCATTTAAATCAAATATATTTTATTATTTCAAGTGAATTTACTAAATATTAGACAAATCAAATTTAAAAATATTCTAACATTTTACTCTAAGAAAATTTTTACTGAATAATTTTTATTATTTTATTATGGGAAAAGTGTTACCAATTGTGCCATGCAAATATATTTTAAACTCTGTCTAAGAAATCAACTAATTTTACTTTTAGATTAATTTCAAGGTGATCAAGCGAAATATGACTGAGTTGTAGCCAACACTGCCAAAAAAGTAAGTCTAATAACTTCGTGCAGTAATAAAGTCATATCTCTGAACAGAAGATAAATTTTTCAGTCTCAAGAGAACATCTCCCCCATACCATACTGACGCTTAGCTCACCCAAGGCACATAAATAACCATTTTTGCTTGTAAAATAATTAAAGTAACATATAGCTAGAACATGTATCAATACTGTCGAATCTGTTTTTTTTAATTACAGTAATGTAATAATGCAATAAAAATCACGCCTTCTGTACAAAGATTAAGCTCGACAATCCCTTTTATTCCAAAATCTTTTACAGCATGTAAATTTAAAACTGCTTTCATAGTAAATAGACAGAGTGTTTTACCTCAGTATATTCATGATCATATTCGATAGTAAGGGGTTCACAACGAAAATTTACAAGCGTTCACAACGGAAGAACACAAGTATATTAAAGCACAAGCACATGGATATTAAACTTATTCAAATATAAATTATTGTACAAATGTTTTATATGTAAATAACCAATTCATAACACATGTTGTATATTATTAGCATTGTATATTAGTTTTAAAAATAAATTAATCATTTTTTTATAAATTGATATACATATAGTTCTGTATTGTTCGTTATTTTTATCAAAGTATTACAATTATTTGTCATGATAGATTAAATTGATGAGCAATGTAGAAATTGTAGTTTTCTTGCTGCTCAATTATGTGCCTATTTAATTACGTAAAAATCGGAGTTTTCATTTAAAAATCGTACAAGTTTATTAATATTAAAAAAGTGTCGATCACGAAATATGGTAGTTTAAACTTTGAAGTATACGTAAAAAATCGCAGCAAGTGTCAATGGCTTATTTCCAAGGCAGTATTAATATAAAAAAGCTTCTCAAACTTGAATTTCTTTAATAAACCAATCCAATAACTCAGTAACTAAAAAAAATATCGAATGGATTTTTTATGGTTATATTTATAAAAGATTAAAGTTTTTAAAGAATAAATCATCATTAAGATCCAATGATGATTCAATGTCAACTGTAGTTCCGGATACAAAAATTAGCTGTTTTTTTCGTGTTTTCTTTATTTTTTTTTATTTTACGTTTATAGCCGAGACAAATGAAATTTTACAACTTTGAAGCATGACATTTTATTGACCATTACACGCTCTACAACTTTATTTCTATACATTTTTTTCGTTTTCTGCACGGTTTAAGAGTAAAATAAGAAAATCTGTCGAAAAAAGTCCATGTTTGGCACTTTCTTCATTTAAACATTTACCGTGCACCAGTCGAGGTGCAAATTATGGTACGTTAATTATTAGGATATTCCTGAATGATTTCACCAATGAAAATTCCTTCCTCAACTCGCACCCATCACTAACTATAATTCTACTAGACTATACATCACAGTCGTGTATGCCGAGTACTACTAAATCATTCTGGCCGATAAATCGCAAATTCAGTGACTATAAATTTCCGTTAAGTATTATCAAATATCTATAATTAATCTAAAAATGATTATGCTATGGAACTTCCGTAGAAAAAAAATGATCGCAGCTTACAAAATTAAATAATCGTTATACTGCTGGGGATGGTACGTTGTACAAGCATTGATAACCCGGTATAAGTTATTATGGAATATCTGATGCATGTGATGCGAGATAAAATCATCGCGTAAAAATGGCCTTCGACTGTTTGGGGAGAGAGAGAGAGATTAATAAAAGTTAAGTCTTTTTAAATTGACAGAGAGAGAGAGGGGGGAGTATGAAATTTTAACGAACAGAGTAATAAACTTGGCAAACCAATGAATTAATTCACATGCTTAGTTTGTTACACATATTGTTACAATACCTCCCTCGTTTAACCGCACTCGCATACTCGTTAATTTTCGACATTGATTAATCCGACGATATTGCTGAAAATTTGCTATTTTTTTTATTCATCCGATCCATATTCATTACTTATAAATTGAATATACTGATGAAATATGAATTTCATACTTCTGGATATACAATATAAACATTTAATATTTAATAATATTTAATAAAATTTAAAATTTCATACTCGTTTTTAGCATCAACTAATCACAACGCTGGATTTCGGCAACTCGTAATTTTTTAAAGATAACCTTTTAAGGACAGGACTGGTCGATATTTCGACCACTCAAGTATCATAATATTTTTAAGTGATTTTGCGGATAATATTATGTTTTGAATATAGGAAATATAGTGTAACAATTTTAGGTAGCATATTTGACCTTGAATAGTGATTTCAAAGTCAAATTTTTTATTCGGTATTTTGACATGTAAATTAGTCTCTCACATATTTTGAAACGCGTTGAATACAAAAACAATAAAACAATAGTATTACATATAGCAGATGAAACATTATCATACAATCAAATATTCTGAGATGAGAGGCAAAAGAGACTCACGGTAATCAAGCGCCCCAAAGTAAGAGGCAAGGGGATTAACAAAAGTCAAGGACCCCAAAGGGATCAAATTTTCGCCACATCCAGGCTGTTGATCACAAGTCATGCTGAGAGCGAAAACTTAAGTATTTCTTAAAAATGATATTCATAATAATCGTTGCTATTTTTCTGCATCCAGAGCTTATAAAAACGTTTTTCGGACAGAAATCAACGGATTCAACCTTCTAATGCAATTTTCAAGCTTAGAAATGCTTTCTAGACATTTTTTATTATTTTTTTTTCGTATTCAGCGCATCCAATTACATAGGAATACACTGTTAATTCTAAAAATAAGATTTTTAACATGGGACTTTTTGGCCCAGATGGAACTGGTCAAATTTCAACCACCAAATTTGTCGAGCACTTGACGTAACAAATTCTTAGATTTTATCTACAAATATCGTGTAAAGAAAAAGTCCAATTTGAACATAAAAATCCCTGTTTTAAAAAAGTTAAATAAAATAAAGTGATTTCAGCTCATTGGCGTGGTAATATATTTAAACGTTTTTTTAGATGAAACTTATAAATGTAAATAAAACATTAAGATTGTGAGGACCGAACATGAAAATGTAAATTTTTAATTTGTTTTGGAAAGAATACTACACTAAATTAGTCGAAACTGATTTATAGTATATATGTAATACGTATACATATATACACTTCAATGAATACATATCCTTCAAAATATTTAAAATTATAAAAAAATATTTTAACAAATAAAGAAAAACAAATTATCAGGCGCACCTGACGATCAGAAAAAAAAAGTAGTTCAGTGAAATAATACTGTTATATTGAATTTCCTTAATTAAAACAATTGAAAACTAATCGAAAAAATACACTAAAATAAGATTTCTACCAATAAAATTTCATTACAAAAATCCAAATCTTTTTGATAAGAAAAGAATAAATATTTGAATTATTCTTTAATATAACATTATTTTATAATATTGAATTTTTGCAGTTTAATTGTTTTAACAATAAATGTAGAAATTTCACTTTACTGTTTATTATAGTATTATAAGCATAATTTTCAAAGAAATGAAAAGGACCATTGCTGTACCAAATGTTTGCAACTCGATTAGTACTTTGAAAGCTAAATGTAGTCCCCCTACTGGTAACAACTCTCGCATGTCGGTGAATTTATTACAACTACTCTAACCTACCGCTACAATTCATACGCATTTTCAGTTTTAAACATATTTTGCGCGCCATGCCTTTTGCTAACGATAAAACTTTAAAACAAAGAGCTGTTCATTACATATTCGTTACATCATGCAAATTCGAAAAGTGAAGAATTTTATATAAAAAATGCTTACTCGCAGGAAATCTCTCAGCAATCTCGATAAAGTTTAAGTCGACCGCCGGTATACACGCACATAGTAATAATTGAACAGAAAGTAATCAAACTGCATATAACACTGTAACAGGCGTGGCGACGGACAAAAAGAAAACGACGTCTTCAAACGCTTAGCCTTTGCTGACTAATAAACTTAAGAAGTTCTTTGTTTCGTTGGTATTACACATTGGTCGCACGAACGTATTCGCGCCGGTTCCGCTGCAAGTGAGAAAAATAAGTGAAGGAAAAGGTACCCAAGAGTGGGGATGTGTTTCACGCCTACAAACGCGCACAGCTCAGAGTACTAGACGCAACATTTCTATTCTGTTTCTGATACAGCCATACTGGCATCCATGCTGGTGTCGCTATACAGTCTTTTCCCTCTTCTCTCTCTTTCCGAGTATTAGAGCCGTGCTTCGGTCACGCCCGTGCGCGTAATTAACCGAAAATATTTCAAAACTAAACAGTTTTAAAATGCATTTATTTACCAAATTTTATTTTTACTAATGCAGCTCTTTTTTGTATTTGAATGTGTACTTCAATACATATGCATTGTAATGGTCCGGTATGATCTGTTTTTCTATCGAAACTATAAGGCACTATCTAACATGTACTCTTAGATATGTTAGAGCACTTGATCAAAATCATTACCATACGATGAGCGTGACGTCATATATCTATGCAAAATCTGTAGTTTATTATGCGAAATTTGTAACTTCAAGCTTTTTCAATGAACAAAAGTACTTATTCAGTTAATTTCGATGCGCTGATCTCAAATCTAAACTTGTTATACGTATTAAATAATTAATACTCAGTGAAATTCAATTTACAAGTATAAATCACGAATAATTTTGCAATAAATAAATCACACACCGAAACTAGCATCTTGAGAAGAAGTAAAAATTAGACATGTTGATAACTGATTTTTGAACAAAGTTATCAATAAGTAAAAAGTTAATAATTTATTTAAACATTTAAAATTACGTTGCGATATAGCGATTCAACTGTATTTACTTGTAAAATTAATAAAAACGATTGTTATCCGATTGTCGATTTTATATTTGCAAAAGAAATAATTTACTGTGACGTCGTGGCAACGACACATCTCAGGTGCATCTCAGGCTTGGCGCAGTCTCAGGGTTCTGTTGTTGCTAGTCTGCGATTTCTCGCATAAACTAGCAGGATCACTATTCGAAAATTAATAATACCGAAGGGGATAGTGCCATTAAACCTGTACTTCTGCTCTTGAATTCCATTCAATAGTTGTAATCCGAGAGCGGGAGGTACCCTGGATCGTATCAATAGTAGAACCTAGTTTTCCTAATATAAATTGTATTTGGAGCCTATCAAAAGTAGTCTCCAAATACGACAAAGGGAAAATTTTTGGATTGCGAGCTACGCTAAAAGCGAGGAGAGATAGATAAGTAAAAAAAAATTTTGATTGCTCACTCTTTTTTTTTATTTTGTAATTCACTCTTTCGGTCTGCTCGTCTTTATTTTACATTAACTTATTTTTCTTGTTTTCCTTGTTCCATCGCTTGGCTGCTGGGCTCTTTGACTGACTTCTTGACTGGGTATTGCTAACTTCTTGGCTGACTTCTCGACACTACTGATTTCCGTGCTTCCTTCAATCTCTGCTGTGCACAGTCACTACAATCACTGACAACAACCGCAACTAACTTTGACTCTAACAACTTGAACTTGAATTTTTGTTGATTAATTTTCACTAGACTGACTATCGCGGCCTTGTGCAGGGCTTTTTATAACCTGGGGGCGGTTGGGTGGAAATCCCTTTCCTCAGGCCCATGAAGCGATAACGGCCAAATTTTGTATTAGTGGAAAATTTTCTAATCGTATCTAGGATTTCTTTATTGGTCTGTGGGCGTGAATTTTCAGAGAGAGATAGGGCGGTCCCCTTTTAACTTGGGCCCTTTTCTCCAGAGATGGCTCTCGGAGTGCCACTTTTAAGAGCAAGAGTGACGCTATAGTTTATAATTACTTATACAAAATCGTACTAAACTTAGTTAAATTTAACGATACATAATGATTATTTAATAACTATAAATTACAATAATTCAATAATTAACTATTATAAAAATCCAAAAACTTCTAAGGGTTATTATAATATACATTGCGGTACTATTGTTATTTTCGCTTAAAACATGAAATTATTTATTAGTTATTTTGTTATTGCAAGGGTTGAACTGGATAAATGATATATTTTTAAAAGATGCGCATTATGGTACAATAGTAACTTACAAAATTGATTAAAATCCATTAAATATTACGGATATTTTCTTAAAATTCGGTGGGAATAAAAAAGATAAATTGCATTTTTATGGCCCCCTTCTATTATCGGCATGATAACGCTTCACGATGTATACACGATGATCGTAGGCTCCTGTCAACACATCTGACAGGACAAAGCAGGATAGAGCGTCGATTGTAAGGCCGAGTACGCAGACTCGGGCCACTATAAAGGTTTATATAAACACTTTATCTCGAATGCGTTTTCATCGTGGGAAATCAGGAAGGTTCCCGCTCCGTTCTTCATATTTAATAATTAAATTAATATAAAAAAAAACTAAGTTACGGCTGGCCGTCACATTGCGTTATTTAATTATTGTTCAAATTCTATCTGTTTAATTGTTAAATTGACAAACTTGTTTTTGAATAATGTTCCGTGTATCAAAACAATTTTTCAGTGTAAAAAAATCATATGATTTTATTCTAAACTTTGACCTATTCATTTAATTAATTTCAATTGTTTATAACTTTGTAAGACGATTTTCCCCGATAAGCGATTTATATCATAAAATTCAACGTTTTCAAATCTATTTTTTACATCACAAACTTTTCACTTCGCGTTTACGATTTAGCGGTAAAGTTTGTGCATATTTGCGAACACAGCGTCGTAGCTCGCTCGAATTGATCGATTATTGATTTCTTGTTGGTTTGGTTCTCGCGTTTTTGGTTTTTTACTTTGATACGAGACAGATAAGTCTTGATCATGTACATCTTGCTTGATTTGGTACGCTATATTATTCCTAGTATTGAAATTATGTATTGAACGGGAGTAAATTAATATAAATTCGCAAATAATGTTATCGACTTGTTCCGTAGACATTCGTTTTATGACAATATACTAATTAAGTTTCATTAACCTGCATATCTTCGAAAATCAACATTATTAAAAATTAGAAATACATAAAATTTTGTATCTGACTTTATAGCTACCGATACACTTTGAGGTATTTAAAATTGAAAATATAAGGAGAACAGGATACCTAGTGCAACTTTACGATCTCTCCTTCCGCTGATTTCACCAAATATTCGTGGCTTTCGCAGCATATGAAGATTAAACGATAAAAAGAGAAAAAAAGAGATTGGAATTGATTAGATTAGATAAACCTTTATCATCAGCCTTTGAAGAAAATGGTGTGTGATTATAATGTTACAGTTGGAGCCGTAAATACATAAATATAAATATATGTGATTGGTGATATGAGTTGGTGCTTTAAATCATCTCGTACAATACTCTACAGTTTTACCTTATACTCCAAAAACATAAAAATGGAATACATAGAAAATGAAAAGCGAATAGTAAGTTAACATCTCATAATAATTGAACGATAAAAAAACATACTGACAATACGATTACAAATAAGTATCACGCATGCACACGAAATATAAAGCAATTTCTCCAGATAATTGAATAATTAGTGAAAGCGATTTGTAATGACAAATGACCTGTTCTCGCCTCACGTAATGTTCGCACCGTTTGCGCTTCAAAATTGAGAGAGGGAGAGAGTTTGTATGTGCGAGAGCACAGAGTTGTGCAGAGACAAATTAATGGCCAACGAACAAAGCTTTGAAGGCTACGCTGGCTTTCACGAGGAATGTCGAGACTTTTTACGGTACGTTGTTTTGTCGTGCGCCCGTCTACACTTGCACGTCCGCACGCTCGAGTTTCAATGGTTGCCGTGCGCTGTAGCAGTTTCTTTCTAAAAAGAGAAAACACGTCCGGGAAAAACCCAGACTGCTCGATGACCGACTCGCTGAGCTCGGCGGGAGCACGCGCAATAAAAAAAGGGTCATCTATTGGCCACCCACAGGTAGTAAAAGAGGTCCGGGTGGAGTTTTCTCGCCCTCGCAAACGTCGAATTCCGATTGGTCCTTGATAATGGGCCTAGGTTTCCGGCGTCTTCCACTTCTCAATTATCGAGAGAGGAGTTTAGTTTTACCTCGGAAAACCAGCAGCAACAGCCCCTTCCTTCCGTATTGCTAGGAGTCGTTTCCACATCGCCTTTCGCTAAATTACACGCAGTGCAAAGTGCATTGCTTTGCACCGGTCGCCCGTCTGTATGTGTATGTGAGGAGGCGGTACCTTTCTTCACGATATTTTGTTGAGACGTTCACTGCTAGGAGAATCTTAACTTATAACTGAATGACCATTTGAAGTATTTTTGTATAGGTTTGTTTTTATAGCTTTCTCTACCGGTGTTGATTATGCTCTCTTTAAATTAGTTCATCAATTTAACTGTAACCGCGTCATTATTCATAAGTATTTACGTAAAGTTTTGTCAATTGCATTAATTTTGTATCTACATTTCTATGCGACGCTTATTTTTGATTAAAGTTATACATATCTTACGCTAATTTTTATCTTATCGTTTGTATATTGCAAACACCGTTCCAATATATTAAATTCCCTTTTCATTATGAGACATATATTTACTTGTGATTATTATTAAGCATTCAAACTTAACAGGTAAGATCGTCACCTTTTGTTATCGCAGAGATTTCAACTTTCTAAATCTGCAAATTTCTCCTTATTTATAGAATAATATTGCAATAATTTTTAAATATACTTTCTGATCGTTAACATTTTTTCATATTTCTAGTCATTAAGATGGTTAACAATTAGAAAAAAGATGGCAACTACTGGCACAATATTTTCAAATAGTCATTTAATAGCTTTTTGAAATTTACGAAAAATAAGAGGAATCTTAGTTGAGTTACTTAGCAATAAAATTATTATTATTAAGTTACAGAAATGGCATTGAATGATATCCGTATCATGCTGAAAAAAAAGAATCAGGAAATATGAAATTCATATTTAGAGCTGCAAATATCGAAAATAATTCAATAGCTTTAGTATAATGAAAAAATGTTGAGGTATAATCAAAATAAAGCGTGACACCAAAGAGTGCTTTTCAGAAAGATTCAGTCCATAATACAAATCGAGAATCTCCGAGAAAGGAATGTCCAGATGAACAGCATCAAATAATTACCAATCGTGCTAACGAGCATATCATGCTGATCACACCAGTTCTCGTCCGATCACTGAAGTTAAGCAGCATTGAGCGCGGCTAGTACTTGGATGGGGGTGACCGCTTGGGAACCCCGCGTCTCGTTAGCTCTAAAGTTGTTTCTTTTTTGCCTTTTTCCACCAATGAATTTGTATAAAAAATTTGTATAAAATATTGCCATTTTTTGACTTTATAACGCACATCAAAACTTATTTAACATAACGAAGTCATGGCTTCATGAAAATTTGCATGTTGGTAAACAAGTTCAAATCAGTGGATCAATTTACAAATATACTCTAAGATTTATCTGCAACTACTCTCATGACAGATCCACACGTATGGTATATAGTCAACCAGGGAGAGGTTGGTACCGACACATGTCATAACAGTTGAAATGCAGACAGTCGGTCATGCAGAGCATTGATCCAAGAAGTCAAAATGTCCAGATAAACGACAACAAGAAATGATCAATCGCGCTAACGAGCATATCATGCTGATCACACCAGTTCTCGTCCGATCACTGAAGTTAAGCAGCATTGAGCGCGGCTAGTACTTGGATGGGTGACCGCTTGGGAACCCCGCGTCTCGTTAGCTCTAAAGTTGTTTCTTTTTTGCCTTTTTCCACCAATGAATTTGTATCAAAAAACCCGATTGCCATTTTTTGACTTTATAACGCACATCAAAACTTATTTAACATAACGAAGTCATGGCGTCATGAAAATTTGCTTGTTGGTAAACAAGTTCAAATCAGTAGATCGATTTACAAATATTCTCTAAGATTTATCTGCTATTACTCTCATGACAGATCCACACGTAAGGTATATAGTTAACCAGGGAGAGGTTGGTACCGACACATGTCAGAACAGTTGAAATGTAGACAGTCGGTCATGCAGAGCATTAATCCAAGAAGCTAAAATGTCCAGATGAACGACAACAAGAAATAACCAATCGTGCTAACGAGCATATCATGCTGATCACACCAGTTCTCGTCCGATCACTGAAGTTAAGCAGCATTGAGCGCGGCTAGTACTTGGATGGGTGACCGCTTGGGAACCCCGCGTCTCGTTAGCTCTCAAGTTTTCTTTTTTGCCTTTTTCCACCAATGAATTTGTATAAAAAATTTGTATAAAATATTGCCATTTTTTGACTTTATAACGCACATCAAAACTTATTTAACATAACGAAGTCATGGCTTCATGAAAATTTGCATGTTGGTAAACAAGTTCAAATCAGTGGATCAATTTACAAATATACTCTAAGATTTATCTGCAACTACTCTCATGACAGATCCACACGTATGGTATATAGTCAACCAGGGAGAGGTTGGTACCGACACATGTCATAACAGTTGAAATGCAGACAGTCGGTCATGCAGAGCATTGATCCAAGAAGTCAAAATGTCCAGATAAACGACAACAAGAAATGATCAATCGCGCTAACGAGCATATCATGCTGATCACACCAGTTCTCGTCCGATCACTGAAGTTAAGCAGCATTGAGCGCGGCTAGTACTTGGATGGGTGACCGCTTGGGAACCCCGCGTCTCGTTAGCTCTAAAGTTGTTTCTTTTTTGCCTTTTTCCACCAATGAATTTGTATCAAAAAACCCGATTGCCATTTTTTGACTTTATAACGCACATCAAAACTTATTTAACATAACGAAGTCATGGCGTCATGAAAATTTGCTTGTTGGTAAACAAGTTCAAATCAGTAGATCGATTTACAAATATTCTCTAAGATTTATCTGCTATTACTCTCATGACAGATCCACACGTAAGGTATATAGTTAACCAGGGAGAGGTTGGTACCGACACATGTCAGAACAGTTGAAATGTAGACAGTCGGTCATGCAGAGCATTAATCCAAGAAGCTAAAATGTCCAGATGAACGACAACAAGAAATAACCAATCGTGCTAACGAGCATATCATGCTGATCACACCAGTTCTCGTCCGATCACTGTAGTTAAGCAGCATTGAGCGCGGCTAGTACTTGGATGGGTGACCGCTTGGGAACCCCGCGTCTCGTTAGCTATCAAGTTTTCTTTTTTGCCTTTTTCCACCAATGAATATGTATCCAAAAACCCGATTGCCATTTTTTGACTTTATAACGCACATCAAAACTTATTTAACATAACGAAGTCATGGTTTAGTTATGTCTCACGTAACGGCCGCGAATTGACAAGGGTTACTCAAACGCGACTATCTCTTTTCGGTCAACGCATAAGCGCTTTACTACGGGTGCGGGACTAAAACGAAAGCAGGCCGGCAACGTATCTAAAACACCGAGTGGAAAAGTAACAATTTAAATAATTTTACCTGTAGTTTAACTGGTCCAGAAACTCGTACGCCAGAAGCCAGAGATGTAACGTAGATGCAAAAATGAAGTATAACTCTCAATTAAATTATTATAGTAATGGAGTTCAAATATTTATTGATCAAATTATAGAAGGTCTGTAGTCTTACAGAGTCGAACACAGAGTGTGTATTACAATTGTTTTGCGTCGTCTTTTATAGTACAAAATATATAAAAACTAATCAATAATGGGTTAAACCCAGAAGGGGTAAGTTCGTCACTGAGAATAAAGTCAGCTATTAAATGACTATTACTTTAATTACGGGAACTACCCTTTCATAAAAAAAATTCAAATTTTACCGCTATAAAATAGTCTGACTCGTCCTCGACATAACAGCTTCATGAAAATTTGCTTGTTGGTAAACAAGTTAAATCAGTGGATCGATTTTCAAATATTCTCTAAGATTTATCTGCAACTACTCTCATGACAGATCCACACGTCAGGTATATAGTTAACCAGGGAGAGGTTGGTACCAACACATGTCAGAATGGTTGACATGCAGACAGTCGGTCATGCAGAGCATTAATCCGAGAAGCCAAAATGTCCAGATGAACGACAACAAGAAATAACCAATCGCGCTAACGAGCATATCATGCTGATCACACCAGTTCTCGTCCGATCACTGAAGTTAAGCAGCATTGAGCGCGGCTAGTACTTGGATGGGTGACCGCTTGGGAACCCCGCGTCTCGTTAGCTCTCAAGTTTTCTTTTTTGCCTTTTTCCACCAATGAATTTGTATAAAAAATTTGTATAAAATATTGCCATTTTTTGACTTTATAACGCACATCAAAACTTATTTAACATAACGAAGTCATGGCGTCATGAAAATTTGCTTGTTGGTAAACAAGTTCAAATCAGTGGATCGATTTACAAATATTCTCTAAGATTTATCAGCTACTACTCTTATGACAGATCCACACGTATGGTATATAGTCAACCAGGGAGAGGTTGGTACCAGCACATGTCAGAACAGTTGAAATGCAGACAGTCGGTCATGCAGAGCATTGATCCAAGAAGTCAAAATGTCCAGATAAACGACAACAAGAAATGACCAATCGCGCTAACGAGCATATCATGCTGATCACACCAGTTCTCGTCCGATCACTGAAGTTAAGCAGCATTGAGCGCGGCTAGTACTTGGATGGGTGACCGCTTGGGAACCCCGCGTCTCGTTAGCTCTCAAGTTTTCTTTTTTGCTTTTTTCCACCAATGAATATGTATCCAAAAACCCGATTACCATTTTTTGACTTTCAAACGAATATCAAAACTTATTTAACATATGTAGTCATGATTTGATGAAAATTTGTATGTTGGTAAATAAGTTCTAATCAGTGGAACGATTTACAAATATTCTCTAAAGTTATCTGCAACTACTCTGATGATAGACTCACACATCAGGAATATGGTTTTCGACATTCCCTACGGAAAGTGCGTGTTTCCCGCACGCTCGGCAAAAAACGTGCGTTGAAAATCGCACTTTCCACACGTCGTATCAAAAAATACGGTACGGCACATGTTCGGGAAAGAGTTTCTCGTCTCATGTACCTTTCCACCTACGCATCGCTCAGGCGTAAACGCCACACGAGACAAGAATCTATTTCCCCGCACTTGTATCGTAATGTACTATAACCGGAGAGAGGTTGGTACCGGCACATGTCAGAACGGTTGAAATGCATGCAGTCGGTCATGCAGAGCATTGATCCGAGAAGCCAGAATTTCCAGGTGAACGACATCAAGAAATGACTAATTGCGCTAACGAGCATATCATGCTGATCACACCAGTTCTCGTCCGATCACTGAAGTTAAGCAGCATTGAGCGCGGCTAGTACTTGGATGGGTGACCGCTTGGGAACCCCGCGTCTCGTTAGCTCTTAAGTTGTTTCATTTTTGCCTTTTTCCACCAATGAATCTGTATCGGAAAATCCGTCCGCCTTTTTTTGACTTTATGACATTACTGCACATTAGCGTTATGTTGAAGAGAATTATGTAACGTGACAGATGTTTTTAATAGTAAACGATTGTTAATCATAATGGATTTATTAATTCTATTAGTGAGAGGTTTTTAGCAGTAGACTAGAATCTATTGGTTTCCTAATAAAAGCGTAATAATTAATAAACGATTATTGAAATATAAATATCTTTCAAATGGTACTAAATAATAACTCATTTATTTATTTATTGTTATTTTTCTTATTGTTTACCTGAAAATCAATAGGTCATTCATTTAAATCAACAATCACCTTTGCATACCTTCGCTACCTTGGGAGCAATGGTGAGTTTACTCATTTTACACTTATATAATGATACATTAGATATTGGTTTTACCTTTATGATCTTTATAAGTATTAATTTTGAAACAGATAATTCCATGTTACATATGAACCTCTACACTAAACTACACTACTTGTTGACGGTGGAAAAGCTCTTACTGTTTGACTATGAATCACAACATCTTAGCTTACTATATAGTACCTAGCATCATTTGGTTCAACCGTGAGTTTGTTTAATATATAGGTAGACACGTACATCTGTCGGAGTGAAAAATACTTACCAGTGATAAAAAATATTTCATAGCATCAATATCGGTTCAATAAGCATTAATTGAGAAACAAAAATCCAGAACTGTTTTTCATTAACAGTGAGAATTGAAACGCTAACGGTACTGGATAATTAGTTATTTTAGACTCGGTCGAACTTTCAATATACAATGAATTCAGAATACAACGAAAAGTTATGTTTAGTGAGTGGTAAAAATATAAGCATGTGTTCTCCTGTGAGCTGGGAGTGAAGCAGAATCAGCGTATTTGTACAGAAATGTTTGATCAAGATATCGTTATACACTAGTAAGAACCATTTTATAGCAAAATAATATCTTATTTTAATCAAGAAAAGGCACGATTGTAGTATAAAAACATTCGAAAAATTTAAGTAGTTGGAGATACAATATGTAAGAATTATCATCGTATTATTTAGCCAATACTCAACGGCTATGTATTTTTGTACGATACTTTATGTAATGATTACGGTTACTTGGTTTTTAAGCAACAATTTGATTTATTTTAATACCAGTAATATGAAGCTGACGATAACCTGCTGCTAATGAAAGTTAACTTCCATCAGTGTCGTATGTGTATGTACCCATATGTAGGAGGTGCCAAACGATGACGTTTTTTTTTCACAAAAACAATGCGTTAAAATAGGACTTCTTTATTTATCTAGTGTATATATTTTATATCGATCTTCTCGATAAAACAAAACGCTGCCACTTGCATTGATATATTGGCTCCTTAAAAATCTAATAGAACAAGATCTTTTTAAAAATATTTACTTGTTGATGGCTTTCAGCTTTCCTTTAATTACATTATAAATTTTTATGACGATAACAAACTTTTACTAAAATAAAATACAAAACTGAAAATCATCATCGGAATTCACGGGAAATAAAGGAAAATGATAAAATATCATAGATAAACGTGCCACAAGCCCGTTAATTACCTCGAAAATGTAATCTAAACGTGGTACACAAAAAATTGACGAACCATACCTGTAATCATTGGATAACAGGGCCAAGTGTAATTATGCCACCAATTGTTGGCTCAAAAATTGCAAAACCCGATAGAATTTTATTCATCGATTTTGGCAGAATCCGTTAATTGATATTCACATTCCCTTAACAATAACATTTGCATAGAAGTACCCGTGGTACTCTTTTATGAACTCTAGTGGACGTTGTTCATTCAAATGACATGGGCATTGCGCGGGGCTCATAGCCTGCCGGCGGCACCGGCGACGTGACATGCACCGCCGGTAAAAGATCCGCTTCCCGTGAAGTGGCGACCTCTCACTAGCAGGAGAGTCGATTCAACTATTTTATTCTGGTATTTTATTGCAGTTATCCGAAGGTGTCGTTTAGCGGATTATAAAATGGCCAAGGACGAAGTATAAAATAAATGAATAGTCCGTTTATTTCGTTCGTAAATAATGCACGTTTATTTCTATTAGTATAATTTATTGTAATTCAAGTTTTACGAAGCGCTAATCCATTCTGCTATTTAAGTTGTCATTTTCAAACTCCACCGTTATTACAGTTTCCACGAGCATGAATTTATCTCTAAAAACTGTTCACTACACTTATAAAAGTAGCAGAAAAGTAAAGACAAGTAAATCGGACATTTTAAGATGAATTGTTCGTTCGCTATTAATCTAGAATAAATAAACGACATGCGTGCGGAAGACACAGAGCTAGCGCAACGACTGCCGATGACCAGTCGCCGATGAGGAACGGGAAATCTGAATTGTTAGCGCGCAGCAAACCATTGAATTTGACTATAAATCGGATGACGACTGGCGCAACTACCAAGGGCAGCGCTGCGCGAGCGCGTACGATTCGTGGGAATCGACAGGCGACTATTTTCACTAGTGCGAATATATACGTCGCGAAAGTCCAACGCTCGGGAACTGTGGCTAAGTAATGTGGAACGCACCGCCACCTTAGCAATCGTCGCGACCTCCAAACCGATGCGATTTTCTATCTGCAAGACTTCCAGTAAAAAGGTAATCGTAAACATTCATATAAATTTCGTGTATATATGTCATAACGGCGCGTAAAGTATTGTCGATAACATCGAATTAAGCATTATTTGACAGCACACGATAGACTTTACAATTGAAATAAATGTTTAATAATAACATCTCGCGTCAGCAGCACTTGAAAATTGTAAGCTAGATGGAAATCTCTGGCAAACAAAATTTTTGCAGCGTCATTTTGGAGATCGAGCTCCGTTCGACGGTGATCGAGGTGCGTTTCGCGTTATTTGTCGCTGCAGTTTCGCGTTGGAAGTGGCCTTGCAGTCGTGCCCGTCGATTCCCACTTATGCGCTTGTTTAGCGCCGGCCTGACGAGGACTCGGCAACGAGCGAGGCACCACGCTCGCGCTGTAAGAACCGCGGATAAACTCTGAAAATCGCGCGCTTCCCGAGGCGAAAACAGAAGACGGACGGTGTGGCCGCGAGTCACGAGAAGCTAAACGCAAACAAGATGTACGGCCTAGAACGCTTGGAAGTCGATCTGCACCTCTTCGGCAGCGTCCTCCTCATCGATGGTCGCGATCCCGTTGCTGCTCTGCGCGTCGGCGGTCGCGGGCGCGACGATGACGGTGTCGCTGGAGGACTCGTCGCAGGTCGAGCTGCCAACGCTGGAGCGTCTCTTTCGCGGCACGCCGCACAGGTTGGAGTGGCGCTTGAGGTAGACCTCGTTGGGGAAGGTCTTGGCGCACTTAGAGCAGGTGAACTTGGACAGGGCGTCGGGATCGTGGGTGGTCATGTGAAGCTGAAGGTGACGCTGGCCCGCGTTGTTGTCGCGATACTGCTTGGGGCATTCCGAACACTTGATCGTCGGATACGGCTTGCCGTCCGACGAGCGACGCCGCCTCGATTTCTTCTGCTTGCCCGTTGCCGCCGGCGTCTCTTGCTCGGCTGGAGCTGCCACTGTCGCTGGCGGCTCGTACGCAGCGGCGTTCAGCCTCGAGATCCCAAACAAATCGAGCTGCAGTCCCGCGAACAGCGGATGGTTGATGTTTTCGAACGAAAAATCCATGTCTGTAAATTTTATCGCGAGCGCGTCAGCAGAGACTCTTTCCGGCGGTTGAACGTTCGACGCTTACCTGCCACGAGATTTGCCGTTTGACTCTTGGCGCGATCTGCTACTACTCGACGATTGCGTTGCCACTATACTAACCAGTGCTGGCGTTTCGAGCGATGAACTTTGGCGCGACCGTAGGTTGTGGTTCCGGGAATTTGCGCGAAGGCGTAACTGTTGATACCCACATTCGTACATGTGCAGGAAACTGCGACACTGATACGCTGAGTGTAGATATGAGAAGTTTCAGTGTGTGAATGAATTTTCTGAATACTCATGCGGCCGTTAGATACTTCTTGCGATCGATACATCTTTAATTTAGACGGTTGTAACAGTAATCAGCAGAAATTTTCAAGTAGAAACAACTAATTTAGTTTGTGCGGGCCAATTAAATAATTTAACGTTTGCTCTACTTTCTCGTTTGAAATAATTAAAGCTAATGAGAACTTCTATAAGATCTGTTTCACTGCGCATACTTTACATAGAAAAAATTCATTTTCATTTTACGACAGAAATTTACTAAAGTTATTATAATGTATCCATAGTTCCATGCTTGTAATCGTGACCGTTGTCGAATGTTTCTGAGATTAGGCATATAAATTGAGAGCAATGGGGCAACAGAATAAAGGATATGCAAAACATATCATAGATTTTTTTTTATTTATCAGAAAAATCATACAGCAAAAGCGTCTAAAGTTTACAGAACGTGGTACTTAGCAAGAGGAACGTGAAAAAGTTTTGCGAGCCGAGGAACCAGACTACGTAACATTTCCATCCTAACAAAACGATATTACAACTCATGTACAGTTGCTTTCAAGCGCAACCTTGTTCGCTCGGCCCGCAAAGTCGAAATTCTCTATCGGTTTTGTTATTACGGCCCTTTCTTTTTGTTCTTACTTTACTGTAAGCTCCCATTTGGGTTTGAACCAAATGTCATATTCTCATCTCTTACTCGCTACGTAAAAACTAATAATTGTTGTCTAGAAATATCGTTGAGATATCTAAACCTCACAGTAGTAATATAATATCCAATTGTGTTATGGCGAAGATTCATAAAACAAAGCAATCTCTCCTTTTTTCATACAAACAGCTCGACTCTGTGATACTTAAATCTCAATTCTTCTAATATGGTTTAATCGTTAGATTTCTATATTATATATATATATATATATATATATATATATATATATATATATATATATATATATATATATATATTTATATTTATATAATATATAATATATGTAGATAGATAGTAAATAATCATTTAAGAATGAGACAATTCAGAATTTCGAAGAGCGTTATAGCAGTGACTTGTATTATTTAAAATAAAAATAGATTCTTTTTTGTCAATTGAACATGACATACTTATTTATTATACTCGCAAAAAGGAAAGATACATAAGCAAAAAAAAATGGCTCTCTCGAAACCCTAAAGTATAATCATCATTCCTCGTAAAACTTAGTAAAACATTAGAGTAATTTTCTTGAGTGCAACACTTTACTCATCCCTCTTCACAGTTAATCACGACGATTTTCTCGTACATTTATAGTAATTCGTGTATATCTATTTTTACGATTAATCGTTAGTGACTGCAGGTAGTTTTTCCATTTCCACGTATATTTTTTTTTGTATTTTATTCCATGAATAATTATCGATGATTACGATGACAGAAATGTTCCATCCTCTGCGTTGCATTATCATCACACTCGCTCGTATATCACTTATACGTTATTTACATAAACCGTATTCGCGTCGCACGCAAAGCGCTAAAAAGTTTTCTTTGCCAATGCCAACGAGTGAATTGGGCGTGAGGAGATTGACTTGCTGTTCATACTAAACCTAAGGAAATGAGAAACATAATGAGCGAGGGTGTTTAGAATTTGTTTCTTTTTGTTTCTTCGCATTTTCACGCAAACTGAAAAGTAAAGTGTATTACAAATACAATGTTATCATCTAAAGAAACGCTCAACAAGCTCGGGGAAATACGTCAGTTTAATTTAATGTATCCTCGCAAGCGTACGCATTGTTTTTATCTTATTTTTTTATGTCGTAAAATTTTTTTTCTATCAAAAAGACGCGCACTTTTTTGTTTATTAGCAAAACTTACTTAAAAATTCCATGCTATCGAAACGTTTTTCTCCGAGTAGCCCTTCAAAAGAAGAGACCTTTTTAATTTATGGACTATACTCGCAGGCATCGGCTTCTGTTGTTCTAAGATCTCACCAGAGTTCGCATTTGAAAAGTGTCAAGTGACTTCTTAATACTGACTGGACTTTTAACATTTAAATTGTGATTCATATTAGTTGACGAATTCACTTTTATTTAGTGTGTACTCAAAAAAATCATCAATATCCTGTCAGTCCATTCGTCGCAATCGATCATAACATTGCCATTGGTTTCTATGGGTGGATCATTCATTTATTTGTAAATTACGAGTCTTGTCGTCATTTATTATTCAATATTAAAAAACATTCTCACTTGGCTGTTTTCCCTTTTACGCATTTCTCTTAGGTCACGTTAAATCTGCCGATTGTGTTAGTAAGGATATGCAAAGTACTTGTTATCGTCTGAGTGATAGTTTTACAATAAAATCCTTGGTGTACAATATATATATACATAGGTTTTCGAAATAGATTCGAGCTCCTTCAAAAAGTTTCTCAGGAGATAACACGTTTATTTCATACCCTCTAATCTAAGTTTATGACTCATTTTATTCTCATTCGAGTTACCGTGTGTATGTATTTTTTTTTCTTCTTTTTTCTGTAAATGCATTATATTATTATTTTATTTGGCGTAGAATAGCGAGCAGGAAACGAGTGCCTAGATTTTATTTTTTAATTAAAGAATTGCAAACCTGTGCTGAACTTAACGATATCGAGCATGTAACTTTCCTTTTCTTTCGTAAACTACTAATGATGACGACAAAAGCAAAGTGAAGTAAAATTTTACTTTGCTTTTAACTTGACTCCCCTATGGACACGCATTTACTAATCACCAATTCCTAGTGTGTACTTATTATGTTTATTTAAGATCACAATTGTGATTATTTTTATGCACGATTTTAATAACAGTGAAATGGATGAAAATTGAAGACTTTTTCCCATACTTGAACATTTAGACATCTATACAAAGAGATGAAGTTTATTATTTTTATCAACTCTCATCTTTTTTCCGTAATGAACAAAGAGTAAATTTTATTCTCTAGTGATGAATGTATGTTTTAAATATAGGTTTTATAGTTACTTTTATCGTTATACTATTTATTAATAGTTGCAACAACGGGTTTTTATCATCTGATAATAATTTTGTTATTATTTTGACTTTCTTTCAAGAATCAATATTAATCTTTGTTCGGCTTTTTCATACAATTTTATGCTTCTTTTTTAATGCAGTTATTAAACTAAATTAAGTTATTTTAATGCCCTTTAAGTAGTAAAAGAACAATAATCATATCAGATGATACAATAAAATTTCAATAAAATATTGAAGTGAGTAAAGTTCCATTCAATTTTCAAAGGTAGCATTAAATTTATTATTTTTTAATCTCAAAATTCATTCAACTTTTAAATTAATTTACTTTCTTCTCTATAGATAATCAGCAATATATCTCTTCAATGTCATATATTATATTTGTATATATTGATATCAATACGTAACATCGACTCTTAGTTAAATTTTTAGATTTTTTCATTTTATCAGAGGTATCGACAATTGAACGCAATTGCACGTGCTATCGTCTATACTCGCGAGACATAAAAGGTTTCTTCGGCTTTCGGCGTTTTTCATCAATATTTTTCCATAACTAGTAACGGCATCACTTTCAAACCAACAAGAAGAAAAATTTGACTAACTTTTTAACCGTAAATCGGGCAATAAGTTGGATATGAACACGAGATGCGCTGCAGCAGTAACTTTTACAATAACGCATGCTTTTTGTTTTGTTATGTCCTTGCCAAATTTAATGGAATCGAGGGGATTTATTTCGATTTGATGCGGAAAATCGATACCAACCATGCCATTTCAACGTATTTACACGCGGCATCCAAAAACCTGTATAGATATAAATTTTATCTTGACAAAACAAGATCGATTAGACGAAGTGAATTGCTATAATTTCATAAACCATTTAACGTGCATAAAATCTACTTGGCAGATGTGAACAATGCGTTGTGTGATGTCGATTTTCCATGGTTTCTCGAACGTATGTATAAAAAGCTCTGTAAAAAAGAGAATGTCTATGATCCACCTTAGCGACTTGTAATTTTTATCGTTCATTTAACAAAATCTATGCACGGTGTCAAAGACAATGAAGAAAAGATATCTCGTGAATTCAGCTTTCTACACATTATACAGAAATGTTTGTACACAATCAATCTCAACATCGTAATACTTTTCTTTTCACGTACATATGAAAGATCGGACCTCCCCGTGATTATTTTGATCGTTACATTTCATTGTAAACAAAAGGAGAAAGAAAAACATTTCGAGCGCTTCGTGCTCTCCCCGCAATGTCTAACTGGCAGTATCTTTGGTAAATAGACATAGCTCGACACTTATAATACAGTTAGCAAGACTCGATAATTCATATACTTTGACAATTCGAAATTATGCATTAGTGAACGGTATCGATATTGTTATCCTCGAAAGAAAGAGAGCGAGAGAGGAAAGCAAAACACAAGGTATCTTTTGATTAGAGAGACGGTCGCGAGCACACCAGAAGATTCAAAGAGCCGAGTCGCTTTCATTTAAGTAAACCCCCCAAACGGCCCTTCGAATAGCACGATGAGTATATATACGCGATTAGAGGCCTATAACCGCTACAATTATACATCGCTCGTTCGTTCTCTCTCTTTCTCGAAATATCCCTAGCACACTTGTACATTAGACTCACGCACGCACAATAATAAATAATAGGCTATCGTCCTTTGGGATCAAAGCATCGTCGCGAATTTAGGCACATCGAGAGACTGCTCGGAAAGCCCCTGTTCCTCCGTTTACAGTAGCAACAGCAGCGCCAGCAGTAACTTGCCCACGAGAACCATCAAAAGATTCGGCACGGCTGGACTCGAGGCACCGTTGCTACCCGTCACGTACACGTCCATTTCCTTTAGCATCACGTCCGAGATCACGTGGATCACGCCGTTGGTGCAACCCACGTCTGGCTTCACTACTTTGATATTCTTCTCCTTCCAGTTGATCATGTAGCCAGCACCTGCGGATTCGGTTTTGCATTCTTTAATTTTTCCCAATTCTCTTTTCATTTTGCTTTTATTTTTTATTTTATTTTTTTTTATTTTAAGCGGAACATTTCTTTTTTCTTTTTGAATATTGCCAACAAGCATTGCTTATTTATATTTATTCGATTGCTGTGAACCCCTTCAGTCGCTCAAATATATTTTTTTCTTCAACAAAGCCTCGACTGAAAGAATCACGCGGCGTTCAAGAGTGCTAGAAAAAAAAACCAAAAATAATTATTTATGTTCAATTTTAGTGGCCATTCATTGATATTTTCTGTCTTTAAAGAACAGTTTTTGTTTTATCATTGCCAGCCAGCCATTTCAATAATAACTATACTCTACTCGTAGTATGTTCGCATCAACAGTTGAGTATCTCGTGAGGCAAAAACAAAACCATTCACCTGAGTTGTTAGTGACAGACATATACTTATGCAAGTAGATAAGTGTTAAAGAAAGTACATGGAAAGAAAAACAGACAGGTAAGAAATATCTACGAGAAGAACGGGAATAAAAATGATAGGTGTTTGAAACGGACAGCTTGAAAATCGTGAAAGTATAAGATAAGAGTATAAAAATCAAGAAAGTCTAAACGAAAAAAAAAGAAGCCATGAGAGCAAAGCATCAAGCAACAAAGCACTTCCACATTTCGAATAAAAAAAACAAAAGATTTCATATCGGCCGACGAAAGATAAAACTAGAGGGAGAGAGGAAAAAAAGCACCGTCTCCCAGCGAACACGTAGCAATTAGCGCGCCACGGGTAATCAAGGAATTTACATTTAAATAGCGACCGAAAGACGCATAATAAATCGCGAGCTTCATAATGCGCGCTTCAAGTCTTGACGCTCTACGTAATTTTCTTGGTCCCTTGTATTTATTCCCCTCTTCTTTGTCTTTTTTTTCACTTGTCAAAATAAAAGGAGCTCGTTACTTGGATGCGAAATTTCCTTTTTCAGCTGGTGCTTAAAAATCACGATTCGAATGTATGGTTTCGTAATCGATTCTTGGTTCCGAACTCAAATCAAAGAAGACAACAAAGAAAAAAAAAACATACAAAAACACAATGAAAGCTGAAGGTAATTCGAATTTTCTCATAGTACGAACCTTTCAGAGGTCTGGAAGCATTCAGACGCTTGCTTTGACCTTTAAAAAGCAGAAATATATGTTGCTTAAACTTTTTGTTATCTGTTCGTCCGACGTCATGAGAATAATCCTATTTTTCAAAAAGCCTGCAGTAATCAACCCAACTGTGTAAAGTACTTTTAGTTGTTGCACAGCTTACACATAATCAAATATGAAGCGTTGCAAACGAGTTTTGCTCGCAGCACCTTTGACAAATTCAGCGAGAACATTTTCCACGAAATAATAGGCTCCATTCATTCAAATAATTAATCAGTTTTAAAAGCTTGGCCATGATCATTTTACACTGCCATTAACACCGATTCGTTATTCTAATTATTTTGTAAATTTCTGATAGCTTCTAATGGATTGTTGAATTAATGATTTGTTAGTATATCACGCGAACAAAAAGCAAAACAAGGACGAATTTCGTCAGCTATACAGCATCTACGTATATATATCGTGTACAAGCAAGCTGAAGATTCTGGCTCAAAAAGCGTCCATGCATGAAACATGTGGTTTCATGATATACAAATGACGTGCGTCTTAATAATGAGTTTACTTTTGTTTTCGTTTCGCCGTGAAGATAGAGAATACAAAATAAGAGAAGAGAGTATTCGTGATAGAATGTCAAACCAAATCAGAAAAGCGCGTGTTTTGCTTGGAAAGCATGATTCTCGAACTCACCGCCGTTGCTTGGACGGACAATCGCGTTTTCGTCAAAGACCTTGTCGTCGACTATAGATACAACAAGAGTGAACAGTTAGAACATTGTTTCTTTCCTTTCGAAGAAAAACCTTTCTCTCCTTTTCATGTACAAGTATCGAGGAACCTCAATCTTGTTCGTTGTAATTGTTGCTAATAGTGCAATAGGAGATCGCGAAGTACTTACCATCGGAAGTTTCTTTGACTTTGATGTCGATGGTCGACCTCATAGCTCGCAAACGTATGTTCGAGTCTTGCGTTCGATGGCTCATCTCTACTAACTGCTTCATCTTGAATGCATCGTCCACGGCTAGGTGTTTCTCTAAAATCTGCCTTGCCTGTGACAAACCAGTGGTCACATATTAAGCTGGACTTTCCTAACGAATTTTTATTGCTTCGAGGTACTCACGTGATATGCGTAGTCGTCCATGAATAGCTTTTTGAAGATCGATGGTTGCAGGATCTGTAAATTTTGCCAGGCTTTGTCCGAGGGCGCGAAAAACGTGTAGCGTTTCTTCAGGTCACCGAGGAGCTCGTTGAAGTTGTGCTTCATGCCCAAATGATACGTCATGCTGATTCATTAAAATTGACTGTTAGTCCCGATTATATCTTCATCAATTTCAATATTGAATAAGTGACCGGATAGGAAAAGAAAAAGCGAAGTTGTGCCAAACCGAAGGAAATTATTAACTTTAGTTTTACTAATGCACACTGCAGTGAACTCCGTCGTCACAATAAAAAAGACAAAAATGTTAATCCTCGGAATATCGGAGCCGAAAGCCTATCAAAATTCCCAAGTAAATCCGATGAGGGAATGCGGGAAAATCAATAACCCAGTCAAGCCGCATCATCCCCGGAATCTCCGAGAAGCTAATCAGCGTAGATCCGATAAGCCGAGCAATCGGACGTACATCATACGTCGCGGATTAACCGGTACTTTTTTTCCTGGACGTTCTCGTCACACTCGAAAACGCGCGCGCGCATACACCCATTACCCGCCTCTGTAATCTCCACCAATCAAAATATATTCCACTGATCTGTGCGCGAGACGAACGAGCGAAATTCGTTAATCCTACTACAGCCGACCCATCAAAGGATGTCTATGTTGTCTCGCTGCGTATTCGTGTTCTAATTGGGATTATAAATGCTCTTTCGTCCGCGTGGTAATTTCGTCGCTGGTCTTGCTATTTTTCAAGATGTCGCAGCGAGGATCGACTGGTTACCGATCGCAGTCGGACATACGTCTGACAATAACAATAGAACTGTCTGTCTACCGCTGATCACGTTTCAATTGGTCGGCTCTAATCTTGAAATCGCATTACAGCTCTTCATTGCCGCGTTCCCGCGCAAACCGAATTCATAAGCGATTCAGTGAGCGAGCTCAGTTAACAAGTACAAGAGGCAATGCGATTCCAAGGGTCGCGAGGAATAGTCAACTCCGCTGGCGGACGAGTCCTTTTCCGCGAGAGCTTTTTTCGGTGATAATTTACGCGACTCTCGAGTTTATTTCAATTGAATTTGGAGGAGGCGAGGCCACGGAATTTCCCGAGCGAGGTAGGTTGAAGGAGCTTACGGAGTCTCGTTTCCGGTTGCGTTCCGAGAGAAGACTTAAGTCTAATTAATGCTCGACGCTCTTCAGCTCGTAATGTATCATCCGGATCGATATGGATTTCGCTTAAAAGCTCCGTAATCGCGCTTTTTTTTTCGATATAACTATGCTAGATTAAACTTTAAAAGAAAATAATAAGACGTTGGCTGCAACACGGCGAAAAAAATAATATCTCAAACCTCAAAGTAAACGCTAGCTTTCCCATCCTCGGACATGTATTTTCATGAAATGTGTAGCGTTTCTTCAGATTCACATAGCATTTGATAATTGGATATCTTTACTACGCATGTTTTAGATGAAAAATATAAATTATATAAACAACTAATTTAATATTAGCTTTCAATTTATCGTTAAAAATACACGAAAACTTTAATTTTTTCGAATTCATGCGCTTGAAATTGTACTGCAAACTCAGCTTTAACAAATAAATCACATCTCAGGCAATAGAATCTTTAAAATGAACTACCGTTCCATTATCTTATAGACTTCAAAGACAAAGGAATCTCTCTATCTCTGAATTTCCATATGAATATGGCATTTTTATTTTTACAATAAAATTCTAAGACGAGTGATTAATTGTTTGATTTATTCGATTAGATGTCTTTGATGACACGAAAGTTTTCAAAAACTAACAATCTGTATAAGACACGAAATGGTGTCTGAGTATATAATACAGTATGTACTTTATGGGTTCGGGTTAACTTAAAAATTTTCTGTTCTTTTTCCAAGTTTCTTATTCTAAGAAAAATGTTTTCGATTCAAGAAATCCAATTTTATTACGAGAACTTACTTGAGATTCGGATCGCTCTTGAGCTTGTCGAGAATGGTGGTGTAAGGAACTCCAAGTACTCTGTCGATGATGTGAATGATGCCGTTTGTCGCGCCGATGTTGGCCGTGATGATGGTCGCGTTCACGCCGCCACCTTCCACCGTCACTGTGCTGTTGCCCGGCGAGCTCTCCACTGCGTTGAAATACAAGCTTGCGCGCTCGTGCGCAGAGTTCACCTGAATTTCACACGAATCGATTCATTAGTCGCGCCTAATTTCTCTCGTCGATTTCCTTTTGTAATGGATGCACGCAATCGATATATCTGTCACGAAAAACAGTGTGCACGACTAGGAGAGGTTCGGACAACCCCTTTATGACTTTGGTATACTTTTCTCTTTTAGTTACTTTGTTTTTTCATTTGGAGAAAGCAATTCGACTGCCTAATAACTTTTGTTAACAGATTTTTTTTATTTTTCAGCTGAAATGATGGCTTTCGAAACTAGAAATTTACCAAACTTTTTACGGATATCTCTAAAAATGCTACGCGTAGCTAAAAATTTCCGCGGATGCGTGGTGTAACTTTCATAGATGAATATTCGTGATTCCGTGCTATTAGCATCCAGACATTCTAATTACAGACACAGAGACAACGTGCATTCGCGGGATGATCGAAGTCTCGAATTCCGCGAAACTCTCAAAATTATATCTTGAACGAAGAGCTTTCAAAATAACGTTTACGCGCGTCAATTCTCAAGACATGCAAATAGATTCGGCATTAATGTCCAAGTCAAATGCAATGTTTACAAGATAAACGCAGAGCAGTGTGATGATAGAATTCATGCTGTCGCTCGCGAAGAAAGCAAAAGAAGAGAGAGGGAGAGAAAAGCATTCTCAATCGAAACGATCTTGCGGTAACCACAATTAAAACCGTGTAAGAATCCTCGAGGAGCAGTGGGATGGCAAAGTGAGAAGCCACTCTTTCGGCAAAGTTTGACTTGCAAATTCACGAGATACCCTGTTCGTCGCCCTTTCTGGCTTTGTCGCGCCAACCGATCTATACTTCCTCAATTTCTTTGCGTTTTCTCCGCGCGCAGATAGCACTTTTACTCTACGCGATCGCGACTCGGTAAACCCTGCTCACAATTCCATCGTTGGTCGTTCCAGCTGCCGTTTCTTATATGTTTTTTTTTTTTACGACGAAACATTGAATGAAGCTGAAAAAAAGCAGTTACGGCTGAAATTTTCCGAGCGAGGTCACTCAGAAAAAGGCGTATAACTACGCGGCGGGAGAATTAGCATAACTACGCGACTAATGTCCTGGCGGTTAAATTCATTTTCCCGGTGGAAAGCCAGACAGGAAATTGTTACACGCGGCGTTGTCGCAATTAATTCACTCGTGACTCTTCAATTATTGCAATATCGAGGAAATAAAACTATCCGGAGGCTTTTAAATGCACTCGAAAGAAATCGTATTGGAAAATGTTAAAATAACAAAGGGCTGATGCATATTCTATCGAAGTGCTTGCGTGACGGCACTGGAAGCGACCGAATTATCTCTTCCTCTCTCTCTCTCACGCACCCGCGAAAGAAACATCACATTAATCATCATCAACATCATCGACTCGTAAATCCGTCATTTCATATTTATTCCGAGTATACATTATCTTCCGTCACACGACGCATTTAAAAAAAATTCAAAATCTCGTGAATATTCATCGAAAGAGAGAGAGAGAGAGAGAGAGAGAGAGGGAGAGAGAGAGAGAGAGAGAGAGAGAAATACGTATACATACACACACAAATCAATGGACTCTCAGCGTAAATTCGGTCACGCGACTAATCCGCAAACAATGCTGTTAAACTGGCCAAAATTTATGGGCTTTTCTTTCTCTCTTTCTCTCTTCCAAGTGCATTATGTGCAGAAACGCGTTCGATTGATTTCTGCCGTTCTGCTTTTGGCGCGTATATTTTTTTTCTGCGCTCAGTGTTGTTTATTCACTGTTGTGTATTTACCGCTTTATGTAAGAGGATTTTGCAGTTTACGCGCGAAACGGGACATATTCCTTCTACGACAAACTCAATAAATAAAAAGAATTGACTATTGCGCCGAAATTTTACGTTTCGGAGGATGTAAGCTTTGTCGTTTTTGCACCGTCGAGTTTACTGGTGTTTCCGCTTCGAAAGACATCAATGCTCACGTTTTTATCCAATATAACATGCAAAGATACAGAAATATCCGAAAGACGGAATCATTATATTTTTTGACGCATAAAACTTTTTTTTTCAACGGCTTAACTAGTAATAGCAAATAACTGATGTAACTACGCAAAAACGGTGTCTATTCGCATTTTCACTGATATCTCCACGGTTAGATTTGGACTCAGCTATCTCGAAAACTACTAAGCTTCACTAAAATCCATTAGTATTTAAAGAAGTTATTCAGATACATATAAACCTATTGGTCTATTGGCAGTTAAAAGATTAATGACTTTTAATAAAATCGTAATGATTAATTCGATTCTACATTTTCCAAGTCAAACCAAATGGGTATAGCATCTAACGTGGAACTACAGGCTATTTCTTAACGACGTTTAAAAAAGCAATCAACCGATCTTAATTGCGAAATCCAATAATGATCGATGGTATATCTGAAGCAGGAAAGGTGAATGAATAATCTACAAGTTTTGCCGGAGACTGAGGCGGAAAAAGTGTATCCCTCCTTCTATTCCCGGAGTCGTAATGGCACTCGGCGAACAAAAGCTCCGGGGATAATTCCGAACGAGGATCGAGCGCTAAGGATATCGCCCGAGTGTAATTAGATTCGAGTCGCTCGGCGCGTTAGCCACGGAAAATTGCGGCGAAAGAAAGCACTCCGGTTACTCGGCTCATCATCGTTCGTCGGTCGACGACGTCGATTACGATTTTCTTTCTCTCTCTCTCTCTCTCTCTCTCTCTCTCTCTCTCTCTCTCTCTATCGTATCTTTTACCTCCGTTACCGTTTTCCAAGAAATTCGCTAATCAGAGATCCTGCAACGTTGACTCGTGGCAAAGTTCAATATGGAATCAATAGTTGAATACACAAGTTCGGTTCGTTCGATTGCTTTTTTTATTGGATCGATCGAAACGCGACATATGATGCTTTCATGCTACGCGTTTGCTGCTCCGGCTGGAAAATATCGCGTACCTGTGCATCGATACAGGAATGTTTTCTACTTGCTCCTCTTCGTTTTAAAAAATTTTCACGTCAATCCATTCCGCGAATAAAGATGGATTGAATGTTCTCGTTTATGAACGTCACTTCAACGATAGCCGTAATTCTTTTCGTTTGTCGTTGCTCAAAGTCATTAACTAAGTGTATTCGAATATTTTTAACAATCTAACTACCATGCATGTAACATATAGAGACATCCACCAAGCAAAAGACATCTAATGATTTTGCGAAATGATTTTGAGAAAATAAAAGAAAAAGAATAAAGAAAAGAATAGAGAGTAGTAAATGACACTAAGAGCATAATGATGATAATGAAAAATTCGTTTACCGCATAAGGCGCTTTTTTAGACCATTCTGGCTATAAAATAAAAGATGATGATTAGGTATGTTTACGTGCTTTTGTTATTAAATGATATTCAATTTTGTTTAGAATTCTTTCGTGTTTATAATTTTAAGGTTCGAAATAACAGGACGTAGCTCAAATTATTACAAGATGATTCAAATGTTACGTGACGTAGGGAATTTGAAGTTTACAAGCAAGATTACCAAAATCTTAACGGTACGCCAAAGTTTAAAATGTGAATTTTTGTAATTTGCATTATAATCCTGCTTGAAGTAAGTGCATACAGGATGAAAATAAAGGTAAAGTCTATACTGAAATATCTAGCATCGGAGTTAGTAAAATAAAAGAAACTGTTATTATGAAATCTGGTTCTTCGTCGAACAATTAAAATTAACAAAAGAGCAACGTTCGGTTAGTATACTTGAACAAAGCAAATATAGTTGTAACCAGTGCCTTGTTTCATCAAAGAGAAACAGACAGGCAAGAAAAAGCAGCCACTAACCTTGTGTATAGTTTTGCGTTCGATGACATTGAGCGGCAAAAGTTCCTTAGTGTAATGAAGATTCAGAAGATCCTTGATGCGCTCTTTGTCTTGTAGAATCTTCTTGACGCCAGGCTCGTCCCAGGCAGCATTGCGCGGTGCGAAAAGCGTGACGTTGGTGAGTTTCGACAGTGACGCCATGAACTGATCGCCTTGGTCACGTATCACCTCGTAGAACTTGTACAGTGGGCCGTCCTCCTTGTCCTGTGCACGACGTCGAGTGAAGGGAACACATAAAGATTTCTCATTTAGTGAGTTTCAGTGGTAATGCCAGATTCAAGCGAATATTTGCAAGCTTGCCAAAGCTTTCAAGTGGGTGTTAAAATATTATTATGCTACTCGGCTTTTTTCTTTTTTTTTTCTTTTTCAGCTAGCGACGAAACCAGTGAATTGCGTTTGCTACTCGGAGTGAAGATGTCGCTTTTTTAGCTCATGATTTTTATGTCGACGATTAATGAAAGCTTTTAAGAATTTGTTTCTATTTTTCATTCGAATGTTTACAAACGTCAAATCTATCAGCAACATTTCTAGCGGTCTTATGAATACTCTAATTTTTTTACAAGAAATTTTTTTCGACGGTTTTGTTTTCTGGGCCAAAGTTGTCAAGTAGATTTACGAGAACCGATATTTTCACTCCGAGTATAAAGATGAAGAGTCTTATTTTTTTTCTTTATAATTGTACACAAAAGAAAATTAGAGAAGAAAACGTAGAGAAGACTTGAAAAAATAAAAGGTCGACGAAAAAAGGAGAAACAAAAAAAATCAAGAAATAAAAGTCAAGATAGGTACGCATTTAAAATTGCAGTCGCTTAACGAGACCCACGGAGTTTTGATTAAAGCAAGCAATTGGAATTGTTAATTTGAATTTTAAAACATTAATTAAAATGAGGAGTACAGTACAAACACAATGTTAATTTAGGAAAGTAAAAATTTATAACACCTAGACACACATAGAATAAAATATTGAGAAATTCAAATTAATTTAGTACGTCAAATGAAAAAACAATTATCTTTGACAAAAAAAGAAAATTTCAACTTTACATGCCGATTCGTCTCATTTTCTTCTCTTGAACTTTCTACCGCGAATCGCGCGCAGCGCAAGTGAAAGTCAATAATTGTAAAAGAAAAAAGCGAATAACGATTAAACGATGAATCAAATAGAAAAAGATAAGTATACTAAAAGAACTCGATAAAAAAAAGAAAATAAGAGTCATTATACTACACACGATTGAGTTTCAGATAAAAAGAAAGTAATAGTTATTGTGATTAATGACTACTGAACTTCTAAAATCTAAAGACGCTGACACATGACTAATTATATATGAACATTGATGTTACTATTCGACGAAAAATGACTTATACATATAATATGTAGATATATTAACTAATCGTTCAATATAATTAACAATTGATGATGTACCATGATAAAGTGAATAAAACCATTTGGACTCTTATTATTATTCGACAAACAATGGAAGTCAGATGTATAATGGAATTTTAAGATACTTTGATGGAAGAGGGAAACAGCGAAACAGAATTGCACACAATAGACCATAAATAAACTGAGCTGGGGGGTAGAAATGTAACGATAATAATTACGACTTGGAAATGAGTATGACGATTGTTAATGTTTCAATATTACTGAGCTATTGAAATTTAAATCCGCTCCTCGTAATTAACGTTCAAGTATTCAATGTTTGCGATTCCGTAGTATTGAGATATTTTGAATAATGCCTGTCGATGCGGCATTTTGATTTTTACACGTGCAAGTATCATATATTTCGCTGTTTCGTCTCCTGCGCTCTTTGTTTATCAAAATTGTCCAATTTAACAAATAATGTTCTCTCCACTTAATAATATTTCTTTCGTTATTTATTTCTCTTTTATAATTCATCATAGGGAATGTGTGTTTGACAGTGTGAATGGGATTTCGTTTGATTATGACTGACTGAGTATTTTTTTTTCTTCATTTTATATTCAGTACTTACGATGCCCTATACGACATGCAGAATCCAATAGAGACATGCAAAGCACCACAGATAAACATAATTAGTTTGATAAGAGTTGTAAACACACTTACATAAAATTTATGTACGTTCGATTTACAAGTTAGATATTTATAGGCTGGAAAAGGGGAACACTTAGCGACTTCAAGATATATATTTGCTTTAGAAAGGAATTTTGGATTACAAAAAGACATTTACAAAAAAAATTATTCACAAAAATTATCTAATGCAACATATTTGAAAATTGATTATTTTTTGAAAAATAAATTTGACGATTTCATCAAAATATTTAAATATATTGTAATTGTCACTTAGAAGTAAAACTATTCTACTCGAAATAAAAAAAAACTCCAAAAGAAGAAACGAAACAAGGGAAGAGAAACGAATTTACAAATTAAAAAAGAGAAACGATGAAACGTGAAATAAATGCTTTTGAAAAGAAAAATAAATGATTGAAAATGATTCGAAAGTGAAAGGTGAAATGAAAAGCTCTTATCAACGTAAACTTTCCACTGTAGTAAACAGGTGAGCATAAATCAAAAAGGAATGAAAGCAGCCTTACACGAGTTGGCGTGACTGTTGATTGATTCGCGTGGTTGGTTGAGTGCATTTCGTTCTTTCCTATATGTATTTTTTTTTTCATTCATTATTAAAAGCACTGATGATTTGGTGATTTGCCATCATACATCATGTGAAGCGACGCGCGAGTTTACGCGTGCAAAAAAGAAGCAATTTTTTTTTATCTCCCTCGTTCGTCATTGCTGCTATTAACGTCGCGCGTTGAAGTTCCAGCGCAAATTCATATATACGGGCGATTTATGCAAATACTATATTCACTCGATGGGTAAGCTCGTATTCGAATTTTCATCGGCGGGTATTTTAATTGCTGTGTCTCCTTGCCTATATGCATTATATTGAATGCGGGCGCGTAAATATTAAATGACGTTTGCGACTTATACAAAATCGCGAAAATTGTTGGATACGAGGCGTCGTAGAGAATGCAGCAAGTCGAGGAAAAATGGTTTCTTTTTCGATCGAAGAAAAAAAAAAAGTTTTCAATTTAAGAATAAAATTGCTCGACTCACGAAATATGTTCTTAATTTAAGAAACGAACTTTGTCCCCCCTCCCAGAACGCAGCGAATCCAAGATATTTGTCCTCTCCGTGGAACGTTGCAAGTGTACGTAACGCCACCGAGTAAAACAGAAAAACCTAACAATCCGGAATCGAGCGTGCGTTGTATTTTTCAAGCGGCACTAACAAACGCAGTCGGACGCGCGAGGAGAGGGACGAGGTAGAGAAGAAACGCTCCGGCAGTTCTCGCGGGCAATTGCGTTTCTTCGCAATGTAAGGGCGCCGCGCAAGAGGAGATCGGGAGATTAAGCGCGGCATAACGCCGAATGCAAACGCCTAGTTTGCCTAAGATTGCCTCGTTACGAATTGACGACGTATATATACCGGTTTCCCCACACCGTTTTTGCCATTGGATTAAGCACTAATTGCTTCGACTCTTGCCCTATCAAGGTGGATTAGTTTTGCCACCAAACGAAAATTATGTATATAAAGACGTGGCGCACGTGATTGAATTACGTTTACGAGATCCGACCGTATCATTTAATTAATTGCCTTTTGTTACAGCGCCAGAGACAGAGAGTGAGAAGGCTTTTTCCACTTTCGCATTGCATCATAAATTTCGCTTGAAATGATGAGTCAAAAGCATTAAGCTTTTATCGACGTGCATTTAATTGGTAAAAGGTCGAAATATATTGAGTTACGAAAGTCATTTCTGTAATTATGGATGATTTGCTTTTTATGCGTTGATGTACTCGCGCCGCATTACTAGGCAGTGTTTAATGAGCGTGGATTGAAATTATCGTTTCATACGATTTACATTAAACATTTCTTTTGGTATTACGATAAAACAGCAAATGTGAATGAAACTTTTAGTCTCAAATTTCTATTTATATCTCGATAGCAAAGAATCAATATTAAATCACACATTGTTGTACGTCAGCTGATACAAGTGATGGAAATCGAGCTACGGTCAGACCACACATAGGAAAATCTAGTTAGTATGTTATGCTCAACTCGTTCAGCAATGTTTATCGAGATATTAATGTTACGTGCATGCGACTACGTGCACATTTAATTAAATTTCCATCTCGAGCCAAATTGCATTTGATTTCGTTAGACGCTCGTGACGAGAATTCGCGACTCTCATATAAGAGAGTAGAAAAAAAATTCTGTAAAATTGTGAAAAATTCTAGCATATTTTTATTGTTACTAATTACCTTTTGTACTGTGTCGGTTCAAAATTCACATTTTCGAGTGATGTGGACAAGTTATACAGTAAAAGCTTACGAGCGTTCCATGTTCCATATTTCTTTGCTACGCGATGAAATATTCAACGGAATAGTTAGACTCGGTGCTAAATTATTACAATTTAATTTTAAAAGTAAAGCACGTAGCATTACGATGAGCGTGGCATGCTCGGAAGAAATTAATTATCAAAGTTCAATTTGATTAACGAAAAAACAAAAAAATTCGAGTTAATTAATCTCAAATAACTGCAACTCGACGCAAATACGGACGAACCGACAAAAAAAAAGCTGACACACTAACTAATTCGCTTTTGCGCCGGAGTTAAAAGTGAGTTTTCCGTTGCACTCCCCGCTGGGGAATACGATCAAAGGCTTCTCATTTCTCAAAGCCCCGAATTGTTTCGGGCAAGATTTTTTTCAGTGTAACGCGTGGTTTTCATTTCTCTCCTCCAGGGAAAATGGCGTATTTCTTACATTTTTCCCCTTTTTTCTGTTCGAACTGAAACATACATTCGTACGTTTGGCTTTTTGACTTTAATTCAGTTCTATTGAAAGTTAGCAAACGAAATTGTCCACTACACGTAATTCCGGACGATTGCCAATAAAAATAGCGTTAGTAACTTAATTTTAAATTTTTCTTTTAATTAAAATAATAAACAACGTTTCAAATTGTACGCAACACAACTGAGCTAAAGTTTTATTTTTTAACAATTAAAAAGTACGATGTATTTTTTATCTTTGCAAATAAAAAATTAAAGATAAATATATTTTTTACTTTGAGTAAAGTTCGTTCTTATTTCCATAAGGTTACTTTATTAGGATCTGAACAAAATAAAATTGAAAATGGGTTAATTTTGAAAATTATACGGAATCAATAA